CAGATGACCCGTGCCATTCCATGACTCACAGGGTAACTAAATAGGAAACCCACCGGGGATGAAACCGATACGGTTGCGGCCACCTGTTCTGGTCGATGTGGCAGCCACTAATGGCTGTGGTTAAAAAGGTTCTATTACCTACATTTAAAGGCTTTTAAAGTATGTATGCTTTACAAGAATAGATGTTATAGTTAAACTTGGCTAATTCGTTAATTAAATTAATATTTAAACAAAAGGTTTAGCTACTTTAAAATTCAAGTAAGTCATAAATAATATATGCCTTTAGTACAGATTTATCAGTGTAGGTACCAACCTACTATTACATTTGGCTTGGCACCGACTTCAAACATATCAATACGTAGCGCAAATAATAGTATTTTATTAATATTAAAGGTATTAGGTTTGCATAAGAAGTGTATTAAATTAAATCTTTATTAAGTTATTTTATACTTTTTAGTTTTTGAAGTCGGCTTTTTAAACGTAGTTTTTTTATTTTTTTTAGTTTCTCGATGTTTTTAGTAATCAATGAAAAAGGCAGTTGACCTGTATGTACCATGACTCATAGAAACTCGATATGAAGCCCACAAGGGTGTAACTAACACCAGGCGACTACTTGCTCTGGTCAATGTGACAACTGCTAATGATTATGGTATATTTACATTAAGGAAACATAAACATAAAAAGTGGTCGTTTAGTATTTTCAAATCAGTTAGTTGTAAATGATAGCTATGATTTTTAGATCAAATATAAAAAAGGCAAATATTGCCAATATTTATTACATATTTATTTAACTCCAGAACATGTTGGAACAAACAATAACATAAAGTTATTAAGATACTAGCGACTCACCCTCGCTTCGCTCGTGATCATCCCTAGGTAAGTTTTATTTTTTTGAGCGGAACCCTAATTCTATTTCTAAAATAAAAGAAGTCTATGTTACTCCCTATAACATCAGCTATCTTTCAGTGAAAGTCCCGTCAAAATCAGTCCAGTCGTTGCAGAGATTATCCGAAACAAACAGACAGACAGACAAAAAGAAAAAAAATGTGTTTTTCTTATAAGTCCCGTATATAATTTCATATGCATTTAGTAAAATCTGTTATTTTAACATTACAAACAGACACTTCAATTTTTTATCTGTATAAACTAACGACTCACCCTTACCTCGCTCAGGTTCGTCCCTAGCTAGGTACGTTTTAACGGTTAGTATGAAATACAATTCTTTGAATTTTTCGGCTTTTCTGTACTATAACATGCATGTATTATACATATAAACCTTCCTCTTGAATCACTATATTTATTGCTGAAAACTGTATTAAAATCCGTTGAGTAGTTATTAGATCTACGCGAACAGACAGCAGAAGCCACTTCATTTTATACTATGTAAAGATTATTCAAACATCTTGACTGATTTAAATTTAATACAATCTACGAAGACGCTTTATAGGTTTAATTAACCGTACCAGTATTATGAAAATTTAATAAACATAAAGTTCTGTAATATCATAATTTTTTTATTAACATTGTCACCAGCAGGTAGCGTTCCTGCTGCCTCTGGGGGGGATCTAAGACCCGACTTCGTTATATTTTACCTGGTGACCTGTTTTTACAAGATAACTTTTAACCTAAAGGAATATTTATTCCTTGCCTTGCCATTGCATTAAATATAAAGAGAGACAATATCCGTTATGAATTTACGTTTTAAATGAGCTCTGGAGGCTTTGATAGAAGCTCTGAAACGTCCCTATAAATTATTAGGCGCTAGACGCGGGACTATTGATCTGGTATTAGTAACTTTTACAGAGAATAATTTATACTCTTTGAAGTTTTGTCTCCTATTTCGTATTATGTGAATATTCTGAACTTCAGTTTTAAATTATTATTTAATATTACTTATATATACGTGCATATATACTTGTATGTATGTATGTACGTGACAATCTAGTTACGCAATGAAAGACACTCACCTATACATAGACTAAATATTTCCACAGAATGTATATGATAAACGAAATAATATAAACGATAACCCATCTTCTTGGCCCCTTGGTAAATGCAGGGCAGATCTAATAGTCCCTCTAATAATTAGCACGGTCTTATCTTTGTTAATTAATTCAACACTAGGACGCGCGGTCGGTCACTCGCTATCGGAGTCTTTAAGAAAATTAAGTAAGCACGTCTCTAGACACTAATTAGAATTGTTGGAATGTTTTATACTTCTATTTCTCGATAAAAAAAGGTTTTAATTAAGTTTACTATCAAATATAGTTGGATTATGGATAATATCAAAATCTATCGTTAATCTGTATTTTATTTAAAAAGTTGTCATCATAATTCAAATAAATTTCATTATTAAGTAAATAGAAAAGTTACATTTAAAAGTTATTATCACTAAAAGCGCTTGCAGTTAACAAAAGTTTTAAAATTATAGCCATTTGTAAAATGTTCGACGCTAAAGCACTATGGAATAATGGAACCGAATTAGCTGAATGTCCCTCAGATATAATTTAAAAGCGGAAAGAGACGAAAAATGAATACGACAAAGTGCCGGCAAAATTAACGCCTCAATCAGTCTTTATACCGGTAAGAGGTCGTTAGCTGCCTTTTTAGTACTAAAAGGATGAAGTAAGAAATAAATAACTTAATTTTTATTTCAATTTACAAACACGTATTGGGAGGAAACAGGTACGATACTAATCTAAGAACTTCCGGCTTTAGCTACTTAAAAATGTTTACTGCACATTATTAGACTGCCTCGCCCTTTTATTAACTTGCATTAATTAATTAATGCATTTTTTTCTGAGGAATATCATTCGACATGCATCGTTGGCTATAGTCACATACAAACATGCCGTACAATTTCTATTTAATTCATGTTCGTACTCCATCACCATTCGCAATCAAAGCACGGAGTAAAAGCTACGTGATGTGCAAAAACGTGAAAATTCGATTTAAAAGTGCTACGATTTATTTTAACTAGTGCCAACGCATCGTAATAAATTTTCAGAGTTAAACCATTTTCCTATATTGCTCTATTTATCTTAAACTTAAATATTCTCTAATCCGGCCTTATTATTTATTTTAAAGTAAAAAGCTTCTCTGCTTCTAACTATGTATGCAGTTTCTAGCGTTTCAAAGTACATAATAGGTACTCATACTTATCATGCCAACGAGGTGCAGATAAGGCTTTGCAACTAACAAGTATTTGTCAAAGTATATAAATAATCTTGGAACGGTCTTACCTGCGACGGCGCAGGTAAGTTCGACACAATGGCATTCCGAGCAACCGAAATGAATCAAAATTTTAGACGGCTCTCGAATAAACCAGCGACTGCAGATTAGTATATGAATTACTGATAATTTTTGTGACAAAAAATGTGTTAATTTTTTTATCAATTATAACAACAATATAAAAATATAAAAATAAATAATGTATGTAAATAAATTTAAAAAAAAATTATGATCAACATATAAATTTTTAAAAATATATTAGAACTAGCATTGCTAGCGGTTCCGCCCGCGTTCGTATTACCAAAAACCAAATTCTTAGATTTTACATATTGGTATACTCTTACATTGCAGTTTTTGTATTTTTTCTCAGAAATGAGACATTTTGCCGCGGTTAAAAGTATCCTAATTGTTGACCCGGATAACCAGGTATCACCATACCAAATTTCATCAAAATTCCTCCAGTGATTTTTCTATGATGCGGTAACAGACAGAGACAGTCAGATAGACAAATATTCTAAAAATTATAGATTTGGCCTCTGTATCGATAATAATGTCTATTTGAATAAGATTTTCAAAAAAATATTTAATGTACAGATTCGGCTTAGTTACAATTTTATTATATGTATAGATTATATGTTACGAGAAAAAAGCTTGACCGATTATTTAACGCCCCAATCTGATGTAACATACAGTACATTGTACTTCATACTATTCATATATTAGTGTAAGAAACATGATCAAGGTAGCAGCTGTAGCTGCTTAAAACTCATCCCCTTATAAAACGGGAGTCTTGTTTAAACAATTGCGAAATTGAAAAAGCATATAATATACACGATTAGTAGTAATATATTACAACTCAAATCAAATAACTTTACAATAGCAATTTACCAGTTTTAAATGAGCTACTATATACACAATTACGAAATCACTACCTCATCATAAGCAAAAAATCTAATCGCATGATTCACATTAAGAAAAGAGAAGTAGAAGATACCTGCTGTTCGCAGCAGGCACAATGGCTAAGTCTGTCTACCAATGGGTGATAAATTATAATAATAATACCCTATTGTTGTTATAAGGGGATGATATCATTACACTTGAAAAGTGTTTTACTACACATATTTTTCTTAGTCTTTTAAGTATAAATTAACAATCATTTTAACAATGTACTTATACCTATATTATATTTATAATTTTTTTATCTGTATATATATATTGTAAACTAGCATTGCCCGCGGCTCCGCCCGCGTTTAGATGAACAAAAACTGAATTCTTAGGTTTTACATATTAGTATACTCGTACATTGCAGTTTTTATATTTTTTCTCAAAAATGAGATATTTTGCCGCGGTAAAAAGTATCCTATATGTTGACCCGGATAACCGCTATAGCTATAACCGCAATAGCTATCGTCATACCAAATTTCATCAAAATCCCTCCAGACGTTTTTCTGTGATGCGGTAACAGACAGACAAACAAAAATTCTAAAAACTATAGATTCGGCCTCTGTATCGATAATAATGTTTATTTCAATAAGATTTTCCAAAAAATATTTAATGTACAGATTCGGCTTAGTTACAATTTTAATATATGTATAGATACATATAATGTATACATTTATACATATTTTACTTCCGAATTTTAATATTTTTTTATCTTTATCATCATCAAGAAAATTTGCATAGGTAGGTACTAACGAAAACTTAACATGTTTTCCTGATAAAGTAAAAAAGGATATCATAAAAAATTACTATATTTAAATATAGAATAAATGCTTAACAAGCGTTCCCTGGAGCTAGAATTTAAATTAATAATTTATACTGAAGCGATCCCGATTGAGGTTTTATCGATATTTCCAATTGCCCCGTTTTCCCTAAATGTCATTTACGACTACGGCGAACGTGTTTATTGGAGTGAGCCAACAAGTCCTCCCCACTTAGACAACTGGTTCCATTATTTGTACGAGGAGCGGCGACCTCCCGCGCCGACAGGAACAATGAAAGTGAGAGAGGGCTGGAATGTGTGCGGGACGAGGGCGGGGGTGAGGGCGGGCGCGGCGGCGGGGGACGGGCGGACGGTTCCCGGTTCCCAGGCGAGGAATGCCAGCGCGAGTAACAAAGCCTATCCGCCGCCATTCACCCCGCACTCCTTCCTAGCGGTTCTGCCAGACTCGTAACTTTTCGTGAGTTTCCCCTAAAAACCGTTTACGATCGGCAACTGATTCAATATTCTACTTGTCGCATGCTCATTTTCTCGCATTCATTTTTTATTAAATAAACTCTTACAAGGCTGTTGCGTAGCGCGAAAATGATGTATTCTATATAATAAACGATTGTTCCATTCATGCTCAGAGTTCAGGGTCGGGTGTCGGGTCGCACCAGCTGACTTCACATATCGCATTTTATTTACATTACACCATTAAACAAGCACAATGCCAGTATATTCACTATGTTATTATACAATTAATCTTATCAAATGTAGTCTAAAGCAAGGTACATTCCTCTGTATCTATCCGGGTTAGTTCAAAACGTGTTGTATCCATTTGCTCGCGGAGATAGTTTATATATTATCTATAAATTCATAACAACACTCATATAAAGTAATAGGTTATCTAAATATGATTAAATTTATAGGTATGAAACGAAAATTAATTTAAATAGAAATAACACATTAATTTAATGATTATATGTAAATATAATTTCATTTAATTATTTAAAAACATATGCATATATAAGACAATAAGATGCAAAGTAGAGTCATATTTAAATATAGAAGTGGCGGTGTAATACGCTTCTGAATGTTTTTGCATTACATGTTTAATCACCGCGAGCGCCACGCCGGCTGTCGGCGCCGCGTCGGTAGCATCAAACTCCCATTATGGTGTCATTGGAGATTTTTTTTCTACATCATTTCTTACTAGTTGATAAGTATAAATATACGTTAATGAGATTAAAAAGATTTCAGGAAAAGATCTTTTCCTCCGCTAATGACTCGTTACAAGGAAAAATACAAAGGAATGATCCCAAAAAAAGATTTCCTAGATATTTCTTTGAAATAATTTACTTTCGTACGTGCGTGTGTTTAATGTCCTTCCAAGTAGCAAATAATCAGTCTTTATAGAATTTTATGATAGCTATTTTTTATTAAATCACTCGTTAAATTCATGTAACGGTAACAAATGTGTAAAATATCAATCAATACTTATCATGAATCTTAAACTGTCATGTCAATATTATAAGTGCGGTATACGAATACACTAACGTAATAATATATTACAATCCATCAACTGTCAAAGCTCACAACCGGAACCCGCACCTATGCGTAGTGCAACTTCATACACGCAAACGGTTCGACTTATTAAACACTATAATTGTATGACAGAATAACAGATAAATAAGAGTCTTTAGTATACAATTAACTTAAACATTCTACTAACTAATAAACTCGTATCATGGCATCCGTAAAGCAGTAGGAGCTTGTAATATTACATAGTAGAGTTCCAGAGATTAATTTCCGTACAATGTGTATATTTAAACATATGTATATGGAATAAACTTACAGATAAATAGTAACTATTTAAAGAGAAGTAGATGAAAGTCTCTCTTTTAGTTCAAAGAGTAATAAGTCGATTGTGTTTAATAAATTAAAAATAGAAACCGACTACTATTTATTGATCGATTTAAATTATTGTAGAGCGTCTAATATTTATAAATGTTGACTCTACATTTCATATAGTGTTTATATGTGTTGTTACTAAATCAATAAGCAATTAAAACGTTTTTATTTAGCATATATTCTCGTTCAGTTCATAAGCTCAAATCGTAAAATTGTGTAAATTAGTGATAATTGAAAGTGATCAAACACCAGCTGAAAACGCGTGCGCCGGCGGCGGACACTGCACACTCGTGTCTCATCGCTTCGTTTTGACTTTTGGTTATCCGACACCGTTTTCTTGTAAACAATACCAGAGATGTTAACGGATCAATTAACCTCTTAGCCATTAACGAAAACACATTTTGATCGAATATCTAAAGGCATTACTAGGTATTACTTTAACATTTGACTATCTTCTAAAACAGCATATTATTTTGTGTAATTAAGCCACCAAATCGCTATTTGTTTTATATAAATAATTCAAAATCATGTTAATACAGTATAATATTATGCACAGTCGTGTGGACATTTCCATAATTTCTAGTGTCGTAATGTTGATAAATGTACGATTTATTACCTCGGACTAAGAAGTTCACTTATTTACTCACAATTGTATTTTATTATATTACTTTCCTTATGAACTTTCTTAAGTTATGCTAAATATAGCACATAATACAACAAATAAGCTTTTATATTATAAGTTGCTATAAAATATGTTTAAATTATTTATGGCATAATCGACATAAGTAATAATCTAATTAAAGAGTTAACTCTATTTATAAGTAACTCTACTTTTAGTTTTGACAGATTAAAATCAGCAAAGTTATTTTGCTTATTTGTGCTAATGGAAAGTTTCAAAAAATGGCCAAGTAATATTAAGGTATGCTTTTAAAAATCTGCACCTGGTTCATTATCGCTGTCATGAGCTGATATATTGTGCCTCGCGAAGAACTCTTCAGAGAGGGCACAGGAGGTGGCAGCAGCGGACGCGGCAGTCGCACACGCCGCAACAAACAAAACCACCACTAAATATTTCATGGTCACAGTTATCACTGATAAAATGTTTTGTTATATCAAACGCGTTTATTTCTCGTCGTGTATTCACTCCCGATCACGGAGCTGTGTACGGGCACTCGGCGCGCGTGCGACCACATCGGAGCGCCTTCCCGAACTGGTCACCCGGCACTGAGCGGGCGACCGAATAATGCCACAGACTGCATCGTTATAAATTAGGAACAAAAATAATAAAAAAATAAACTTGAATGTCCAAAAAGGTTTAGTTACTTTTCCTCTGGTTTTCAATTTTCTTTTTCTTTTTGTGAGATATTGCAGGAAATTTGTTTGACGATATAATTATGACAGTTTATTGAAAATAGAAAAAATAAATAAAGTAGAAACATGTTGATTATTATTATATTTTTACATTTTATTTGTTATTATATTTATTATTCGTTCAGAAATATATAACATAATTGTCAAAAGATAGTATACTAATTATATAATATAATACTCATTCATGAAAGCTTCTGAAATACAATATAACGGAAATGCGCATTTTGAGCAATAAATACAGTAGTTCACGTCATTTCCTAACCGTCCAGTTATTTTTCCCAAATTGACAATAAAAGTTACGTGACAAAATAGCGTGCATTCTATAAATAAGGCTGTCGTCGTACTAGGTACGTGATGCCCCTCGCGGCTGTATGCGGCGACGATGCGCGCGCACTGATATTGAACCATTGCCGCTCTTGGTGCCGACTGCCGTAACTCGGAACTGAGACTTAGATGTGGTATCTGGTGTATTTAAAGGACATTGTTCATTTAATTCTAATATAAATAGGAGTTTTTTGCATATTTTCAGCCACATACATTAATTAAATAACTTACCAGTTCATACTGGTAACTACTTAACTAGTAAAGTAGGTAATATTATTTGGGAAATGGACATAGATCAAATATGAGTGGTTCATATGTGGACTTCTAGTGTATTTCGTATTTCATGAATCATCTTTCACAAAATTCAAAGCTAAGGCACAGCGAACACGTGAAGTTGCAGCGGGTCGCGATGACATCGCACATGTTACTATAAACCAAGTGTAACAAACATATAAACAACGTTTCTCAATTAACTGTGCTTTTAGTAGCTTTTAAGCTCCCGTAGTAAAATACATTCGTATGTACAATGTATTGTAAAAGCTGTCTAGATTTTTTATTATAAATGTTCATTAATCATTATTTTATATGATTTGATGGGGGGTGGGGGTAGGAGGGTGAAAAATATACTTTACGATAATATACTTTACGATCTACCATACCGTACCATACAATGAGAATAGTCTCATATCTTCCAAACATATAAAAAAAATCATTAAAATCGTTCGAGTCGGTTCGGAGGAGTGCGACCACAAACACCGTGACACGAGATATTTATATATTAGATTATATGATGGTATTTTTTTAAACCCAATATATTCTTTATACACATATTTAGAATTCAAGCTATTTACTATTAAAGAAAAAGTGACGAATAATTTATAAAATGAATTCTCTACTACAAATTTAATTAACTCTATCATATTCAGATATTTAATTAAGTAAATATTAGGTTTTTTTTATACCACGACGGTATTATTATATCAATATTAGGTGAAATATTATAAATCATTGAAATTTCAGCCTAATTCTACACTTTAACCTTGTCTAGAATGAATATTTTAACATGAATTTTAACATTCAGGCCAAAGAATTTCTCAGTAGTACAGAAACAATCGAAGTTGAGGAGCATACAAAACACTTAGTATTTTTTGTGAACAATACACTCTAGACCGAAATGACCCATTCGGATGATAAATGCCGTTGAAACGCCATATTTTTAATTTATCACCCGATAGATAATCCAGGTAGAGGGGTTCATTGAGGTTCTTTGGGTCGCTCGCCGCCCGCCGCGATGCCATTGTTGCGAGCGGCGGCTTCTAACACACGGCTACAAGGTGTAGAATATAGCGTTAAATATTAAATTATTTTATACTACTTCATTGCTACTAATATAATGGGATAAATGTCATATTGAATTAAATATACATGTTGTGCTTTAAGTACATAACTACATAGTATAAAATAAAGTCGCTTCCCGCTGTCTGTCTGTCCCTATGTATGCTTAGATCTTTAAAACTACGCAACGGATTTTGATGCGGTTTTTTTAATAGATAAGAGTGATTCTACAGGAAGGTTTATATGTATAATACATGCATATGATATTACAGAAAAGCCGAGAAATTCAAAGGTTTGTATTTCATACTAACCGTTAAAACGTACCTAGGGACGAACCCGAGCGAAGCGAGGGTGAGTCGCTAGTTATTTAATAAATTGATGTGACGTAAATTTTTACTACGATTTAAAATAAACAATAAATGTATATCTTAACAGCTTCTACCTTGCACCTCATATTTATACAACTAAGCTTGCCTTAACTAAGAGTGTTGCTAGTAATAAAAGGGACGTCTCATTTATTATTAACAAATATTTCGCGCTGAATACCTTCAAAATGATTCTAACGGAAGGCGCCACATTTATTTTATTTCATTTGTTGCATACAATGCGTATGAAGGCACTTTGGCGGTCATTCCTTGCGTTAAACGACAGGAAATTATGTGAATAAACAGAAAAAAATTGTTAAGATGTGCGTGCGTGGGGTAAAGGCAGTTTGCGCGCGTTTATGTCTATTGTTTGCAAGTGCGCTTACGCATCACCTTTTAGATTGCAGGCATTCTTTTTTCTTTTATATATTTTATAATATAACTGTTCATAGAAATATTTGTATAGTAGTATAATATTTTTTTGATTATTAACATTTAATAATTAGAAAAATATTGTTCTCAATACTCAAACGCTCTACGTAGAGTGTTTTTATAATGAGAGATTACGTAATACATACATATAGTATAAGAAAGTTTATTATATTCCTCTATCAGTTTTTGGTAGGTAGGTACTCCTCTACAGCTCGTATTTAACATCCGTATTTAACAACTGGACGAAACTTGGTATACATGTCTTAAGACTTTATAGATTTTTTTCGTCGCTAGAGATTTTCGATTGGAGAGGTATTTCCTTCAAAAAGGGCAAAAAGGGGGCTACTGGATATATCCGACTTTTGAGATCCGATTTCGATGGTACTTTTTTAATTTGAAACTGTAACTTTAACTTAGTTTCATAAAAAAATGGTGAAGATCTGATGAGGTTCTTCGGCATGATGAGCAGAATAGCTCCTCAAAATGCAGTTTGTACTCGCGAGGTCTACTTTTCGCAGAAATACTATAAGTAATATAGGTTTTCGAAGTCTAATAGGAACTATGTATTGGCGGATCATCTTCGATACTTATTCATACAATAGCTCTAAAAATGTGACATTTCATTATAAATAAGTAAATTATTTTCTTTTTATTTGTTTTTTGTGGTTCAACTAAATTTGAATAATTAGCTTCAAATGTATCTGATGGCTCTCCTGAGTCTCTGTTAGATCAAAGTAAATTATACTTTAATGTGTGAAATGTAGATAACAAAAATCCAAAATACGACGTGTAGCAAGGCGTGTCGTATCTTGTCGACACAAGCAAACGATTAGCAGTCATGGGCAAAAAATCTCTACAAAAACAGACAATGGTCTGATACCATGAAAAATTTCAAATAAAACAACCTTTGTATCAAACCGTTTTATACGTCTCTCGCTTAAATATGCACAAATAACTCTGTGTTCACAGGAACGGTAAAAATAAATATGAAATATAGTAAAAAAGTAATTTAACACTTGCATGACAATTAACAGTTAATTTGCACTTGACTATAATAAATGTAACATATTTATTATTTATTTATATTTTGCACGTACTACCATGTTATTAAAAATATAGTGAGTAAAGTATATTAACAAAAACATTCCATAAAAAAATATTTACATTAATTGTTTTACGATAATATATATATAATTCACGTAAACCAATATTGCGTCATGTGTAGCCATAGCTTTAGGGTAAAATAATGCGACGTCATCATTTACCTACGGATTTCGTAAACGCACATAATTGTCCCTATAATATTAATAAGGCATATATATTACCTGTCGTCGATTGAAGTGAACTCCTTTATTTTGAATAAATTCGAATATTTTCAATGGAATTAATTTTCAGTGTAAGTAGGTACTTCAGACTGATCTACTAATTAAGTTCGGGTTTTTGTACGAATAATGATATTTACTATATATATTTTACCAGACGCATTAAAGTACTAAAGGGAATGAGTAAATTATAAGCATTTGGTTAAAACTTTGTTGGTGTTACTAAACAAAAGAGATGCTGCAACAATCCTATTTTATCACGTAAATTATAAGAGTTATTTTATTCAAAAGGACACCTCATACTATAAGTACTCGTAACTTATTTATGCAAAAAGCACGCATTCTAATTCGAAATATTATTTTATGAAAAACGCATTATAATGAAAAGAAACGTTAGAAAAATAGTCCATTTTCCAAAGTGATTGGAAACGTTATTGTCGTTCAGTTAAGAGAAATAAACGCTCTATTGTCATTGAGTTCCAAATCATTAATATCGTGCAAAGAAATATCAAACAAAAGAAGGTAAAGAATAGAATTTTTTCGCCCTCCTCAGCGTCTATGTTCCAGTTATGAAAAATGTTTGTGTCATTTTTATTTATCTGTGCAGATGAATGGTCATTGAACTTTAGAATTCCTTTACCTTATTAATGTGCACTTACTAGGTCTTTTATTGATATCAAATCACTTTAACTTAAAGTTACTTAAAATTATAATTTATTGGCATAGACGTTAGGACACCATATATGAGGTAATCTTTCTTTTCTACAAAATATATCATAAAACAAATATAAAATAAATAAAGTACTAATGAAAACATTACAAAATTAACAGCGTTTATTATTTTTTACAAATTGCATAAAAATAACATAAAACTGGTGACTTGATACAAAAAATATGTAATATGGCGGCTAGTCTGCGTCAGGCGTCTGCACCAGGACGCGCGTCCACAGACAAGTAATAAAAAGAATGTCTTAAAGCAAACAGTGCGCATACAGCCAGCGTTCCCACCCTTCAAAGCCTGTCACCGCTGGAGATATGAGCCTAATTTATAATATCGCCTCCGTTGATACACTCGATAAAAAACCGTCACACGAGATCACTTGATCATTACCACGACATTTTACTGTGTACGTTGGAGATGTGTTAAAATTATACATTTTTTTGTTCTTTGAAATATTATGCTGCTTTACCAATTTGATTGATGGAGTTAATAAAGTATTGGTCTATTCCACATAATATATAAGTTTTTTAAGTATTGGTAATGTACCAAAATCTTTATAATCAATCTTCTATGGTAGATGAAGTTTATCCCATTGTTATTCTACTGCGAAAATGAATACCTACATTGCTAAACTTTCATTGAAATACAAAAAAGTGAATTATATGAATTCGTACCATTTTAAATATTGATAAAAAATATTCCCGAACGATTTGTGATACAAGAATTTCCTATCGATATTATATTCGAACAAGTATGTAGTGGCGGGTTCGAAGCTCGAAGCGCGAAAATCGCCGTGGGCAATGCTTTGACGCGCCGCGCGAGCTGCGCGTTGTTCACATACTTGAAGGCACAATATACCTTCTACACATAGATATATATTTATTTGCATTTTAGAGTACAATATGTATAAAGAGTATAAAAAACAAAAATGTATAAAGAATAGTTATTTGATTTAACGCACATATCTGGTTAAACTTCTAGAGTGTAAAATTTTTGGCTATTTTTTATGAAGCATTATTTATTTCTATATGAATAATAAATTTACAGTAAAAAAGGAACAGAGCTTTAAGTATTGACACGTTAAAACAGGTTATGTTTATGATCTACAGTGTAAATAAATGATAATTTGAATGTACGCAATTATAGAAGTTTGTCATTTCATACATACTCATTACTTTATTATATACTGAATTGATTATGTTTTTTTCAGTAATGTAATAATATAAGAATAGTTATGACTTATGTAACAGTAGGTACTTACTATAAGAAAAATAAAACATTAGCTATAAGGTGCTAATTTTGAATTCTTTTCACTTTTAAAAAAAAAGTGTCGATTAATATATTTGCATCGTAAAATTATTATAAATTTGGATTTGAATAATGAATTAACACGTACTATTAATTTAGCGTGAATCTTTATGATTAGATTAAAAAAAAACTTTTTGTAACATCTCTTGGGACTTAAAGAAAACATGCACGAACAACAGTTCTATCTTATTAAACTCATTTACGTGCACCGCAAGTTTTATTCCAATTAAGTTGTGAACTCGATGTTATATAAAATTTTATCATGTAGTCATCGTATCAAAAAATGTATATTTTTAAAAAGACATTGTAATATGATGTGTAATCCAAAAAAGAAAGATTTGAATGAAGTCAGTTTCATAGAAGGTTCACCACAAATCATCATAAAGCCATGCGCCTCTAATTATCCTGGCTGCCATTCTGATGATAAAATCTCGATTTCTAAACTAATCCAACGGTTGTGTGACTAACACGCCAGGAATGCATGCGAGCCGGGCCCGGTGCGCGGGAGCAGGGTGGCGCGGAAACCTGCTTGCTGTGAAAAAACGCCGAAAAATCACATCTACTTTTATTATTTTCTACAAATGTAAGCTCTTTTACAAACCCATAAGGACTCAAATAAAGGATAACTTCAATATAAAGTTTGGTCCTTTTCATAAAATTGAAGGTTAGCGCCGGCGACAGTGTACTCGCAATCGTTGTAAAGATTTCTTAGCGGATACGGTGTGTCCTTTGGTGGAAAAACATAAAAAAAAATCTGATTTGCAAATAGAAATACAATTTATAAAATGAATATTAATACCATGTTTTACTTCGTAGACTGAAGTTTAATACCTATCTATAACGACCGAACGGCGTTTTTTACTCACGCAAATGTAAGAAAGTCTTTCAATCCTTTGATAAATCACGCAATTGCCAGTTCCACGACAGTATAAAGTGCGACATTTCCCGGCGGAACGAAGCAGCGTTTTACATTTTGCCACAATGAGCATCCGTCGTCGTCGTCGAGCGACAAACTCTAGACACAACACACTAGCATACTGCTTTACATAGTAGTACCTGATTCTTATGGTTCCACACATAGAAACTATAATGCAATAAATAAAAATCAATGTTACAAACATGAAATGTACGAGGGGGCTCTACAATGCCACTAACACCTCGACGGAACTCGCAGTCTGAGACTCTTGGTGGAGACCAACAGTAAATAGTAAATAAATGTATGTATCGTATTATAGAGCGCAAGGTAGAGCCTTTTGAAAGAGGATGAGTTTTTGTACACACATTTTTAAAGTGAATAAAAGCTTTGTCAGAGCTCTACGAATGTATGTCAAGCGTATATTTTTAAATAATAATAATACTGTTAGATAAAAATTCTATATATTTTTATTTATTGAAAGATTGTTAGAAGAATTTTCCATCATAGAAATACCATTCCAGCTATAAATCTTTCAGCTAACATTAATCATTGGCGAAACTTGAAGTCAGAAATTCGCTTGCTATCCAAAAGTTAGCGTAAGGTGTGCGCCGTAAAAAGTTTGAAGAGGAAAGAAAGTAAATAAATGAAATAGCTATCATCGGAAACATTTCCAGTGTTTTTGTATTTAAGGCGAAATGTTTATTTAATTTTAACTGTTTATTCATAATCGGGTCAACACAGTAAAGTTGTCGAAAACGTTTTGTTCATTTTTAAAGCATTTAATTGTCGACTGTGAATGATTTTTGGCGAATAGCGTCAACTTTAATTATTTTATACTAGCTATATAGTTTAAACAACAGTACAATGAAACCCGTACAATAAAATATGTCATTATATTTTTTAAGGTTCCGATGAAAAAAGGGAACTAATATATGAACATTCATAGATCTGCCAATGTTTTTTTTTATCAACCTTACAATAGACTGGACACAAGGGTTGAAAAGTTCATTTATAGAACTAGAGTCAGTTTTTCCTCTCTACATATCCATTCTCTAAAATGTAAAAAAAAATGTAGACCTTTGAATTCTAAAACTTTGAATTCCCAGTTGACTCAAAAATGCTGAATTTAAGCAATAAGGACAAACTGGTACCAACTGATTTTACTGCCCAATTACCAGAAAATGTCTCGAAAAGCATTGTGTGGTTTGTAGAAAGCTAAGCATTTACCGTTGTTACCTTTGAACTTTGCGATTATTTCTCTTAGATACCATGACAAAAAGTTATCTGTAATTAAAACAAGCTCTATTATTACAAGTAAAATAGCAAAGAATTTGTCAAGTTTACTTTTACATAACTTTCATTTACGTAACTAAGAAGTTACTTATTATTAGTAAAATTTAGAATATTTTGTGTTCTTTCTAAAATTGCTTTGATTTTAAAGCAATTTCAGATAAAAGTCAATTACAATGCTCAAAACAGCTTTAAGGCCAGACCAGACAAGACGCCGTCTAGATTTGGTTGTGACTTGTGGTTGAAACTAAAGCCACAGATCAATTTTCTCTAGGCGATCGTTAACACAGGACCTGCCACAGATCATGCCAAATTAATTGCACATCAAGCAATAAGTGATCGGGCTCGAAGGGCGGATTTCGAGAATGGCTCCATACTACATTTAAAGACCACCAGAAATTGAAGCTCGTAGGTGACGAGCGGCCAGTTATGTAAGCGGACTAAATTATACTTAATTTTATTTATGAGTTGTGAAGATAACTAAACGAGCCTACGAGGCTTATATCGCTTTTAAGTCTTTAATTAGTACCTTTTATAAAATTGATTACAGTATCAGAAAGATAGAGACTAACATCCAATATGAGTGTTCATGCTATGAATCTCAAGCTAGAAGTATCAACCTTAGCTATTTTATTATTTGATAGGAAATATTATCGTGTTCATATTTCGTTGTAAGCAAAATCGCACAATTCATACGTGCCTTTAAACCGTTTGAGTCTCGTGACCCATTTCGTACACCGCGACCTACATAAAATGTGTAAAAAGCAACGCCACACTAAATCATGTCAAATGTTACAAAGCCTATTTTTTACTTGGACTTAAATATTTCACGTTTAATGAAGGTGAAACCACTTATAACTTTGAATGCACATTTATTATTTGCAACATACAGTTATGTTGACGATGATTTAACCCAGTTGAATTGTGGTAGCGAATTCGATTCCCGTGCGAACTAAACTTTCTTGTTTTTGCATGGGCAGCTTCTCCATTAAAAAACACGCCATAGTTACAAGTGAAAAACCAAAATGTATGAAAATATTCTATTGCGTAATATTGTTGAACGGCGACGATTTTCGCTAGCCTAGCCGGGTCAATAAGTGGTAAAACAGCTCAGGATAAATTAGAATTCATTAATCGTTTTAAGTTTTTGGTAACAAAACTGTTACTAAAAACTTGGTAACATCGATCAAATGAGAAACATAAATAACTGTTAGAGAAATAAAATTGAAATAATGTATATTTTGTGTGGACATCTACTTTGACAGTTTCCTACATAATATTTATGATGCAGGTTGCTTTTCACTGACCATTTTATGACCATACGTCAAACGACGGTATTCACTTATTAATATCATAATAATTTATTAGCGTCCATTTTGTTATGAATTATGTATCAAAATTGCCAATAACTCGGACATGATCGTATACGCGCAGTAAATACTTGTTGGTCGTAAAACCGTAATAAACCACAGCCAGGGCTCGGCCAGTGTGAGGAAACACGATCCTGAACAATGTACATTTTTACGACACCTATAACTTCGTAAACGAAAGAATTTACAGCTTGCGTGCATTTGGCACGGTTTTCCGTTGTGAAATGCAAAAATTGAATTAATTTGCCTTTTAAATTTCAAACAATATGGAGTCATAATAATTTAAAATAACAAATGGAAAATGAGAAACTTAAGGTGCTTACGGTAACTTAAGGTTTCATAAAGCTGGTTATTTCTCATTTGCGGAGGAAAATTACTCCGCGCCGACGCTTATGAAGTAATGAATTTTATGATATATTGTTGAAATAAAACATGAAATTATTGTTTGAAGATAAAAAAATATACCATTATAGTAAAGTTTTTAAAAATTTTATCTTTTATTTTCTAGTTACGTTTCCATGTTTAGCTCAGAGATGAGATATTTTCCCGCAGTAAAAAGTATCCTATATGTTGACCCGGATAACCAGCTCACTCACAGACAGACAGACAAAAATTCTAAAAACTATAGATTCGGTCTCTGTATCGATAATGTCTATTTCAATAAGATTTTCCAACAAATATTTAATTTTTATTTAATTAAATAAAAATATTGTTCATTGAGCTTTTATATCGCGCATTTATACTATGAACACGATATGTACATTAAATATTTAGAAAGATCTATCTATATTTAGACTTATATTAAGATTATTAATCATTATAGGAGATGATTTTAGTAAGAAAAATTTACACAAATATTATTTCTATAAACAGGAACAATAGGGTGTTAAATAAAAAATAAGTTATACGGAAATATTTTATTAAATCAAACAATACAATCATGAAAATCAGGTCATTCTTACACACAGATAAGGCACAAAATATTTCTCAAGAGAAGTAAACCTACATGAACGTGATCTTGGTCCGCACTTGGTTGACTTGCCATACATTGAGATTCTCGTACTCTTCGATGCAAGCGTCCACCTAAAAAAATACAAAAATTACTATTTATCTATACATATAATAAAACTGCAATTAAACCTAATCTGTACATAAAATATTTTTTTGAAAATCTTATTGAAACAAACTTTATTATCGATGCAGAGGCCGAATCTACAGTTTATAGATTTTTTGTTTGTCTGTCTGTCTGTTACCGCATCACAGAAAAACTAGTGGAGGGATTTTGATAAAATTGGGTATGGTGATTGATTGCTGGTTATCCGGTTCAACATGCAACACATAAGAATACTATATATAGCAACATAGGATACTTTTTACAGCGGGAAAATGTCTCATTTCTGAGAAAAAATACAAAAACTGCAATATAAAAGTATACTAATATGTAAAACCTAAGAATTTGGTTTTTGGTGATCTGAACGCGGGCGGAGCCGCGGGCAATGCTAGTATTTAACATAAAATAATGTATTACTTTCTTTTTTCTGGTTAACATTACTATTTGGCAGGGGCAGTGGTGGAAATCGAACCCACAATAACAGGCATAAGGCAATTGTCTCTAAACACTACATACACTTTAGTGAATGGTTATTAGCAAGAGTATACATTTGTAATCATGTTTTATAAAAAAAATATGAAGATGTATGTTATCGCTATATTTCTAAACATTTGACATAATCATTCATTCGATTATGTTTCAGTCAAAAAAATCTATTCACTGCAGTGACAAAATAAATATTGTTAATACACAAATACACACCAATTCTCTTTTTTTTAGCTCACCTTTAGTTGGGTATACTTTTTAAAATAGCCATTTAAATATTCACACTTCATCTGTCTCAATTTTGAGCAGACACAGATACTTTAACTTACGTAATATTGATGATATAAAATAACCGTGACGTGTTCATTGTATTTAAATTAAATCAATTATTATCTTATAATTAAGTTGTACAACTTTATAATTAATATAAATTTATTAATGAATTCCAGGTGTAATATGTTCATTATATTTGCAAAAAAACACCACGTCATGGCCTCGAATATAATTAACTATATAACAGAACACAATTAGCGGTTCAAAGTCATTATCTTTAATATCCCAAAGCGCATAAAGTTGAAAATTTAGTAACTAAATAATGCGTAATCAAAACCTATGGAAATAAATTACGACTAAACACTGCTATTTGCGTATAATGAAATGTGACCATAAATATTTTCTTATTTGTTTAAGATATGAAAATTAATTTTTAATACATATTTATTTTATAAAATTTTAAATATTATTATTTATTTAATTAAAAAAAATTGTCATCTATATTATTAGGTATATAAAAACTTAAAAAAACCGACTTCCAAGCACTAAAATGTAAAAAATAACTAAACGGGAGTTTTCATTTAAAATAGATACCTAATCAGATATTTTCGAAGTCAGTGCCAGCCGATGCAAAGCAAATCTAATATATTTCGATACCTAAAATACATCACAAATTGATGTATAATATTTTAACTATATTAGAGTTCATACCTAATAAAAACTTTTTAACAAAAAAATAAAAACCGACTTCAAACAAAAGCACTAAAAAGTGAAAAATAACTGATTGGTAGTTTTCATTTACTATACATACCTAATCAAATATTTTCGAAGTCGGTGTGCTTTGCTTTGTATGGGCTGGCACCGATTTCGAAAATATTTGATTAGGTATGTATTTAATAGGTAGGCTTTAATTATTTAGCCAAAGCACACCGACTTCGAAAATATTTGATTAGGTATGTATAGTAAATGAAAACTACCAATCAGTTATTTTTCACTTTTTAGTGCTTTTGTTTGAAGTCGGTTTTTATTTTTTTGTTAAAAAGTTTTTATTTTTCCCTTTTTAGTGTAGACAGTAGTAGCAAAGTAAGGATTCTAACGTGTTAGGCTTGTCAAATCAAACAAAATAAGCCCAAACTCAAAGTATCTACTATTAGCCGTTGAAGAGTTCCACCTATCCACCTTCTGGCCTTGCCATCAGATCAGGTCAACAACACCGAACCACTGTACTATCAACGAAAATAGAAATACTTGCAAAGTTTCAAGTCAATATGACAATTAGAAGTAGGTTAAATTCATTATTAGTTGTTTTTCCACCCTTAGGGGTGGTATTTTTTTTTTGAAATTTAAATGGGACCAATCTGGAAGTATACCCTTTCAAACGACACAAAAATTGTCCAAATCGGTTAATAAATGTCGGAGTTCTGAGGTCACAAACATAAAAAAAAAAAAAAAAAAAAAAAACATACAGTCGAATTGAGAACCTCCTCCTTTTTGAAGTCGGTTGAAAAGTATCATCCATCCATCCATCACTCTGTTAAAACGTGAAAGTAGAACAAACAAACAAACAAACAAACAAACAAACAAACAAACAAACAAACACGCTAACAATATAATAAATATAATATTAGTATAGATAAAATCTCCTGTGCATCTGCCTAGTTTCAAAGAGGAAACAAATAGTTCAGGAGGACATTATAATGACCTGGTCGGGCTTGAACCCCTTGTCGACGCAGCGCTCGATGACGTCGGCGACGCGCACGCTGCGGCCGGCGCCCGCCAGCTCGCGCACCACCGCGAAGATGCGGTCCGTCGCGCTGATACCCCTGAAAATGACGTACAGTTAGCGTTCGTGTATACATAATACTTAATTATTAAATTCACATATTAAACGTTTTTTATGGATATTGCCATAATATGAAAATCTGAAATTTATCGCATTGTAATATTGTAAACAAATACTATTTTTATAAAAGGGCAATTATTGAATTTATCGCTGACTCTTCTCAGCAGAGCTGTCTTCCGAACAGGCTGTAGCTTCTTCATAACTTATGTAGTGAAATTCTATTTAAATATTAAAAAATATATAAAGTAAAAGTACGCGACAGAGGGTATGGTAGTGCGTGCTTCTCAGTACTCTATTGTCCACGTTTTGTTACACATTAATTGTTATTCAATTAAGGATATATTCATATTATCAGAAGCCGCCAAGGGCGTGCGGCGCTATAATGCAAAGAGACGGCCGCCTCAGGCAGCAAAATATAGGGGCGGAATTTGGAACCATCGAATACACACATAGTACCATAATATTTAACAATAAAATTATAAATAACTAGCAGAACCCGCGGCTTCGCTTGCGCTAAAACTACAAAAAGTCTCTAAAAAGGTAGCTTCACACAAACTTTCATACCCTATTTTACCCCTTTATAGGATGAATTTCGAAAAATGCTAAAACACATATTTATTTAATTTTAAATTCATTTTCAAGTTTCAAGTCATTCTAATCATAAATATTTTTTTGGACTGTATTATAACGTGTTTTCCCGTGGGAATTATATGATCTCCCGCGGTAAAAAGTAGCCTATGTCACTCTCTAGCCCTCAGACTACATCCATACAAAAAATCACGCCAATCCGTCACTCCGTTTCGACGTGAAAGTAGGACAAACAAACAAACACACTTTCACATTTATAATATTAAGTATGGAAGTATGGATATACTTTACACACAAATGTTTATAAAATACATTGATGAGTTCCATATGTAGCCCTAAGCAAAAGCCTAATCAATAAGCATCATACTGAAAAAACTACCGCACGGCCCTAGGTGCCGCCATTTCTAATGTCAATATTTATCAGCTATAAGAATATTGATATAGCTTGATACATGTATTTAGTGTATTTAAAAAAAAAGAATACCTCTGTACATTTTCTTCAACATGTTGTAACGATTGTTTCGACATCTCAACGAGTCTAATAGCCTCGGACACATCTTCTTTCTCGACCACATCTGACAATCTATAATATATATTATTTTAACAAATATATATGTATAAAATTCCGCTGTAACAAATCGAGTGTTTTAAACAATAGCAGAATATTTGTTATTATGACTATGATACATAATATATTCATATTATATTCTTACATGTAAGCAAAAAAACCTTATGGCATAAGTAGAATACTTTAAGCTTTACTGTTTTATTCTGAATTAGATTTTAAGGGCGAAAAAATTGAAACAGTTTCCTTAGAAAATACGGTAATTTGTGAAAAGAAAATTTATAACATTTATATGAATGATAACCTGAGTCGTGCGAGCGCAGTGGAGAGGCGCAGAATGGCGAGCAAGTTCCTCGCCGATGTGAAGGTGACGTCGCGGGCGTTGCGCGCCTCGCGTCGCAGCTCTACGTACGACGCTATAACATAATGTTTATATGTATTTATATCCAAATGTGTATAACTAGCAGTACCCGCGGCTTCGCCCGCGTTCAAACTTACGATATAAATATCAGTTTTACAATAATGTATGGCAGTCTTCCTGATTTGTTGACATTTATGCTTACTTCTCCACTCCCTTGGGTAGTAGCATGATGATATATAGCCTATATCCTTCCCCAATAAACGGGATATCTAATGCAAAAAGAATTTTTCAAATCGGATTATAGTTCTTGAGATTAGCGCGTTCAAACAAACAAACTCGTGTCTCTTTATAATATTATTATAGATAAATGTGCGACAATTTCAAAATTATATTCATAGTTCTTATCAATGCTAACTTTGGCCCATGCCTCCGCTACTCTTATCATGATCATCATAATTGATGATAACCTATATCTTTTCCTAATTAAAATATGGTCTATAAACACAAAAGCAACTTTTCAAATCTCACTAGTACTTCCAGGGATTAAACAAATATGTGTTAGATTAGATGGTCAGGGCTTATATTATATACTTATCTATACTAATATTTTAAAGAGGTAAAGATTGAGTTTGTGAGATTGGGAGTTTGTAACGTTGTAGGGGGTAATCTCTGGATCCACTGAACCGATTTAGATAAAAATGGTAAGATAGTTTGAGACCCTGGAAAGGACATAGGATACTTTTTACCCCGGAAATCATCCCTTAAGGGGGTGAAAAGGGAGATGAAAGTTTGTATGGGGAATCAAACTAGGGACGAACCCGAGCGAAGCGAGGGTGAGTCGCTAGTATAAATATATAAAAATCGATGTGTGTATGTTCCCTATGGATTTTGACGAAATTTTCAGGCAATCTTCAGATTAGCCCTGCGAGTGATCCTGTGAAGTATGGTAGCGATCGGACGTTTGAACGCGGGTGAAGCCGCGGGACACTGCTCGTAATTAATAATAATAAGTAGATAGAAGGCCGACACTGGAAACATATTGATAACGCGCTCGCTTGGAAAACCTAGTGAAGTGGGTTCAAATCCGGGTCTCGCACCTCTGATATTTTCCATTACCAATTGTCTTACGATGAAAGAAAACATGGCGAGGAAACCTGAATTTCTGAGAGAACCTAGCATGTTTTCTAAAGACATGTGCAGTCCACCAATCCGCACTCGACCAGAGTGGTGGACTATGGCCTGACCCTCCTCGTATTGAAGGGAGGCCCGTGCCCAGCAGTGGGGAGTGGGCGACTCACAGACGATGTAGTCGGCGAGCGGGCGCGGCACGGTGGGCTGCTTGCGGCGCGTGAGCGCGAGGTAGCGGCGCACGAGGCGCATGGGCAGCGCGCGCACCTCGCTGGGCGGCTGCGACGAGTGCTGGTGCACGTACGCGATGTGCTTCGCCAGTTCTAGATCTTTCTCTCTGAGAATACAACATATTTGTTAATGGACGAATGTTTGTATATTTGTGTTTGTTATTGATATGAATATCAACTTTGCAGCAGATTTGCTCGTGTAGAATACACGTGTAGTTTTCGGTACAAGTAATGTGTTAAAACTTCTTCCAATTCTACCGAATGGGGTATCAAAATAAAGGTTTTTAAAAGGTCATATAAAAATATATACAACATATGTATTTAAAATAATCTAGGACAAAAAAATTGATAAATAAATATCTAGAATTTAGATTTTAACCACTATTTTCATTACGCTAAGGGCTTTATAGCAGAAAAAGAATCTCCGACTGAGTATACAATACAGTACAATACACATCTCAGCAAAACATAAACAATAATCATTTATAAATATTAATTATAATTTAAATTAAAGTAATAAAAATTTCTCCCAATAATTTTACCATTTTATTTATCATTTTATGGAGTAAACTAAATATATTAATTTTCCTTTCTTCACTACAAATATTGTATCAAAGAAGAAAATCATAATACTTTCTTAAATTTACGCGAATATTTGACATTTTAAATAAAACTATCTTTTCGGATATTGGACGGATCAGTCACTCCCGTGACCATGATTGCTGTAAATTATTCGAAACGTCGGTAACCAAAAATCTAAATAATACCACGAAAAAATTCGAAAAGATCATTTTATTTAAGTAGAGAATAATGTATTTAAACACAAGTAATAAACACCTGTTAGGCTTGTCCTGTATGAGCCAGAGCAGATCGAAGCGTGAGAGCAGCGCGGCCGGCAGCTGTATGTTCTGCTCGATGGTGCGCTTGGGGTTGTAGCGGCCGTACGCGGGGTTCGCCGCCGCCAGGATCGACACGCGCGCGTTCAGGCACGTCATTATGCCGGCCTAAGTGTTTCAAGTTAGTTAATATGACGAAACGTTTGGCTCAGTTTCTAGTGACCCTACTTGTTGTGCCAGTGGTCGCGGGTTCGAGTCCCGCTGGGGGCATTCATTTGTGTGTTGAGCACGAATGTTTGTATATTATGCATGTATTTAAAGTTATATGTGTAGTGTATCAACTATCTGATATCCATAACACAAGCCTCGTAGGCCGTAGCTTACCAAGGAACTAGATGGCGCTGTGTGTTAGTGTCTCAACATATTTATTTTATTTATACATATATTATTTATTTATATTTTGCACGTAGTACCATGTTATCTATACATATAATAAAATTGTAACTAAGTCGAATCTGTACATTAAATATTTTTTGGAAAATCTAATTGAAATAGACATTATTATCGATACAGAGTCCGAATGTATAGTTTTTAGAATTTTTGTCTGTCTGTCTGTCTGTTACCGCATCACGAGAAAACCACTGGACAGATTTTGATGAAATTTTGTATGACGATAGCTGGTTATCCGGGTCAACAAATATAGGATACTTTTTACCGCGGAAAAATATCTCATTTCTGAGAAAAAATACAAAAACTGCAATGAAAGAGTATACTAATATGTAAAACCTAAGAGTTTGGTTTTTGGTCATCTGAACGCGGGCGGAGCCGCGGGCAATGCTAGTTTATTTAATATATTTGGTGATTTGCATCGATTAAAAAAGTACTAGATACACAATCCCATGCAAAAGTTCTCTTAAAACTGTCTGGTGACAGTTGTGTTTAGATAATTATTTTAGTTGAAATAACAATACAACAACGTAAATTAAATCTTAAATGCAATGATTAAAATTGGTTTCACAAAACATTTTTTTTAAAAGCGCGCTCAAATGTTCGAATGAGCGCTCATTCAGTGAGGACATTTTTTGTCGCTGATAGTGTATCTAGACTTTTTTGAACGATGGTGATTTGCTATAAGATTATTATACATAATTATTTTAGATTATTAGATTGATATAAGAATAAGAACTCTTATATAAATGTACACTTAATATTAATAATTACAGAAGTACATAATATATTAAACAATAAATAATAGTACAAAATCAATTTACTTCTAGCTCAAACAGCATTCCCCATATTAATACAAAAATATCATCATTTTATTTAATACAATGTCTTATTTCACAGCCTTCGTGAATAATATTATCAAAGACAAGTAATATTTACCTTTAATATTATTTTACATTTATTATAGCAATCAGAAATGTGAATTTATAAAACAAAAATTAAGCAAGAACAAACCTTAGCAATACTGATGGTTTGCTGCTCCATAACCTCGTGTATGGCGGTGCGGTCGTTCTCCGCCATCTTGTCGAACTCGTCGATGCAGCACACGCCCTGGTCCGCCAGCACTAGAGCGCCTCCCTCTAACATCATTTCACCTGTGAATGGGTCCTGGAACAAAGCAAAATATACATTTATAAGCAAAATAATATTGATGAAAAAAATCTATTAAAATCGTGCTACATAAGAACAAAACTAGCATTTAAGATATGTACATACGTCTCATTATACGTCTACGTCTATGAAATTAAACTGAAATGAAATCTTTATGAATAATCACTTCCATACATGCTTATCGTCTATAATTATTAATCTATATCAAGACCTACGTCTTAATTAGAAAAAAAATCAGTTAAGAGTTGTTTATGTTAATTTTGCACTATTGTTTAAAGGAAAATACTTTCTCTTTCGCGTCATCATGGTTATGCACACCCTTTAATCTCTACAACTCATAGTCCTATATGGTATACTAGCAACTCACTCTCGCTTCACTCGGGTTTTAACGGTTAGTATGTAATAGAAATCTTTGAATTTCTTGGTTATTCTGTACTATAATATGCATGTATTATACATATAATATACCTTACTCTTGAATTACTCTATCTATTAATAAAAAACCGCATCAAAATCCGTTGCGTAGCTTTAAAGATCTAAGCATACATAGGGACAGACAGACAGCGGGAAGCGACATTGTTTTATACTATATAGTGATGTAACTCGATGTTCTACCTTGAGGACAGCAGCAGTGAGTCCGACGCCAGAGGAGCCGCGGCCGGTGGTGTACTGGCTGCGCGGCGCGAGGCGGTCGATGTAGTTGAGCAGCTGCGACTTGGCCACGCCCGGGTCGCCCATCAGGCAGATGTTGATGTTGCCGCGGATCTTCATACCGTTGGGACGTCTGATGGGATATACACGTTATTTTATTATATAGCCACATATTATCATATATTTTTTTGTTTCTTTTTTAACGTTGGTAAATGCATTTACACAAACTACCTATATGTATAAATGGTGACTTCCTAAAGAAATTAGGTTAAGAGTTACTTATTGACATCCCAGAAATGGTTAAATTTGATAAGGACACCAACAAGATGGCTTGGAATGTCTTTACTAAAACACAGAAGATCAGAAACTTAACTAAAGCATGCTTCAGATGAGCATTATCAAGGCAACAATGAATATAAGACCTCGTCATTAATCTGCTTGTGTCTTTTTATCAATTTGTTATATCTTTAAACATATTATATAAAAATCTGACCAAATGCGAATCCAAATTGGAACTACACTAAAGTATTTAAACATTATTCCATATAAAGTTTTATATTAATTATCATTAGTAACATGTAATACTCGTACATTGTATAATGGTACAAAACCCTCAACACGCCAACATGACAATTTTTTTAAATTTTATTTAAATAAATATATTTACTTATCAACACCGCCAACCAGCAACAACAGTAGAGCTTTCTTAACATCTTCATGCCCGTATATCTCGGGGGCTAAGCTGCGCGCCATCCTCGAGTACAGATCTTCATCAGCTAACTCTGCCAATTCCTCTTCTGTTAGTGCTTCTGCAGTGTCACCTTCTTCACTTTGATTTAAACAGGTTATTCCCTAAAAGGAATAGAAATTGCATTGTAACAAACAATGAGGCTAATAGAATTATATGTTGGTGAGTTAAAAAAAACATAAAAACCATTACTTCCAAACTATTTTCCATCCCGTATTGAGATCTTTATGCAAAGCTTGTATAAATTGTATGCATCTAGACAGGGATGTTATGGATATGAAATTTCGGATCTAAATGTGGATACCGTCCTAAAGTATTTTTCACTCTCCTGCCTCCCACCCTCCATTTTTTAATCGAGATTTAAGTATTTTTGTATCTTCCGTTAGATTTCTATGATAATTTATATGACAGAAACACGTTTGCCGGGTGAACTAGTATGAATATTACACTGGTTTCAGATACGGTTATGAAATTATTTCGGAATCTCCAATAGTTTTGGATAGTTTCTGTTACAGATATTACATTTTCGTTTTAGAAATTGTAATAGGAAAATACGAATTGGTAATGATTTCACTTAATTTATAGGTTATTGGTATTTTGTACCTACTACAATGTATGTATGTAGCTAAGCGAAAGAAATAACAAAGGATGCGCATGTTTAGAGTGTCGGTTGAGGAAAACCTGTCATAACGTTATTTGCAAAAATCATTTTTATATCACATATAACTTCATGTGTATTAAGAATTTTATTAAATTTCAATCATTTCTGATTTTTTACATGGCAATTCAGCACACGTACTATATGTACTATAATTTTTTATCATTAATCTTTCCTCACACATCCACTATTAAAGGAGTTAAAATAAAATAATTACATGAGATGAATTATAACACATTAGCGACAAACTTGCTTGGCTTGGGTGTATGTCTAAGTACCTAACAGTAGCCGATAAATAAAATATTTAGTTATCAATGACCACTTTTTTCTGACAATAAACTCAATAATATAACCTATTAGAGAGAATTTTCAAAATCAGATCACTAGTTTCAGATATTACGCCCTACATACAAATTATAAAATTAGTATAGATAACTCACATGAGCTTCCAAATACGTATCAGAGAGCAAACCCTGAACCATCTGCTTGAAGCCAGCGTTGAGCATCGGCAGGAATATGCCGGTGACGGCCACGTGGTCGCCGGGCTGCGCGCGCCGCGACGTCTCGCCGCGGCAGTACACCGACAGCTGGCGCGGGATGTGCCCTACGGGCACCTGATCCGACTGTTGGGGCAGAGCATTTTATTCAATTTATATTAAAATGGTTTGGTACTTCTTATAGTTGTATATAAAAGTAATTATTTCCACCACAAGTATAAACTATTCTTAAATTAAATTATAAAGCAATTTCTAATGACTCTTGGTAAAAATATTAGGCAAAATGCATAAAATAGGGAAAAAATTACATCTAAATAAAGCAAGTGCTTTATTATTGAAACTAAACATAAAAATCAATAAATAATTTTCATGCAAATTAATATTGTTTCAATCCATTCAATCCATCTTTAGTTAGGTGCTACAATCATATACCCTCATATAACTTAATACATCAAAAACTGATTTCACTTACATGCTCTTGTATCTTTAACTCCTGGAACTTCTGGAACCGAGAGCCTCGGGTCTGTAGATGGAGCTGGCCAGCTGTCTTATTCAATCTGCACTCTTCTGCAGAACATGAAGGGGGAGGTGTGAACTGGAGACCCCTCACAGGTTGATAAATCTCCGCCCCGCATGCACTGCAGGAGTATGTTGCCACTACTAGAAGGGGCTTTACATCTGTGCAGCGGGTTACTATACCTGGAAAATATAATTGGGTGTTTGTACCAACAGCTGTTTCCATATTAATTAAATTTCAGTTTTATAATACAATATTATATGCTGTAAGCAATATACAGGATGGAAGAAACAAAGATATCTAACTTCACTCAAAGGAACATTATACAATTATATTCAAAAAAATTTTTAAAGCTTACTTGATTATAAAATGTGGAGAAAACAAAGTGCATAGAAAGATTTCATGATGATCATTAATTGTAAGACAATGTTTTTTTGGGAGATTTTATGATTACTATAGACCCCACCAATTACTTTGATAAAATAGTGACTGTGTATTTTTTGTTTTTAGTCAAAACCTTTTAAAAATATGCTATTATTATTACTTTAACAAATAAAAGGTTAACTATGAGAAAAACTTGATATCTTCTTATATTAAGGTACTTTCCTTTCACATTCCATTGGTTTATTCCTCCTGTGTAACTGTAAATCTACTGTTTTTAGAAAGTTGAAGAAGATAATTGCTCAAACCCCAAAACCTTACCTCTTACTGTAACAAGTTTACCAATGTGTTCAGCCTTGACATCTCTAATGGGTACTGATTTAGATGTAGACATATCCTTGAAGTAAACTTCACTGGAAAGAAAATTTAAATAATATAAAATTGTATCTAAAAAGCACCAAAACATATATTATGTATAACAAATGTTTAATACATGTATACATCATAACTAAATAAGAATTCTTTTTAAAAATACAATCTAAATGTTTTAGAGAATGAAAAAATACCTACAATCGTCTTATCAATTCTGGTGGGTATCTGTTTCTGGGATCTCTCATTTCACCGGGTATTCTATGGTTCCTTGCTTCCAACATGATTCTGTGTTCAATGTACACATCTAAGGAATCTTTGGCAACAACCTGTAAAAAAAATAACTCTTTATATAATAGATATTGTAGATAAGCATACTTTTGAAAATATTTTTCATTGACAAAACATGAACATATTAATGTAAAATTAATATGTAATTATTATTGATATATAACTTAAACTTATTATTATATTTATAAGTTAAAATTAGAATATTTTTTAAGGTTTCAAGTCATTTGTGTGACTTTAAGCATTATATAGAAAGTAACAGCAATCAGCATCACTATTAAAAGATTTAAGTTTTAAGTAAGAATTACTGGGCAGTAATAAGTTTTTTCAACCTCTAGACCTAATATAAAACATCTACTCACATCTTTGTGTTTATATTCTGGAATCATTTCATACACAACATCTGACACCATATTGGTGTACCGTCTAGTATTTTTCATTACAGCTTCAGCTAAATCTTCATTTATTTCATGTAAATCATCTAAATCCACTACAAATGCTACCTGTAAATCATTTTTCTTTTATTAAAATCTAACTTCTTAAGTTAATATTTAAAATCAATATTAAATAATTACTGTAGAGAAACAACTTGTTTAGTAATATTCTTATATTAATATATTGGCTATAATACATAAAGTAAGTTATACACAATAAAATGTTCTTTACCTGTTCTCTTTGTGCAACTTTTGTAAGCTGTTCAGAATATTTGAAAAATTTGCGACCTTCATCATCAGTTTGGCAAAAATCTATGAAGAAGTTTTTAATGCTTTCTGAAAAACAAAAACAATTAACAACGCCATGTATAAATTACCTACATTGTAAAAATATTCAGCTTCAATATACCTTTATCAGCAACATAATCGCGCATAGCCATCCTAAAGTTTATATTTACTGAGCTAAATAGATTTTGTGTTCAAAATTGAGTGAATAGTGAATACTATAGCTATTTTAATCTACACAAACATTTTAGAATTAAAAGTTGTAAGAATAAATTGAATTGACTGTTGAATGTTGATGTTGTCAAAAGTCACGAAATTTGGCGCGCAAAGCATTTCAGGTTATATTAATACACAGACTAAAAAAAAAGGTTTATCTATGATAAACTGTCATGTTAACACCGAAAATAGAAATATTAGTCTATGATTTTTGTAAGTATGGTTACATTTTCAGAACGTTAGTTTATTATTTGTCCATGTTCAGACTTCTGAGTTCTGACTTCAGAACGTAAAGAACATAGATAAAAATAAAGTTTTCGCGCCAGTTTCATAATGTCAACTTTGAACTTAGTACTCAATTGTCAGTAAAATGAAGAAATCGTGTAAATTTAACAATAACTAAGTTTTTTAATTTTATATTCAGTGTTGTCTTTATAGTTTAATAAATTAAATATCAACAAATCATGGCTGATTCTTTAGGTATTGTTAATTTACTTCTGAAATCAGATTAATAATTAATGTATTTCTTTTATTGTGTATCTAATAACAACTCCCAACAACTGTTTCAGCTAATTCAAGGGCCAAAAGGCTAAAAGTTGATAAACATGGTCGAATGTCAGCATTAGAAAAACTAAAACAATTAAAGGGGAAGGGTTCAAAACATAAATACGATGTTGATGAACTAGAAAACGTTTATGATACAGTGGATGAAAGTGAATATAGTGAACGAGTTCTTCAACGACAAGAAGACGATTGGATCGAAGATGGTTTGTAAATTTATTAATAAATTTAGTATGCATTTTGTATATGTCATCAATCTCATTATATAAATTTTGTTGGGAATTTAATTATTTACTGTCCATTTATGTGTAGATGGAACGGGATATGTTGAAGATGGTAGAGAAATTTTTGATGATGAGGATGAGATTGACGATACTTATGTGGCAGCAGACAGTAAAGAGTCTGGTCGAGGTCTAAAGAGAAAAGCTAGAGTTGCTCCACTGGCAGCTGGAAAGGGCAATATCAGAAATCTCTTAGGGTCAATGCCAACTAAGAAAAAAGAGGTATGCCATGTGTGTTTTCAAAATTTAAAAACAATCTATATTTAAATACTTTAAAAAAGAATTTTAATTTTATGCAATTATTAAAAACTTGCTTTATTCTAGGATGTAAAAATATCAGATGATAACATTTTATCTGATATCATGTCAGACTTGGATGGGACTACATCAGCAACAGCCAAACCCAAACCATTAGTGCCTAACAAAATTAATATTGTTGAATCAAACAAAAGAGAGGCTCAAAATTATTTTAAGAATTTGTCATCTTCAATTAAGAAACCTACAGTCACAAAAGAAGATCCACAAGAACCTGAGAAAATTTCTACGATTATAATAAAAGAGTCTGTAGCTATTCCTAAAACAGATTCTGTAAGTATTTATATCATTATACTTGTACATCTATACAGATAAATAAAATTGAAGTGTCTGTTTTTAATGTCAATTTACTTACAAGAAAAACATTTTTTTTTTATTTTTGTCTGTCTGTTTATCCCGGCCAATCTCCGAAACGTCTGGACAGATTTTGATGGGACTTTCACTGGCAGATAGCTGATGTTATAAGGAGTAACTTAGACTACTTTTATTTTAGAAAACGGATTAGATTTCCGCTCAAAACAATTGAAACATACTTACGGATGCACCCAAGCAAAACAAGGTTAAGTCGCTAATTAGTAATAGAAAGTTTACCTAAGTTTGTGATTTAATCTGATTCTATAAGTACTCTCCCAGACACAGTGACAGATAAATTATTAGTTTTTTTAACCTTTTATATTGTCATAAAAATATTTTTTTAGGCTAAGCCAGTTGAATTTCTCTAGTTAATTTAAACCATTTTTAACAAAGTACTTTTGATTATTATTTAATTTCTTTTTTGTACTATTATTTATATAGATTAGTAATAAAATCTCATTTCATGTTTTAAGCAAACAAATAAAGCGCCTGAGAACTCAAATGGCCCAACTGCATCAAAGAAATCAGAATGGAAAATAGACAAAGAGATAAAGAAAGAACTGGAAGACTCTGCAACACAAAATATAGAAGAATTTCAAACTCAAGATTTTGATTTCCCAGATGACTTCAGTAATGATGCAATACTTGAAGCTCCAAGTGTCAAAGATGAACTTCCAGTCTCTAACACAATAACAGATGTGGCTGAAGAATTTTTAAATGAGGATTTCGATATATTCCCAGTTAAAAAAGAAACCAAAGAATTAAAACCTCTAACTAGCAATTGGTCTGAACAAACTAACAACCAAGTTGTTGCAAATTACTCCTCTGATGTTACATTACCCTTACAAACTAATAAAGAAGGGGAAAAGTTCTTAAAATTCTATTGGCTTGATGCTTGGGAAGACAGATTTGTGAAACCTGGAGTTGTATATTTGTTTGGAAAAGTGTATGTGAATCCATCTAATAAAAAAGCAGGATGTGCGTCTTGCTGTTTAGTTGTAAAAAATGTGAATCGTCAGATGTTTTTGTTACCAAGGGAGTATGTGAGTATAATTTTCAAATTAGTGTCACTTCATAAATACATAATTTTTTATAATTAACATATATAGATGTATTCATTGCTAGTTGCGACTGAAATATCAAAATCTAAATTAATTTTTGTATTACACTAGAAAAACAAAAACAAATCTATTTCATGACTACAGTACATTTTTCCAGAATAAAAAGTAACCCAAATTTCATCCAGATCCGTTCAGCTGTTCTGGTGTTATTGAGTAATAAACAACTTTCACATTTATAATAGTAAGATGTAAATCACTTTTTATATAAGGACCTGACCTTTGAGACATCCAAAATCTTCAATTCAATTCTCTTGCTAATGGCTTCAAAACGTTCGTGTATGCCGACGATACAGCCATACTTTCTACACACACGAACCCAGTAACCGCATCAGAACATCTACAACACCACATTGATAAAATTGAAGAATGGCTTAATATATGGCGAATACACGCTAATCAAAGTAAATCAACACATGTGACCTTTACTCTCAGGAGAGACACGTGTCCACCGGTTATACTTAATAACGAAGAAATCCCGCAAGACGACAATGCTAAATACTTGGGCATGCACTTAGATCGTAGGCTGACATGGAAAAAACACATATGGACAAAACGGAAACAACTAGATTTAAAACTACGTAGTATATACTGGTTAATAGGACGAAACTCACTAAGCACACAACTCAATGAGCACAAACAGCAAGTTGGCAGTATATAAAGCCATCTTGAAACCAATATGGACCTATGGCATACAGCTTTAGGGTACGGCCAGCAACAGTAACATAGAGATACTGGAACGATTTCAAACCAAAACACTGAGGACCATATTTAACATCCCTCAATACATCAGTAATAAGTACATATATCTTGACTTAAATGTACCAACTGTCAAACAGGAGATAGTGAAATATAGCATCAACTACCAGAAAAGACTCTCAAATCACAAAAATGAGCTTGCCCTCAGACTCAGCGGAGATCAAGGACTTGAACATAGAAGATTAAAGAGACATAGTGTTCCAACCCTACAAGATAGATTCAACAGTATGGAATGAGACACCTACTTGAAAAGTGTTTCACCAAGCTATAAAGCCAAAACAGATACAAGTATCAGACAAAGCAGTGGCTTATTGTTGTGTCTAACAGATTGCCGCGGTGCAGAAAAGTTAAAAAAAAAAAAAAAAAAAAATGGCTTCAAAACGTGCCAGTTGAGAACAGATTACTTTGCCAATGTCACGTAGAATGGAGAAGACACGAAGGAGATTGGTCGGTATTAAATGAGATTACTAAACTGTTTATATTAATTAAAAGGTGTAAAAAAGGTTAGCAACTCCTCTATGAACCTTGGATCTACAACAAAAGACAACACAATTACTATATACATAAAAACCATAATTAAAAATAAGCGGTTAGTAAGTAAGTTCTAAATATATTACAAAATTGTTAGTCTATAATCTAATTCCATTACTCTTAATATATTTACATAAAAATTTACATAAAGGGCTAAACACAAACATTAACAAACAATTAACATCAATGGGACGGGGGACTTTGAGGGGAAGGACATCATAAATAGGATGGAGAAGTCTAGGACAGCTAAAAAGAATATGAGAGGGAGTACCTTCATCAAGACCACATTCGCATAAGGAATGGTCCCTGACCCTAATTTTCGCTAGGTGCACAGGTGTACATGCATGTCCAAGGCGCAAGCGACAAATGGTAGTTATGACCCAACGTTCCGCAAGTTTTAAACGATGAAACCAAGGGTGCCTTGGAATCTCTGCCTGAAGGGCTGCATAGTGCTTACCTTTAAAAGATTTTGATAGATTCCAGTTCTTATTCCAAGCTTTTTCTAAATGGTTCTTAGCAAGAGATACCAGATCCTGAGCCGAATTATTAAAATACTCAAGCGTCCCACAGATAACAGCAGATTTTGCACAAGAGTCCACAGTTTCGTTACCTGGAATACCAGAATGGCCTGGTATCCAGACCAAGGAGACCAGCAAGCCCTTCTGATGACATGAGAACAAAGCTTCACGAATCCGTAAGATAATAGAAGATCTTAATTTGCTACGAAACGGATTCTCCTTAATGGCCATTAAACAACTGAGAGAGTCTGTCAGTATAACTGTCTGTTTGAACTCATGGGAGAGGGTGAACAGGATTGCTTCTAGTAGAGCAACAGCCTCGCCTGTAAACACCGATGATTCTGGAGGGCATTTAAATTGCAAAATAATTTTGAATTTAGGACCCCAGCAAGCTGCACCAACACAGCCATCATGTGATAGCTTAGAAGCATCAGTAAATATAAGGATGATTCGACCAATTTTGATGAACTAGACTCAGGAATTTTGTGTTGGTGTCAGGGGCTTTCTTGGTCAGACCAAGATCCAAGATAATAAAAAGTTAGTGCATTATAAGGAGTACCAAAAAGAGGATTAAGACGAAAACGGGATAAAGGGTGAGGAAGCTTGGTGAACTTGAGGAAACTTTCTAAGAGGAAGGATAAGGGTCTTTGAGAGGAGTTAAAGTCAGCAAGTCGACTTCGCCTGGGCCAAAGAGGATGGGACGATAACTGTAACGACTTACCGACAAATCGATCACATAGGAATTGGCGACGTAATGGTAGCGGAGGGTCAACACATTCAACTTGGAGGGCATTGGTAGGAGTAGACTTCATTGCACCTAGTACTATTCGTAGGCATTTGTGTTGTATTCGATTGAGTTTTTCTGTGGGAACTAATGTACCGTAATCAATATGACTACGCACAAGGGAATTGTACAGCAATTTTTGAGTATATGGGTGTGCACCCCACCACACACCGGACACCGCGCGTAGAGCGTTGATGCCCTTTTCACATTTTTTAGTTATGTACTCAGTATGTGCAATTCCATTCAGTCTTTTATCAAGAACGATGCCTAAAAATTTTGCTTTTTCTACTAAACTAATGATATGATTATCATACAACAATTGGAAATTTGAAGCTGACCTCCTTCTAGTGAATACAACTGCCTGACACTTAGCCACTGATAGTGACAAGCCATTTTCAGAAAGCCATTGACCTAGATAATGCAAAGCAGTATTTATCCGGAAATTAATGTCCTCTACAGATTTTGAGCTGCAATAGAGGACGATGTCATCAGCATATTGAAGAATATTACAAAAATTGTTTACAGACAATTCGAGGTCATGAGTATATAAATTATACAGAAGAGGGCTGAGAACCAAGCCTTGGGGAAGACCTTTCCAGACAAGTCTGGGAGGCACAGTAAGTAATTGATGTTTAACAGATATGGTTCTACTAGTCAGCAACTGACTTATGAAATGTGTCAACCTCAGTGGAATGTTCAGATGATGCATTTTCTGCCTGAGCATTGGAAGAAGAACATTATCATAAGCAGAAGCGATATTAAGAAAAACACCAACCAGATACTCTCCTTGGGCATAGGCTAGTCGAATGTCTGTAGTGAAAATACTGAGACGATCTATTGTACTCAGCCCCTTTCTAAAGCCAAACTGAGAGGGTGCTAAGACATTTCTGCTTTCCACTATCCATTCGAGGCGAATTTTCAAAATCCGTTCAGTTATCTTCGCTAACGTGGATGCTAGCGCAATGGGTCTATAGGAATTTGGATCTGATGGACATTTGCCCGGCTAAGAATAGGGATTACTATTTGGGATTTCCATGATTCTGGAACAATATCTGACTCAAATAAAGCATTTATTAAATTTAAGAAATACTTTTTGGATCTATTGTTCAACCTTCTAATAAAGGAATAAGGAATACCATGCTCTCCTGGACTAGTATCTTTTAAATCCGTTAAGGAGGTTTCAAGTTCTTCAAATGTAAAAGGACGATCCATTTCATTAATTACAGAAGATGGAACAGAATACGAATAAGAATCATGTGGGGGAACAAATGGAGGGGCTAATTTATCAGCAAAGTCATTAAGCCATACGGAGGGGTTATTGGAGTTAGGACTAGGTACAGAGTTAAGAGATCGACGAAATCTCTTAACATTAGTCCACACAAGAGATGGGGGCGACCGAGGATCCAGGGATTCACAAAAATTTATCCAGCCAAGTTTTTTCTTTTTATGAGCCAATCTTCTAAATTTTGCATCATTGCGCTGATAAACATTAAAATTCTGCACTGTCATAGAGGCTGCATATGACATCTCGGCAGATTTACGCCTATTAACAGAATCAGTGCAATCCTGATCCCACCAGGGATTGGAAGGCAATTGATACTGCGTGGAGCCCTTCTTCGGTATATGAAGATCTGCAGAAGAAATAATAGCAGAGACAAATCGATCATAACAAAAAATGACATTCTCACTATCAATAGATTCAGGAAGGGAGTCCAACATGTGATCAACAGAACTAGCGAAATCATACCAATTAGCTTTATTTAAATTATGTTTAAGAAGAGAATTGGAATTTGAAGAGGAAGGTATATATCCAGTGAATAAAGAAAGAGGATAGGAAAATGATCGCTGCCATAGGAAGAGGAAAGTACGTTCCATGATAATTGGGCAGCGAGCGCAGGAGAAGAGAGGCAAAGGTCTACAGCTGATTTAGGATTTTGATTGGGATAAACCCTTCTAGTCGGTGAGCCATCATTGAGGATACAAAGGTTAGTATCATCAATCATGTCTACTAACTGAGGAGAGAATCTATCACAAAAATAACATCCCTACAATGTGTGATGGATGTTAAAATCTCCCATAATCAGTACAGGACCGGGAAGTGAAGAGATAATAGACAAAAGCTCAGGAAAAATCGTAGGAGAAGGGTGAGGAATATATACAGAGAGAAATGATATATTAAGAGCCCTCACAGCAATAGCATTAATCTGTTGACTGTGAGATGGAATAGGAATAAGGGAATAAGGAGTGAAGTGTTGGATAAGAATGGCACTGCCAGCATACCCGTCACTTCTGTCCTCCATTAATTTGACCTTTATCATCGTCATTATAGGAAGAAGGACCTTCGGACATAGAGGGATGAATATACACATTTTGGATTGACGGGGTGGCAGTATCAGGATTATGTATAGTTTTTTTAGCTGTCAAATTTGCATCGGAAGTTGAGTTCTCCCCTTGGCGTTTACGAGAAACACCCACAGTACTTAACAAAATGGAGCCTCCGGGATCCGGGGGCTCCGACGGTGGATCACCATCCATCCTTAAACCTAACTTACCTTTATTTAGAACACACACAAATAAATATAAAAACCAATCACCAATAAAAACCAAAATTCAGTACACCTTTGACACTTAATTATAATAAAAACTTAAAAGAGAAATGATTAATATAGAAAAAAAGCACCGATCTCACTAACACGTGTGTAAGCCAAAACAAAAGTCTAGCAAATATCCAAAATCTTAGTCTCTCCCGTGACCATGATTGCTGTGTGTAAAGCCTTAGATATGTCAAGAACCAAAAATCAAAATAAATCTGCAAAAAAATCTGAAAATGATAGTTTTATTTAAAATAACAAATATTCGCGTAAATCTAATAAAGTATTATATAAATCACTTATAATAACTAAAGTTATTTTTTTTTTATAAAAAAAATGATATTAAAAAATATACTTTATAAATAAAAAAGTTGATATAAAAATTAATGGCAGTTAATATGTATTTATTAAAACTAGTGATGCATTCACTATTTTACAGAAATTAGACCCTATCACACTGGAGCCTACAGATCAAGAGGTGACCATGATGGATGTGTACCAGGAGTTCAACTCCGCAGTGGCAAGTGAACTTGGCCTGAAGGAATTCAAATCTAGGAAAGTCACTAAGAGTTATTGTTTTAACTTACCTGATATACCAGCTCAGTGTGACTATTTAGAAGTGAAATATTCTGTAAGTAGAAGACACACAAAAATTTAAATGACTTGACAACCCCAAATAGTTGCTACATGTTATGCAGTGTAACTTTATACTTTTGTGTAAAATGAAAGTAATGGAGTGGGTTATTAGTTTAACATTAAATAAGGCTTAGATTTGGTAAAGAATTTCAATTAAACTATGTGTATTATACATAACTAACAGTACTGGGGGCTTCGCCCGCGTTCAAACTTCCGATAGCTACCAAACTTCACAGTATCACCTGCTGGGCTAATCTAAAAATTGCCTGAAAATTTCATCAGAATCGCTCCAGCCGTTTTTCAAGCGCATAAGGAACATACATACACATTACACATATCAATTTTTGAAAATATCGTGTTATCCATATTCTACGAACAACATTACTGGTTACTAATATTGTGGGCGTTATCAGGGCTCTAATAATAAAGTATGCAACATTCATTATAATTTAATCAGGGTAATCATAATATTATAATATTTAATTTTGACTAACGAATTTCTATCTTTTAAGGCAACATTTCCACCACCTCCAGCAGGAAAGAAGTACCTTACCTTCTCCCATATATTTGGTACAAACACAACATCACTAGAAACATTCCTACTCGAAAGGAAGATCAAAGGTCCATGCTGGTTGGAAGTGAAACAAGTGGAAAATGTCCAAGCCAAAGTATCTTGGTGCAAATTAGAAGCAGCCTGCGACAAAATGGAGTGCATAAATGTGATTAGGAATGATAGTGATCTGGAACCACCACCTATTGTTATAGCTACTGTAAGTTTTTATTTGTTAAATCACTTACTGCATATAATAGCAACTTTAAATTATGTATAAGTATAATGGATGCTGTGGCATTGATTTTGATTTTAGCATTATATATAAACATTAAACAACAGTGATGCAAGGTCAATAATTTGAAAAAATCCCATATGTTTTTGTAAATCTGAGAAAGTGTGTTAATTTTTGTTACAAATTTTTGTATACCCATAAAAAATACAGAAAATACTAAACATAACTAGCCATAATTTTCAATAATTTTGCTATATTTTTTACATATATAGATTCTAAATTTTTTTAAATAAATTATTTTATTTTAGCTAAATATGAGAACAGCTACAGATCCAAAGACAAATAAGACGAAAATATTAATGTTGAGTTGTCTCGCGCATAACTCTTTCCCTATTCACAAACCACCACCAAATCCACCATTCCATCAACATTTTTGTGGTAAGTTATATTTAAAAAAATGTTTTGTAAAAAATATATAGCCAAAAACATAATAGTAGTCACTATATTCTTAGCAATTTGCCGTTATATGTGACAATACAATACATGACCTTTCAAAGCTTAGTTAACACCATTATAATGAAAATACAAAGTATTTTTAATCTGTGGTATTTTCCACTAATATTATAAATGTGAAAGTTTGTGAGGATGGATGGATGTTTTTTACTCTTTCACGCCAAAAGGGCTAAACGGATCTGTATGAAATTTGATACAGAATCTAGTTACAGACTATATAGAACAGCACATAGGTTACTTTTTATCCTGGAAAAATATACGGTTCCCGTGGGATAGATTTGTTTTTGTCTAGGGACGAACCCGAAGTGAAGGTAGGTTGCTAGTATAATATAATTTATTATTTAAGAAATAGACTTTGGTAGGAGAACATTCGAATACACTAACCAACTTGTACCATTTAATTATTTTTTTTGTTAAAATGTAAATTAAAAGGTAAATTTAATCCTGTATTTTACAGTAATTACAAAATGCAATGAAATGTGGCCTCTCGACCTCAAACAACACTTACCTCAATACAAAGCCACAAAGCTAACCAAATGCGACTCAGAAAGGGAGCTTTTGAACTTCTTCATGGTAAAATTCTGGAAACTAGACCCAGATCTAGTGGTTGGGCACGACCTGCACGGCTTCCAACAGGACTTACTGATTGGGAACATTCTAGATATGCGCATCCCAAATTGGTCGCGTTTAGGACGTTTAAAAAGATCTGTTGCTCCTCAGAAAAAGTTTGCTGCTAAAGACGCATTTTTGGGCAGATTAGTGTGCGATATCAAAATATCTGCGATGGAACTCATACGAGCGAGGAGCTTCGATCTTGACACCCTATGTGTAAACGTTCTTAAGATGAAGGAAGGCGACCGTTTAGATATTGCTATCGAAGATCTACCACGTTATTACGAGAATACCAACGATCTCCTACAGTTGGTCACTCTCAGTATGCAAGACGCTTCTTACATATTGAAAATAATGTGCGAACTTAACGTAGTGCCGCTAGCTTTACAAATTACACAAATTGCTGGCAACATTATGTCTCGGACTTTAATGGGAGGGAGATCGGAAAGAAATGAATTTCTACTGCTCCATGCCTTTACAGAGAAGAATTATATCGTTCCAGACAAAGTTTATGGAAAAAAAGCTGCTGAGGGTGATGAAGATCAAGAAGAAAATGCTACTACTAATGTATCTAAGAAGCAAGGAAAGAAAAAAGCGGCATATTCCGGTGGTTTAGTTCTCGATCCTAAAAAGGGGTTCTATGATAAATTAATTCTTCTCATGGACTTCAACTCGTTGTACCCAAGTATTATTCAGGAGTACAACATTTGCTTTACAACGATCAAAAGGAAAGTCGGTGCTACGTCCGACGATGATATAAACAACTTGGTCCTCCCCGCTCCTAATACGGACTTCGGTGTTCTTCCAACACAGATTAGAAAATTAGTAGAAAGCAGGAGAGAAGTGAAAAAGCTTATGAAAGCAGATTTACCAACTGAACAATATATGCAATATAATATACGGCAAATGGCTTTAAAACTTACCGCTAATTCGATGTACGGATGCTTAGGGTTTACACACTCTAGGTTTTATGCAAAGCCGCTGGCGGCGTTAGTCACTATGAAGGGACGAGAAATCCTCATGGACACAAAGGAAATCGTACAAAAGCTTAATTATGAAGTAGTATACGGAGATACGGACAGTTTGATGATAAATACAAACTGTTTAGACTACGACTACGTTTTCAAAATCGGCAACGATCTCAAGAGGGAGATCAACAAAAAGTACAAGCAAATTGAATTGGATATTGATGGCGTATTCAAATATTTACTTCTGTTAAAGAAAAAGAAGTATGCCGCAGTAGTATTGAGCAAAAACAAAAATGGGGAATTTGTTTACACTCAAGAGCATAAAGGTCTGGATATTGTGAGACGTGACTGGTCACAGCTCGCAGCCGAAGCCGGCAAATTTATATTGAGTCAAATCCTCTCCGAACAAACGGCAGATGAAAGACTCGAAAGCATCCAGAATCACCTAAACAAACTCAAAGATGATTTAGTAAACGGCAAAATGCCGCTGTCATTACTGACAATAACAAAACAACTCACTAAAAACCCCAATGAATATGCGGATAAAAATGCGCAACCGCACGTCCAAGTGGCTTTGAGACTGAACGCTAAAAACAGTAGGCGATTTAAAAAAGGGGATATTGTGCCTTATATTATTTGTGAAGATGGCACCGCAAATTCGCCTACACAGAGAGCCTACCATATAGAAGAGTTGAAGAGTATGGATAACCTTAAAATCGATTTTAGATATTATTTAGCACATCAATTACATCCAGTCATATCTCGTATTTGCGAGCCCATAGAAGGCATGGACCCGGCGAGAGTCGCCGACTGTCTCGGACTAGATCCTTCTGGTTACCGACAAATGATTAAAAAAGACAACACCAACACCGACACATATGAAGTTGAAAATGACCAAGAAAAGTATAGATATTGTAAAGAGTTTACTTTCGTTTGTGTTAACGAAAATTGTAAAATGGAGAATAGAATCAGAGAAACGTTTATCAAATTGGACAAAGACAATGTAACGTTTTTGGAGAAATGTCAAAATCCAAAATGTTCAGTGAAACCAATAGATTATCTAGCGTGTATTCAGAATCAGTTAAGTTTACAAATACGGCAATATCACAGTCAGTATTACGCGGGCTGGATCTCCTGCGAGGACCCGGCGTGCGGGTACCGCACAGTGCGGCTGCCGCAAACGTTCGCCAGCGGCTACCCTTTATGTCGGCAATGTGAAAAGGGAGTTATGTTCAGAGAATACACAGAGAAAGATTTGTATTTGCAAATAAACTTCTTTCAATTTCTGTTTGATATCAACAAAAATAATACTTCAAGTAAGTTATGTTTTGTTTCAGTAATATTTTCCTATTATTTGTTTATACATACATATATAATTTACTTCAATTTCTAGTAAATATTATGTAATTATAGATTCTAAGATAAAAAAGAGTATAATAAGACTACAGATGTAATATTACACTTGCATGAAAAATATGTACATTTTTGGTACCAAGTTATACCATATGATTTTATAATTTAAAGTATCTTAAGTAGTGGATATTAATATTTTTTTTTGTTTCAGAAATAAAAATTGCCCCACATGTTATGTCTGGATACCATGTTTTAAAGGAGATGGTGGAGGACAGTCTGGCACATTCTGCATATTCAATAATCAATTTATCTAAGCTCTTCAGATTCTTCAATTTAAACAATAAGAATGGAGACAAAGTAAAAGCAGAACTTATTGAAATAGATATTCTGCCAGAAACTGAACAAATTGATGCTTTGTTGGAAAAGGGGTCATATTAAAAATATGTAGGCTCATACATGTATATACTTTTTTTAGCATTGTAAATATTTTAATAGGAAACTATTTTCTATCAAATAAAACACATTTTATTTAAAATCTTATTTATTTATTATGGTAATATTCACCTAAAATATAAATGTACAACAATATGTCATACTGCATACATGGACTTTTAAAGTAAATTCATTATATTTAATATATTCCTAATAATAACCACGTCCTCGACCTCGTTGACCTCCATAACCTCTTCCTCTGCCCCTAAAATTATTCTGTTCATAGTTTCCAAATTTTTGGTTGCCAGGTTGCTGGTTACCTTCCGACCTATTATTATAATTATCTTGCATTCTGTTACTGTTGTAATTGCTTCTATTTTGAGTAAATAAGTTATTTGATCCTCTTCCACCGCCAAAAGATTTATCTTGTCCTCTCGAGTTGGGGTTGTAGTTGTCCATTAAACTTGGCACTTGGCTGTAATTTTCCTGAGACCCTCTTTGACCTTGATTAAAGTTATTTTGTGGTCCTCTTTGGCCTTGGTTATAATTATCTTGAGGCCCTCTAGGTCCTGAATTAAAATTATCCTGCGACCCGCGCAGTCCGTGATTGAAGTTTTCTTGTCCGCGTGGCCCCTGATTGAAGTTATTTTGAGATCCTCGCGGTTCTTGGTTGTAATCGTCCTGCGGCCCTCTGGAGTCTTTATCGTACATATTATCCTGATTGCCTTGATCGTAATTATCTGGTCCTCCTCTCTGTCCTGAATTAAAATTGTCCTGTCCTCGTGACCCTTGGTTGTAATTCTCCTGGGGTCCTCTAGGCACCTGATTATAGCTATCCTGAGGCCCTCTAGCGCCCTGATTAAAATTATCGTGAGGCCCTCTCGGCCCTTGATTATAATTATCATTTTGTCGAAGCGCTTGATTAAAGTTGTCTTGAGATCCTCTAGGTAGTTGATTATAGCTATCTTGAGGCCCTCTAGGTCCTTGATTAAATGTATTATTAAGTTGTATATTATCCATAGGCCCCTTGTTATCGGGACCTTGCCTGGGCTCCCAAACTGGTATGTGTTGGGATTCATTTCTGTTACCTCCAAAGTTAGCCATATTTGGAACACTTTGGGGAAATGCTTGTGGATTTAATACTTGATTATTTAAGGCAAGAGATACATTTTGTAAAAATTGTTTAGAAGGTTCCATCATTGTTGGTTCAGGTAAATCTCCAAATGACCTAGGCTGAGTGTTACTTGCGACGACATCTGACACCAGTGCCGTTGGAACCGTTTGTACGGGGGTCGGCGCTGGAGTTGACTGCAAAGACGCTTGGACTAACGCTAACAGATCGCTAGCTGAAAATACATTCTTTTGCACATCTGTAACTGCAGGTGCAGCAGCTTTTTCTACCGGTTTAGGTGAATCTTTTGTCTCTTCTAAAGATTTTTTAACAATCTCCATTTCCTGCCGAATTTGATCTTCTTTCACTTTCTGTGTAGCAGATTTAAATATATCTTCGACTGTGTAATCGTCGTCATCACTTTCTATGGTGACTGGTTTGTCTTCTTTGACAGGTTTGGGCGTTTCCTCTATAAGTGGCACAGTGGTCGCCGCTGCACTCACATACTGACGCAGTCTTTCTACACGTTGCGGCTCTCGAGCTTCCAGCTTTTTTAAATAAGCAATTAGACTGTGTTGTTCTTCTGCTGATAACTCATTGAAGTTCTTGAGTAATGTTTCCAAGTCTGAGTCAGATAAACCATCCATTGCATCCGGCGCATCCTCCTTCTCAGTTTTGCTGGAATAAAAAAGATAAGTAGTTAAGTATAAATTAGTAACAAACACATAGATGTAATTATATCTACAACAAATTATTTAATTTTAGCTAGATATTACATTTTAAAGAATTGACATAAAAGAGCAGTATATGAAACATAATTGACAAAAACTGCAGTTTGGCGTTGCAGATAAATTTGTTTTAAAAAACACAATTTTTAAGATTTTTGTCTGTTTGTTTGTTCCGGCTAATCTCCGATACGGCTGAGCTATTGAGCACTGGCAGGTAGTTGATATTGAGGAGTAACTTAGGCTACTTTTATTTCAGTAAAAGAATTACGGTTCCACTCAAAAAAAAAAATATACCTAGGAATGAACCCGAGCGAAGTGAGGGTGAGTCGCTAGTCAATACTATAAATACCGGCTTACCTCTTATCATCATAGGCGGACTGCAACATCTGCAGCGCAGAGGCGGTGCCGGAGGGACGCGCCGAGCGCTCTGTGGCGGCCTTATTTTGTGTATTCTTTTTGGATTCTGCCTCTCGCTTCTTGGCCTCGGCCATTCCGACCTAGGGTGAAAGTTTGTATTAAATTACTATTATTTCTAATGACAACTTCATTGAACAATTATATTTTACATTATATGGTAATTTGTCTACTTTATTGCGTCTTAACATTTTTAAAATATTTTATGATAAATAAAATTCGACTTTACATCATTATGATAGCTTTAATTCGTTTGTGAAACACAAACTTTTCACCTAAATGCCTCAAAAGCAAGTATCCAGTTGGTCCTGCACATTATCTCTCACGGATTGTTTCCCCATTAACCAGTCATCGTCAGCATCCCAGACCAAAGGACGTCCTCTGTTAGATATAGGCCTTCTCCAAAGATTTCAACTCAACACGACTGCTAAACTCATCCAGTGATTTCCAAGACTACGACTTTGACCAAGTCGGTCCGCCTTCTGGGAGGCCCGCCCACGCTTTACCTTTAAGAATTTTTCGTCAAAACCGACCCTCCGTTTTACTAGTAATGTGTCCCGTTCACTGCCACTTAAGCTAGGAGTTAAATTGAAAAAAAAAGCAGTATCGGCGGTATCGGTGAGGAGAACATAGTAATGAACGTACCACAGCGTCCACGAGCTGCGCCAGCTCCTCTGCGGACACGTCGGTCTTGCCCTGCGCGACGAGCGCGGCCGCCATCTGCTGCGCGATCTGCTCGCGGTCCACCGCGCCCACGCCCGCCACCGGCACGCTGGCGGCCGAGCGCGCGCGCGACCCGCCGCCGCCCAAGCTTTGTTCCACCTGTACCAAGCAAATAGTACATTCATATTAATAAAACACAACACAATTTCATTCTCACCTTAAGCTTTATTGAACCGTCATGTGAACCGTATCAAAACGTTATTATGTATAATATTTATATTATACATGCGAAAGTGTATACATGGTGGCGTGAAATGGTATCAAAACCACCCCTTTATTCATAAGTCATATCGTTTGCTATACGTGTCCGAAAATCTTTATATAAAAGCAGCAAACAGAAAAAATTATTATCAAGCTTTTCCATTAAGAAAATGAACAGTAACGCGGTGTTCTTCAACCAGATGTGTGCGAGAATATTCTTCCCATCGGACTATAAGAAATAGAAAGACCTAAAACACCTCCTATGCAGTTGACCATTCTGTGATATTGACCACCATGACCAAAATCAATCCTATACAATATTATAATAATATAAAAGCTTAAACCAAACAACCACAAACCTTCTCCTTTTCCTTCTTCTTCTTCATCCTAGTGTCAGCCTCGTGCAGCGTGGAGGCGGCGCGCACGACGGCGGCGCGCACGGCGGCCGCCGCACCGCCCGGCACCAGCCCCGCCTGCATCGCGCCTTTGAGCTTCTCCTTCGCCGTCTCTATCAGCACCACCGCCGATTCTGTCTCTAACAACTCCTCTGATGAATTCGCCTTATCCTGTAATAAATCGATAATATAATATAGTAGTAGTGTCTTAAAACTGTACGTCTTCCTTCGAATTTATAGTCATTTTTTTATATTAATTCCCAGATGTCTGTATGTTTGTGGGTTTATGGATTTTAAATAAATCTATCTTTTCGGATCATTGCACGGACTTATTTTGATTTTTGGTTCCCGACGTTTCGAATGCTTTACGGCAATCATGGTCGCGGTAGCGACTGGTTTAAGGATTATAAATCAAATCGGATTTACAGGTACTTTTCTCTGGACTAGACAGTTTAGCTCACCGATAAATAAATTACCTTTTCCATCTTCAATGCTTCTGCAAGCAAATCCACAATCTTAGGTCCTAAACTACCCAAATAGTCTTCCAGGGCGACGAGCAGCCTTAGCGTTGCAACAACATTCTCTGCGGCACCGAAGTCTTGCGGCGTGGCGACACGGTCACGGTCGTGTTCCCGGTCACGGTCTCGGTCACGTTCACGATCACGTTCACGATCACGTTCCCGGTCACGTTCCCGATCGCGTTCACGATCACGTTCCCGGTCACGGTGGGCGTCGCGACGTGGTACCGCGCTACCGGTACGCGAGCGGCGACGCGGAGGTGACCGCGCCTCTGGCAATGATCCCACCGAGTCCTCAGAGTTCCACGGAGACAGGCCGTCGTCACTAGTGATGTGAATAATATGTCAAACCATTAATGATTACAAATCTAGCAGTAATAAATAATAATTTCAAAATAATATGATAGTAAAAAAGATAGTCTAGTCTATACATATATTTAAATTTTTAATCTAATGAGAAAAGGTAGTAACAGGTAATAGTAGTGAATACAGAGTCAGCAGTTTTAATTTTTTAGGAAATAATAACACCGCCCTCGCTTCATTTATGCGTCCATCTTTATACAGAAATCGTTCTACTGTAGATGACAGACAGCTTACGGTTTGAGCTCGTCGTCGGATATGAGCACGGTGTCGAGCATGACGGCGCGCGGGCTCTGGTTGCGGGGCACGGACTCGCGGCGCGACAGCGGGCTGCGCGTCGTCTTGCCGGCAGCTCTGGAAATGGAATGATTGCATTATATATACAAATAAATAAAATTGAAGTGTCTGTTTGTAATGTCAAAATAACAGCTTTTTACTAAATGCATATGGAATTATATATGGTATACAATTTTTAAAATTTTTGTCTGTCTGTTTGTTCCGGTTTATCTCCGAAACGAATGGGTCGATTTTGACGGGACATTCATTGGCAAGTAGTTGATGTTATTATGTCTTTACTTAGGCTACTTTTATTTCAGTAAAAGATTTAGGGTACCGCTCAAAAAAATTTAAATGTACCTAAGAACGAACCCGAGCGAAGCTAGACTAAGTCCCTAGTTATTATTAAGGAAAGTATAACCAGCGAATGTTGATTTGCACAAAATCAATGCTTTGAGGAATTTTACTTGGCTTCTTATTAAACACTAAAATACATCTTAAATATGGTTAATCGACATCAAATTGTATCATTAAGAAAAGATTAAAAAAGCTTGAAAAATTTCAAGCTCGGAAAAAAATCATAAATATGGTACCTTCTACGTAGTTGATTATAGTAATAGTAAATATAGTGAGCAATGAAAGAAAGAAAGAGTTGATGCTACTTGACACAAAGAAATTCTAAAAGTGTCAGATTTTATCTCATCTTCTCAATCTTATGTGAACAAACTGACCCCATTATTTAATATTAAAAATGTGTTATATAGCGTAAGTGTCACAAACACAATAGTAAATACGGGGCTGGCATTATATTACTCATTGTATTACATCTGGAATAATAAATGTATACCGAGTGAACACTAAATCCAAAATAAAAGCTATTATTGTTGAATTAACCATGGTGGCTATTAAGGAAAATATTTTAAATGTATACGACTATAAAGTTTATGTACGGTTTTTGCCTCTTCGGCTTGTGCAAATCGGCAGATTATTGAATTACACACTTTTTAGGATGTAATTAGCCCAACATACCTTAATCTGTCGGTTTCAAGTATTTCTACCTTATCAAAATATTTTTTAAATACTTTGATCTGTTGTCCTAGACGCGCAGCCTTATATAGAGGACTTATATTACGGTGGAGGTACTCAACAGAGTGCAAGATATCCCCCCTTATGATAATTTGACGCGCTTGAGTAAAGCCCAAAATCCCCTCTTGGGCTACCCTAGTATTAGTTTTGCATAAATTATTTTTTGTATTTAGTAAATAATAATAATAATAAATAGTATTTATTGCCATAAAAACAGTAACAAATGTTAGCAGAATCAGTAAGGCTTTAAGTAACTTATGGCAAAGGGTAATAACTCAGCTAATGCTGCTAAGACCTAAATCTCAAGCAGCGCTGATTTTCAGTTACACCCAGCTCCCTAGGGTGTTCAGCGGAAGCAATGTAAGAGGACTATTCCTCCATTTAACTTCTACAAGATTAAAAAAAAAGTAATGAAAACAAAAATAAAATTTAAAAAATAAAAGTATTTGTGCGCGCGTGTGTGTGTGTGTTTGTGTGGTATGTGTGTGTATGTGTGCGTAAATAAGTAAATAAATAAAATGTTACGTTAATATAACTATATAAAAAATAAACTATTACGTACTTAATATGTACAGGACTTCGTGAGCGCGTGCGCAGGTGGCGCAGCGGCGAGCGCGGGCAGGGCGACACGCGGCGCGGCGGGGAGCGCCGGTCGATCGATCTAATAAATAATAAATAAATATGTTGGGACATTAACACACAACACCATCTAGTTCCATGGTATGATACGAGGCTCGAGTTATGGATACAAGATACTTGATACAGTATACATAATATATAACTTTAAATACATACATATTATAAATATAAACACCCTTGAATAGAGTATGAACATTCGTGTACATCACACAAATGAACGTCCCCAGCGGGACTCGAACCCGCGACCTCTGGCACAGCAAAATATATCAAATAAATATAACATGTACCTCTGCTTCCTATAGTCGGGCGAACGGCGGCGGTGCGCGGGCGAGGCGCGGCGCGGCGAGCGGCGGCGCGGCTCCGGGCTGCGGCGGCGCGGCGAGCGGCGGCGCTCGGGGGACCTCCTGTGACACGACCAAGAAATATTAAATTTGCAAATAAGACATAATTAATGAAAACTGGAATAAAACTGATATATATTAAATAGGCAAATCCATGGTTTCCACTCGAGAACTTTCATTTACTCACACAAGAGTGGAGCGAGTGGAAACCACGGCTAGAGAAATGCAGTGTGGGACGCCTTCCTGCTAGTTGGTGCGACGACTTGCGCCGTATGGCGGGTACCACCTCAAGATCGTCCTCAATGGAACATCCTGAGAGAGGCCTATGTCCAACAGTGGACTGAGAAGGACTAATGCTAGCAAATCAAGCTTAATTATTGTTAACAAATAGAAATTAATTACAAAAAAAAATGTTTATATAAAATATAAATAAATTTAAAAATTGACAAAATGCTTTTGAATATTTGTGCACATATGACTTATGCTTCTGTTTGTAATAAGCTGTGTTGAGTTTGTGTTTATTCGGGCTAAGCTTAGAAAGTACTTCATATTTTTATATCAATTATCTAATACTTGCGACTCACCCTCGCTTCGCTCCGGTTTGTCCCTAGCTATGTTTGAACGGTTAGTATAATAGAATAGATGACTATATATATCACATGATATATAGCCTATAAACCTTCCAAAATAAACAGGGCTATCTAATGCAAAAATAATAGTAGCTCCTGAGATTAGCGCGTTGAAACAAACAAACAAACAACCTCTTCATAATATTAGTATAAAAATATAGATAACTAGTATTAGAATGCCATATCTCGCAGCACTGACCAGGCGTCTCTCGCGGGGGGCGCGCGCGCGGGCGCGGGGGCGAGGGCCGGCGCGGGCGCGGGGCGCGCGTCTGGCGGCGTGAGGCGCATGCGGCGGTACACCTCGGACACGGTCGAGCGCAGCTCCTCCTCGTGCAGCTCCTTCATACGCGCCGTCCAGAACACTATCCACTCCGGCTTGAAGTCGTGCTTCGACGCGTCTTTGCCCTCTATTCACAAAGTTAATGTAAATAAAAATTATGTATCGAATTGAGAGCATATATAATTATATTAAAAAAATAGTATCATTATGTTTAAATCAAGATAAAATGTACATATCATAATATGAAATCATTGATTTTGATAATACAAAATGTAAAATTATAAAGAAGACTCAGTTTCAATTATATAGCTGAGTGAACTCCCCAGTGCTTTTCACAATGTGAGTTATATTACAAAGTACACACACTGAAAGCAAGAATCATTGTATGTGAAAGGTAATGAAATTGCTGCACCAGCACTGCAAGGTTCTGCACACAGACATACTTTCAGACGATCCTTTAACTCAATGGCTCGGATACCACGCGTGTTAAAACGAATTTAAACCAAATTACAATAGTTAATAAGTAGTATTTGTTGGTCAATCAATCAGTAAGCAATACACTAACCGGCCTGTATCTCCTTGTACCGTCGGTTCCAGAACTTCTTCCACTCCTCGGGGTACAGCGGGTGCTTTTCCGGGTTCTTCTCATGGTATGCGAGCGCCTTGCGCGCCAGCTGCTCGGCCGCCGCGCGCTGCTCCTCCGCCAGCTTCACCTTGTACTCGTAGTTGGGCGGCCGGGATTGCTGCTCGATAGAAACAAAAAAAATCTTATTGCACAAACGATATGTAAAATATACTATATGTATTCATATAAAAATGCTTAAGCAAAATAAATTCAATAAAGAATTCTAAAACCAAATCTATAATAATATTAAAAATACGAAAGTAATTCTGTCTGTCCGTAACCTTTTCACACTTAATTCGCTAAACTAATTTAAATGAGGTATGAAGATAGTTTGAGACCCTGGGAAGGACATATAATATTTTTTATTCCGGAAATCGTCCAAGGGGATGAAAGTTTGTATGGGGAATCCACCTAGGGAGGAAACCGAGCGAAGCGAGGGTGAAGCGCTAGTCATATCATATTTACCTTTTCCTGTGACTTGGAAGGTACATTGCGAACAGAGTAGCGCGAGTGCACGGGACTCTCCCGCCGCCTCTCCGGGTAAGGCTCGTAGCGTTTTGGATCTTTAACTCTATAAAACAACATACATTTACAATTTAATTACAAGAAAAATAAATAATAATTTTAGTTTAAGCCAGATCTGCGTGGAATAGAAGAATGAAAGCTAGCAAAAAAACTAGCAAGACATTAAATATATTTTATTATATTTTTTAATATTCAACTCTAAATAATATTAGTGATTAATGAAATTTAAAAAAAAATGAAATATTTATAATAATAACAGCTAAAATTAAATAAATAATATTGCTATATTTAATTATAATATTTTGAAAATATATAATTTTGAATTTTTGAAATCATTTTTGTAAAATAGTGGGCACTGTCTGTAACAAGTATATATCGCCTTTGAGACGTCTAAAACCTTAGTCTCTCTGTGAAGCATTCGAAACGTCGGAACCAAAAATTTAAAAGAATTAGCGAAAAAATCCGAAAAGATAGTTTTATTTAAAACGTGTTTTCGTAAGTGACAAAATAATAAAGGAAAACGGATGGTACAACCCAGCTGAAAACTCGGGAATAAGGTTTGTTAACTTTTCTATCAGCTTATCGTTAATTCTATAAACAGCCACTAGAGGCATGTTATGAAGCAAATAAATATATAACACTAATCACCTTGGAGATTTAGCCTTGGCCGTGCGCATGTCGGGCTCGTCGCTGACGTCCGACAGCGATTCCATCGAGCCTCGCTTGCCGCGTCTTTGTGCCTGTTTAAATTAGATTAGAACATATCATACACTAGCGTTTGAACGGTTATTATAAAATAGAAATCTTTGAATTTCTTCGGTTACTCTGTACTATAATATGCATGTATTGTACTTATAAACCTTCCTCTTGAATCACTATCTATTAAAAAAACCGCATCAAAATGCGTTGCGTAGTCTTAAAGATCTAAGCATACATAGGGACAGACAAGGGAAGCGACTTTGTTTTATACTATGTAGTGAAAAGTTTCAAATAACCCAAAAATTATTTTTAATCACATAAAAATAGAAAAGTAATGACTTTTTAACTAAAAAGTGCCTTAGGTACCGACCGATGATTACATTTTTCTTAAAATTTATATGGAATAATCAATCTTGAGATCATCAATCATCATCAATGAACCAATCTTGGGGTAATAATTATAAACTGTTGTTGTTCATTTGAAAAATTAATTATGAATATCGTTTTATAATTACACACAAAAAAAAAACAAACCTTATCAGAGTACCTCCTCCTTTTATTCAGATAATAATAACAGCTTTCTATTACAACCGTTTGTTATTTCTATGAATAATAAACTTACATTGTATTTATTAAGAGGCTTCGAAGGTGCGGCGACGATGGGTGGCGACGGATCGCGATTTTTTCTAAAACGACACAACTTATTAGTTTACCTAACTCGTCAAGTGAATAATATATATAATATGTAATCCAAAATATTTTATCCTACTAATATTAAAAATGTGAAAGTTTGTGAGGCTGTATGGATGTCTGTTACTCAATCACGCCAGAACTGCTGAATCTGGATCTGGATGAAATTTGGCACAGAGATAGATTAGATTATTAGACCAGGGTTGATAATGTTTGAAACAAAAAAATAATAATAGTAGGATGAAACCCATTGGTACAGAAAGAGAATATAACAAAAACGAAAGAAAAAATAATTTAAATCTAAAAGTTACAGTGTGTTTGGGGCATAAAAAGGTAAGTTTTCGTCAAATTTCGAGATATTTTTTTTTTGTAAAAGAAAAAAATAAAAACATAGTTATTTGAATTTTTACATAAATTTTGAGGTTATGTGAAAAAAGTGTAAATACAAAAGTTGTAGATCTTTTATTACCTACAACTTTGCAATTTACCTTTTTTCCATAGGACTTGTAGTTTTGCCGGAAATCGAGATAAATCGTTTTTTAACCCCCTAAAAACTCACCCCCTCTCCCTTCCCGACCTTAGATCGCCCGTAAATTATTTTTCCTTTCAATTGTTATATTCGCTACCTTTTCCAATGGATTTCATCCTACTATTATTTTTTTCACTTTTTACCATTTTCAAAGGCTTCAGCCCTGGTCTATATAGTCTGGAATAATACATGGGTTACTTTTTATCCCGAAAAAATGTACGGTTCCCGTGGGATAAAATTGTTTTTATCTAAGGACGAAACCGAATCGAAGCGAGGATGAGTTGCTAGTTATTCAATAATTTTGATTGAGTTCACCTTGTGATTTTTTTTATTATCAATTTTACATACCTACTTTGAAAATGAAAATTACGTCTTAGTACTTCGGCAATAAACATTTTTTAACTTCCGATCTTCTGATGAAAGTTCATCGATCGGCGTTTGAATTTATCAAAATACAAAGTTTAATTTGACCAATAAAACAATTTTATTGATAATTATTGCAAAAAAAAATAATATTTAATATAATATTGGTTCTGCACATAGACCTATAATACACATACATACCTTGCACTGATCTTCTTATCAGAAGAATCTGTAAAGATGGAAAGTTTCTTTAATTATAAGTTAAACTTTGAACAATGTTCAAATGGCTATTTATATAATAGTGTGACCTTTTCTAAAAATTCGTATACAAATAACTTTTTATAACATGTAGGACCCGTTCTGAAATACCTTACATAAGCATATATATATTTAAAACTGACCTAATGAGGTGATCAAGTCCGCGTCGACGACTTCCTCGAAAGTATAGCTGTCAGTTTCGGCGAAATGGTATCCTTTGAAGATCCACTGATGTATTTGATCTCTGAGATTTTGAAATAATAATTAATTTGATAACAGGTTTTAATTCTTTAAAAAAATAATTAAATAAAACGAATTGAAGTGGTTCACAAACAATTACTATAGTATGGTTGTTATTTCTTTATACTGTAACATTTTAACTTATTTAAGTAATAATCGTTTTTTTACATTAACACACAGCACTATCTAGTTACATGGTAAGCTACGAGACTTGTGTTATGGATACCAGATAGTTGATACACTACACATAGATAACTTTAAATACATACATATTATAAAATATATAAATATAAACATCCATGACTGAAGTACAAACACTCGTGCTCATCACGTAAATGAATGCCCCCAGCGGGACTCGAACCCGCGACCGCTGATACAGCCTATAGGGTCACAACAAACTGAGCCAAACGTGTTGATTACTTATATCTTGAATTAATTATTAACAAACAAGGTACTTTTATCCAAGTACTTGTCACGCGAGCGGTAAATCTCCGGCAAAACCTAATTAGATGGTATGGTGGTATTATAGCTGTTATGTATATGAGAACAAACAATGACTTACGTGTCCTATGAAATAAAACTTTCTTTTCTATAATAATTTGCTGTAAAGCATTCGAAACGTCGGGAACCAACAACCAATATAAATCCGCGAGAAAATCCAAAAAGGTCATTTGAAATATGTTTTAAAATTTTCAGGGTCACTGATAATATTATTATCATGTTAAACGGGATATTTACCATGTTATAATTTTAACACTTAACATTGAAAATTCTCGATATTTCGGTACCATTTCAAGCGTCACGGGTATACTGAACGTATCGAAAATATCTGAAACTAAAAAGTAAGTGTTAAACATGGTAAATATCCCGTTACACATCATAATAATATCATTTAACATGTAAAATATTCGCATAAGTTCGTAAGTGAGATCTAAGCGAGTATATCCACCTGTCCTTCTCGTACTCCTGCTTGTCGATGTTGACGGGGCGCATGCGGCCGTACTTGTCCTGTATGCGCAGCGCGAGGCGGTTCATGATGACGGCGACGCCCTCGCGGTACTTGGACTGGTTGCGGTACGGCGCCAGCAGCGAGCACGCCTTGTTGAAGTGCCGCAGCTGCAAATAATGCAATCAATATGTACACGTTACACATATATTTACTAGCGACTCACCCTCATCATGTCATCATAACACAAAACGAGGCGAAACTATTTTGTTTTACAAAAAACAATTTCAAAAAAATGTGTCACGGATCGTTCAATTTGAGATTATTTGAATGCTTTTGACAATTTCTTACTAATTTTGGTGATAAGGTTGTATTGTTAAGAGAATTTTGAAAATTTAACTCGGTCCAACTAAAACTAAAATTTTCACTTTCGACCCTTTTTTTTGTAACTCATAATGAAGAACGTTGTTTAGTTGATTATAACGTATGAAAGAGTGATTCAAGACGATAATGTTGCACAAAAAGAAACCAAAAATTGTTACTATTAAACCAGTTATGGTTTTTTTTTTAATTTGCTCTGGTAGAAAATTCGCAAATACACATTAAAAAAATCACAACTTCTAAAATACGAAAAATCGGGCATACATGGGGTATTTTCGGATACATCCAGGTGTGAGGAATCTAAAAAAAATTATGACGTCACTTCTTAGACCATCTGTATAGTGAGGAGCAAAATTATACTTTTAAAAAACATATTTTTAAGTTTTATGTCAATACCCCCTATAGCCATGAATCCACGAGATTTTAATATATGTAGATGAAAACGCGTAAATAGATAGGACCTAAGCGACTGAGGGCGGGTATATATAATAGAAGTAAAACTAAACTTACGAGATAATTATATCTATGCCAGAAGCATGTGAGATGGTTGACGATAGTGCGCGGGTGGCCCTGCTTGATGCACAGCACGCACATGTACGAGGGCTCGTAGTGCGTCTCTTCCGGCGGGTGTTCGATCAAGTACTCTACACCTAGTAAGGGTGCTCTGGAAAGGATGAATGTAAAAGTAATTAACCTAAATTAAATTAATTTTAATATTATTTTTATTGTATTCAGCCCTTTTTAACGCCCCACTACTGGGCACGGGCCTATCTTCTATACGAGGGGGATCAGACCATAATCCACCACGCTGGCCAAGTGCGGGTTGGCGGAATTCACATATCTTTCGAAAACTTGCTAAGTTCTCTCAGACATGCAGGTTTCCTCACGATGTTTCCCTTCACCGTTATTTATGTTTTATTATTATTACTACTATCTCTTTGACAAATTTCATCCAGATCCGTTCAGCCGATCTGGCATGATTGAGTAACAAACGTCCATCCAAACTTTCGCATTTATAATATTAATGGGATAAATTGTGTAATGTAATAAATTTATGGATTTGATTTAATTTAATGTTTATTTTCTTCTATTCAGAGCATTTAAATAAAAGCTTGTTTAAAAAAAACTATTAATTTATTTTTTATTTTTTATATTATTCAGTGTTAAGTGCGTCAGCGTGAACGTGTAATAACACTGATTTACTTCAACTTACGCATTTATAAGAACTATACTATAGTATTGTTCTCATATATTTAATTCCTAGTCTATGTAGTAATGTATAGAGAGAGCTTCAAGGCTTTTGTTTAAACCTAACTTGGCCATATCAAAATTAGGGCAACGTTCACGATCCAGAGGAATCCAAGAAAAAACACGTCTATCATGGAATAATCAAATTCTAATTAAGATAATTTTTGATGGCAAGGGAAAAACAGGAAATATTTGAAGTGTAATTTTTGATTTAAAAACTCATTACACATTTATGCCTTGGTGAGATATTACTTACTTAACATTATCGAGCGTGTCCTGGATATGACAAAGTACATCGCGGTACTTGTCGTATTTCAGATCGAGCTCCGAAGGAGTCTTCTTGTACATTTCCACTTCTTGCGCCATCTTTTGCAGCACTTTTTCTGTTGCTGAGACATAAATATAATATTTATATATAGGTTAATGGAAAACCAAACAAACGTTCAAACGTCTTCGGATCATTAAAGTAAAATTAAATTCAATCTGACAAGCAGATTTCCTCATACTGTTCTCCTATTCCGCATTTGCTAGTCGTATAACTATATCTATGCAAATAGTCATATGGATTCGTCCTTTAATTATTGCTACATTGCTACATAGGTACAGCAGACAAAATTAATTTTTTCATGTTCAACTTTTACGTAACGTTACGGGAAGTGTTTAAAAAATATCGATATTTATATTTAAAAATAAAAAATAAAAATTATATATTACCTGCAGACTTGGAAATTCCTTTCTCGTTTTGCACATAAGGATGCTCCTCGAATATTTTCAAAGGCCATACTGTTCTCATGCCAAGTTTGTTTTTATGCTTCTTCCCAGATATATGCGTCTGAAAATTTGATTTTTGTTAAAATCTAGTAAGTAATATAATTAATGTTGTTTTTTTTTTTACTTTAAGTGATTATTTACTTGTAATACGCTCTCCCCACTGCACATCGCCGCACAAGGATAGCACAAGTATATCCACTTGCCCGAGATGTCACGTCCGCGACGTTCGACCATGCAACGGTAGTTGCCATCTTCTGTTCTAATCTTCAAACTATTCAGATGTTGTTGAAACTCCTGCTCAGCCTGAAATTTAAACAAAAAGTCTTAAATCACTATATTTATAGAGGACGACGGTATCGTTCTTTCTCAATATAATCCGAAACGCTGCACCGTTGGTCGCTTTCGAACACTTTCATAACACATAACCGCTTCGCGTCACCAACTTAAATAGGCGAATGAAAAACACCCGTTTATAATAAATACGAAATTTCTAGTCCTCAAAAATATACTTACCAATATTGATAACTGAGAGCGAGAGCGGGCGATACGCTGAGTATTTACTATTTACACATGACGTGAGTGTACATAATATAGTTATATCTTCCTATATATAAAAAACACAAAGAACCTGACAGATGTCGAAAATGATCGGAATAAGACCATAATATAATACAAGTACGAGCAAAATAGGAGGCGGATATGGTATTGGGTACTATAATCATACTAAGTACCATTCGATAGCATATATTATATAACAAGCACAAAAGAAAAATATAAAAATTTACCCTAATTTTAACTCATCTTTCTTTTTCTTTCTTTCTGACATATAATAAAATAGTATCCAAGCGAAATCTGTACAAGTTTTTTTTTAATTGTTTTAACTACACTACTAACATTGTGTACAGAACATAGACCCAAAATAGTTGTAAAATTTTTTGACTGTTTGTATATCTGTGTGCAATTCACACAAAAAGTACTAAACTGATTTTAACTAAATTTTGTGTAGTGATAACTTATTACTCAGGTCAACATTTAGAGTAACTTTTCTACAGGAAATCTTTCATTCCCACGGGAAATCACAATAATTGATTCTGTCAAATTGTCCTTAATTTATATGACTAATGCTGGCTAAACCTTAAGATACATACATCAAAACAATGTACATATTGTAGGTTTTAAAAAGGCCTACAGAAAAGTCTACAATAACAGATGTCTGTCTCCTAGGGTACACTGGAAGTAACTATTTTTAATTTTTATCTATTTAAAAACGTACCTATGGATACACCCGAGCGCTGATAAGTCGCTAGTATTATAATATAAACAATGTATTATCTGACAGTATTTTAGTTTGTAACCTTTCAACACCTTAACATCTCATCTATGAAAAATGACATCACAATATTTTTCTCAGTCAAACAAGGGGTTTCCGCAGTACATTGGCATAATATGTCAAACTGATATCACTGAAGTAAACAATGAATTACATAACAGCAAACTTTACTTCGGCAGGTTGCAGTTAAGGTAAGAACAAAGGTCTGTTCACTTGTAAAAAGTAAAAAATATGTAAAATGGTTTTGATTCAAATAAAAACAAATATTTTACATATCTAACACCTTTTTAGTTGTTTTTGTTGTGTATTTTACATGCTACAACCAATCTGATTTAATCAATCACCTGATTTAGACAGATAATTTTCCTTCAATGTATACTATAAATAGTTTATTTTCATTTTTTTTTTAGGTTTATTGCAACAATTGGTACTGGAGTTCTGGAGAAAAGTATTTTTTTTAATTTCTTTACAATGCTCATAAAAACACTTTGATTTGTAAGCCTAAGAGTTTGGAAAACCTGTTACACAGTAAATTATGCTTAACACTTCCAGGTAAATTTCTATGAAATCAATTAAATTTCTAAGAAATCTATTGTTAACTGTAACGCCGGCGTGTCCGCGGTCGTGAATGGATTAAAAGTAATATGAAGATTATCAGATTGAATTATGAATAAAATATAAATTAAGGGCGCACCGAGACAGCGAAACGAAATTACTAAATAATTGCGTTCGTTTGCTCCCTCGCTGTATTGGTATTATTAAAACTTTTATTATGGAATTAATATGTAGGATATTTAAGGATTTATTCTATAAATCGTACACTTTTGAAGCAGTAGTTTCCTCTATATAAAAAAACACAAAAATGGTCCCTAGACAACAAAATCTACCCTTAGTGCGGCGTAAATAATTCAAGGAAGTTCATCAGTTTTTTTAATAATAACAAAACTATATGTTTTCTATAACTTATACACTTTACATTTTCAAAATGTGTATTTGTTTTATTAATACGAAGGAAATACCTAAATTCGCACGCATTCCGTCCATCCTACTCACACTCCCCCCTGCCCGCTTTCGCCCTACTAAAATCAATTAGCGCCAAAAGCTGGGTGCCCCCTTAAATAAAACTAGAGAAAATCAGAGTAATGTAATATATCAATTATAATATGAAAGTGACACTCTTTTTGTACATTATACTCATGATTATATGGTAATTATGGACTTAGGCATTTAAGTAGAACTTCTTGATTTAATAAGTAAAAGGGGACAGGTTCTTACAAAAAGGCAAATATTGTTATCCAAATTCCAATTCAATATTTGCCTGTTTGAAAGAAAACCTGGCATTGACAACCAGTAAAAATAAGTTGAATGCAGATGCATAAAAAAGTAGTTACCCATTAAAACAAACATATATAAGTATACAGTATATAAACTATATCAGACCATGTTTCTTTCAATATTTTCATGACTACACCGATATGAAAATCTAAAAAAAAAAGTCTGAGTCTGTCTACTCTCCAAGTGAATGTTTAGAAACTTACTAAATTCAAAATTTTGTACTCGAGATGGCTTAAACTTATTTTTACCTATTAATGTTACCCCGCGTCTCTGCTCATATGGTAATCGGGGCATGAATAAAAAATCTTCTCCCGTCCCATGATACAATTTTTGTCCTATGCGCTTCTCATAGAAAATTCAGCGACTTAAGCGTGAAAAGGTAACAGACAGACAGAGTTGCTTTCACATTTATAATATTAGTACGGATAGAGGAAACTGGTTGAGAAAACTGGTGGATTTCCAAACTTTTCGTTTTCTAGACTTTATAGTCGAAATAAAATAATAAAAAATAGAAGTTATAGTCGAAATAAAATAATAATACATAGACTTTTGCATCAGAGTCAATGTGAAAACTAACATTTAGTAATAATGTAAATATCAAGAGTACAAAGTTAAAGCTTGTAAAGTATTTAAATAAAATTTTAAAGCATAAAATATTGGCTGGGCAAGTTGAGATGGAAAGAAAACCTGAATGTGTACATTTGACACTTCCTACTAATATTTGATTATGAGTGTTAATCATTTCCATCAGCAAGAACTGCTGAATGTGAGTAGAGAAGGTGTTTTTCTTTTTACTACGTTTTTTATTAATATAGCCTTCAAGTATATAAAACAATTATAATATCTAGTATTTTTTGTTCATGAAACCTTTTTTAGTTGCATTTTTATTACATTTCTACTATGGACTTAAAATTATAAACCTTTTATAATCAGAATATGTATATAATTAAGAACTTAAAATATATGTGTATTAAAAAAGTAATAAATAATAAACTTAAGCTCAATTATATTTCAATATTATTTATTTTATTATTTTCAATTGAAAGCAAGAAAAAAATAGAATTATCTTACCTTAGTGCAAGTAGTGACATCATCAGGCTTTTTTGGAACTTCAGTAACAGAATCTTGGTAGCCCTCCGCTCCAGGAGGGCAATCTGGGAGATCCATTTTAAGGCACTAAACACTACAGTTTATGATCACAGATTGATCATAAACTATTATCACTTTTATTTTTTTCACAAAATCTTCCTTTGAATCTTCTGTCACTTGCACTGTAAAATAAATTGTTTAATAGAGAGTTTCCATGATTATTTAAAGTAAAATATAAAGAGTAATTCATACTTACATAGTAGTCACATATTTATATTGAACATGCAAGTGTGGCTTAGTCAAAACTGTATGTTATTGCAAAAAAAAATGTAAAAGAAATATTTTTTTTTATTATTTTTTCTTAACAATCAAAATACTGAGTTTAATATTTTTTTATATTTATAAAAACTGATAGGTACTTTCTTAAATACATTACATTATAGACTAAAACATTATTTTATCTATTTAAATAAAAAATCTATTCTAAACTGCAGCCAAAAAATGTTTTATCCTTTTCTTGTTTCTGATTATTTATTGTCGGTTACCTAATATGCAGATTTATAAATGATAAGTACTCACCTCTATGATATATTTATATCGTGCAATTAAATAACACTCACTACAAATAATAACAATTATATTATTTTTATTTAAATATATTGTAAATATTCCGATAGGCCTCCCGATTAAATCCTGATATAGAGGAAGATGAACACAATTTATGTATAAATAACGCAGCACTTATAAAATCTGTTTTCAAAATTCACAACTTTATAATGTAGAGTTTTATTCACTGTTGAATAAATATACAATTTTAAAAATAAAATTACTGTGAATGGTACTAACCTGTCAAATAATCTCGCTGGCGTCAAATCGTTCGATCTCATAGAAATTAACAATAAAAATAAAAATTATATGCAGTCGTCCTTTATTTGGATGAATATTAATATTAACTAAAATGAAGAACTTAATCTGTTTAAATATCACAATATGAGAACGACATCCAATAAACTGCGAATTGTACAATACGAACTACGATTTACGAATTCTACGACTCAGAATATTGAAGAACGCTGAATGGAAGCCATTTTAACTTATTTTGTTTTTCAATTTTCACAGATTAAATTTTTTTTCATTTCGTCGAGTTGTCATTGATATAATATGAAAAAAATCATAATCAGAAAATTTAGATTGTGTAAAATATGTATTCTAAATAAATACATACTTCATGTTTATGTAATTACAAAACCATTTCAAATATGAGGATAATATTCTTCACATATTTGCTTTAGGCATAAAACGCAATAAATGATTTTATTTGAAAAAAAAAAACGTGTGTATGAATTTATGTAATCAAGTAAAGGTTACAGTAAACAGTTACATCTATTCAATAACAAGCAATTTTGAAAAAGCAACTTGTTGAAAGCAACACTGTTGCCGTTTGTTGAATGAGTCTTGCACAGAGCATGGACCGTTCTTCAAAATACGAGTTGTTGAAACGTGTTGCTTTGTATCCACAGATGATGGGTTCATTCAACAATCTTGCTCCCACAAATCATATTTTTTGATCATTTCGCAATTTTTACCGAGTTTAATAAAAGGAGAAAACAATCCTTTTGTAGGTATTTTTTTATACTCATGTTACGATTTTTATGATTCGTTATTCAAAAGTGGTCCTATATTATTTTATAAAAAAATCGGTCCCAAGATTGTTTTATTTTTATTTTAACTGTCTTTTTACCTAAAATGTAATTTGTACATATTTTAAAATAATATTAACGTAAAAATACATGCCACACTAATTCTGTATTTTATATCTATAAAATTATATAAAAGGCAAAAGTGATTGATTGATGTATCAACGCACAGGCCTAACCCTTAAATTAGACTAGAAAATTAAAATTTCGCACATGTATTCCTCATATAACGAAGGCATCCACTAAGAAAGGATTTTTCAAAATTCAACCCCCAAGGGGGTGAAATAGAGGGTAAAAGTTTGTATTTAACAACTGTATGTAACTTTTTATTCCTTGGACATATTTGCATGAAATTTCGTATGAATTGAATACGGCAAAAATAATGAGTTATTTCAGCGTTTTCTAAACTTCAACCCCTAAGAGGATAAAATAGGGGATGATTTTTTTTATGAAACCTACCTATTTTTAGAGTTAATTTTTAGTTTTAGCGCGACCGAAGACGCGGGTTCTGCTAGTTACATATAAAAATTAAATAAAAAAACAATACCTATATAATTTTAATGATACTCAGGCTAAACCACAAATTATTAGAAATGTTACAGCTAAACTGTGATAGCCTCGGTAATAATAGTAGTTTTTCAATTACAGCACCAAAGCGCATCATAATGCTCAACTTCGAATGCTTCAATATCCACTGTTATTTCCTATTTCGGCATCCATTTCTAAACATTGCTTGTAAATTCCACCATCGTTTTTTTCTCCTTTTTTTCCGAATAGTTTCATTCAAAATTAGGAAAGCCGCAGCAGCAACGACTTGTCTGGTATACATAATTGTATACAACTGTAGAACGTATGTAAAATGTAACTGTCGAATGTGTTGCTGCAAAAGACGTTGATCAATGTTGACCATACAACATTGTTGAACAGTGTTGCTTCGACAATCCGTTGTTTCAACTAATTGTTAAACAGATGTAAATGTACCTTAAAAAGTTATACTTTTTGGCGTAACAGAACAAAAATCATGGATGACACAAATAGCTAAAGTGTTCATCCCGTATGTCACAACTCTCTGTTTGTAAAACCAGTTTTTTTTAATGTTTTGTTTTCCTGTCTATTTGTCTGTTTGTACGGGCTAATCTCCGGAACTGCTGGAACGATTTAAATGAAATTTTGGATGGTGGCACCTTATATCCCTGGTCAACATTTTAGATAGTACTTTTAATCCCAGAAAATTATAAAGTCCCGTGGGATAGTTAAAAAACTATAGTAACTTATACAGCTTAGTACACAAAAACTACTGATTGGATTTTAATGAAACTTTCAATAATATAGTTCAACATACATCAGAATAACATAGGCTGCTTTTTTATAACACTAATGTACGGTCCCCGTGGGATACATTTCTTTTTGTTTGTCTAGAGGCGACCCCAAGCAAAGCGAGGGTAAGCCGCTAGTTTGACAATATTTACTTTGAAATCTATATAAATAGAATGGGTCTTGACTCTTTTTTTCTTTAATTTATAAAGATTTTTATTAAATACCAACCACACCAAATTTTATCAAAATTCAAAATCCCTCCAGTGGTTTTTTCCGTGATGCGGTAACAGACAGACAGATATTCTAAAAATATAGATTCGTCCTCTGTATCGATAATAATGACTATTTCAATAAGATTTTAGAAAAAATATTTAATGTACAGATTTGACTCGGTTAGAATTTTATTATACCTATGTACATACATAAACTAATAATTATATAACTTTATCCTGTCCTATATCCTGTGACACTCGCGTTAGGTACCAATAAGATTTCAACATCAAACATTTATCAAAATTGGTTTAGTAGGTAATTATGGTAAAACACGATCGAAAATATAATTATAATTTACATTGTTTATACATACATACTCATACCACGGTAATATTATGCATTATATTACCGTGCTCATACTATCAAACATATATTTCGTATTTGCCGCAGTCAGGTAAAACGTCACCAATCTATCGATTCATTACCTACAACATAATTTTAACAAAATACGGTAAAAGTTAAATTAGCAGTATCATTCTTTAGAATAATAAAGCAATTATAATGTTTAAAGATGTTCAATAAAACGGAAAACCGATTCACTTGATGGTTTGATGAATAACTTACATGCGATTTTTTAAGTGTAAGTTTATAGAGGCCATTCACCGACAACTCTGGGGATCAAATGCTAATGAGACGCGAAGAAGCCTCTAACCAGTGTAGTCTACATTCACCCAAGCGCGGACAGAGTCGCGTGTACGATGATTCGGCTCGGACGTTCGCACTTTATCGAGTGCGCAAATTTATCGCGATTTATTTACATTCTCGCTATTGTTAAGTTAGTAGTTTCTACAGAATATGGAATTCCTATAGAAATTAAGTTATGGGATTCAAAACGAACTCCGTTAGCTCATATGGTAGACGTAACTAATGAGTTTGGTATTAAAGTTCTTGCGGAACATAATTTCTTAAATGACAATAATATTGCATTCTCACCCTATGGATTAATGGGAATTTTGGTGGCTCTTTACGAAGGTGTTGAAGGTGAATCTTCCTACCAAATTCAACGAAGTTTGCAGTTGCCGTGGAACCGGAATGTGATGAGGATAGGTTTTCGAGATATACATCGTACACTTAAAGTGAGTCATTCCAAAAAAAACTGTTATCTCTTAATATTACAAAGTACAAAAGTATCCTAAGTATATTAGCCGCAGAATAAAATTGATAAAAAATTTCATTTGTAATTTGAAATTCCTGGAAATCTATAAGATTTAAATGTACTTATTATAAATAATACGAGCGACTCACCCTCGCTTCGCTCGGGTTCGTCCCTAGGTACATTTTAATTTTTTTTGAACGGAACCCTAATTCTTTTACTGAAATACAAGTTGCCTAAGTTACTCCTTATAACATCAACTACCTGCCAGTGAAAGTCCCGTCAAAAATCAGCCCAGCCGTTTCGGAGATTAGCCGGAACAAACAGACAGACAAAAATTAAAAAAATGTGTTTTTCTTATAAATACCGTATATAATTTCATATGCATTTAATAAAAAGCTGTTATTTTGACATATCAGACACTTCAATTTTTATTTATCTATATAGATAAGTATTTCATGAAGAACAATTTTTTTACGAATATAAGGTACTTATTATCGTAATTATTTTGCAAAAATATTTGCCAGATATTATAATACTGTCCGTATTATAGTCACTCTGAAATACACACAAACTATACTTTCAATTTATTTTATTTCAATAAATATCTAACATTTATGAAACCGGAGACAGTAGGTAAGTACCTACCTACCTGTAAAAGTTTTAAAAAATAATATATTCTGTGAGATAATTATTTTATTCTAATGTTTTTAAACTTCGAAAAGTTTCAGTTATAAATTGTAATCACTGTTTAAAATATTAAATAAGTACCTACAGGTGCCTTATAGCCCATAATAATTTATAGGACAATCGCGTCACAGAGTCAAATTATCTCTTTATTTATATAAATTTATATTATGTAAGTAAGGTATATAAATTAAACGTTATTTATTTTACGCTTTTTTACAAAGATGATTTTGAGAAAACAAAGAAAATGGCTAAAAAAGTTGCAAACGGATTTTCATCGGGTGCCAGCTAGTTCTTAAAAAAATACGTACTTATCTATACTTATTATAAAAATAAGTCCCCCGGCCGCGTCTTTCTGTCCTCCTGTCTGTCCTCCTGTCTGTCTGAACGCGATAAACTCGAAAACTACTGAACGGATTTTTATACGGTTTTCAACAATAGAAAGAGTAATTCTTGAGGAAGGTTTAGGTATATAATTTATTATGCTTTTATGTAAATTAGCTGAAATACGGCGACAAATGTTGAAGAGGTCGCAAAAAATCTCGCCAAATGGGAACTTTCCACGCGAACGCCGCGTAAACTAGCAAAGATACAGTTAAGTAATGTACTAGAGAATTCAAAATCTATAAAAATGCTACAAAAAAGTCCGCGATAGCATATCTCTATCTCTTACGGTTGACTTACAATAACCACTTTTATGTTAACATTTTAAATTAAAAACATTACGTTATTTTCAAAGTTATTTTCTTTAGTTCGGTATTAATCCTTATCCAAATGAATATTTTAGTTAGCTTAGTCATTTAATGCAGATTAAAATTGCTCTTTACACTAAATCAATCAGATGAATAGTTTTTGAGATATCGTTGTTAGAAGTAATTAGTAGCGAAACATTTTTAATGCTTGGCGAGCATTGAGATGCCTACGGCGAGTCCATCCCCTCTGCCCCGCATCGCTCGACCGCCTGCTCAAGCTATATAAACCGGGCGATGTAGCGCGCGATCCTAGGATACTTTTTACCGCGGGAAAATATCTTATTTCTGAGGAAAAATACAAAAACTGCAATGTAAGAGTATACTAATATGTAACACCTAAGAATTTAGTTTTTGGTCATCTGAACGCGGGCGGAGCCGCGGGCAATGCTAGTTGATTATAATTTTTTTTTCGACAGACAAACGCTAAGAATGACGACCTTAAAGCTTGTGCAAATGAAATATTATTGATTTACAGTTTGCATGATAACATAAATTCTTTTACTATAGGGTAGTTTTAAAATAAAAACTTAAACTTTTTAAAGTTTTTTTTCTTTTCTATTTTTAGTGTAGCCGTAGGTAATAAGCAGGTAATTTGTAAGAAGAAAGTTTTTTAATAACATATTCGACTAAGCAATTTATTTTAAAAAATAATGTATTGTTTAATTCGATAAAATTTAAATGGGACCACCTGGGAAATATACCCTTCGAAACAAAAAAAATTCCAATCGGTTCAGGCGTCTTCGAGTAATCGGTGAACATACATAAAAAAACAATTCCGACGAATCGAGAACCTCCTCCTTCTGGGCAGTCGGTTAAAAAAATGTTCATGAAAATCCATAGCTGTCATAAACAACTTTTAAAGATTATGGCTGTTGACCATTTAATTTACTCTAGCAAAGCTCGCCATCGCTGTTTCGATTACTCAAATTAATAAAACTTTTTTCAGACTTACTTCATACCAGAAGAAGGATTTCTCGCAGGACTAGCATTAAATAACGAGAATGTCACATTTAATGAAAGTTACAAAAAGATTTTAAGATTCTATGGTTTTGATTTGGACATGGAAACCTCCACTACATCGCCCGTTCAGGCAACTAATTCAACACAACCTTCATCAGGAGTAGATATTACATCTGTTAGCAGTGCTTCTGGGTCAGCTGAAACGTCAACAGAAGGCGTCACTAGTCGTGAAGATCCCTCAACAGTTAAAACTACCGAGGGTATAAAAGTAGAAAACACATTGAAACCAAGCGCAGAAACTGTAACAAAATTGATGGATACTGAACAAAACTCTGAAAATACTACGACCACGGTGACTACTGTTACTATTACACCCGTAAGTTCGACAATTTCACCCGTAGTAAGTTTGACAAATTCACCAGTAAGTTCGACAGATTCATCCATAAGTTCGATAAATTTACCCGTAAATTCGACAGATCCATCCGTAATTTCGACAGTTCCGCCCGTAAGTTTCACAGATTTACCCGTAGGTGCGACAGATTCCTCCGTAATTTCGACAGATTTACCCTTCACTTTGACAGATTCACCCGTAAGTTCGACAGATTCATCCGTAAGTTCGACAGATGTACCCGTAGGTTCGACAGATTCCTCCGTAATTTCGACACTTGCACCCGTAAGTTCGACAGATTTACCCTTAAGTTCGACAGATTCCGCCGTAATTTCGACAGTTCCACCCGTAAGTTCTACAAATCTTCTCGTCAGTTCAACAGACTCATCCATAAATTCGACAGATCCGACGTCAACGATCGATGAATCAATCGTCGATCAAAAGGAGAACACACAAATTACAGAAGTTGTAGTTACCAGTTCTACTACTGAACCAATTTCAACTGCTTCAACTGAGGTCAAAGAGTCTTTAGTATCTTTACAGATGACTTCAAGTCAAGTATCTACCGAAAGCGTAACCGCTACAAGCGGATCTACTGTGGGTACTGAAACTGAAATAACAACAGCACAGATGATGACGACAACCGAAACTACTGTATTATCTACCACTGGAGATAATTCTACTGCAACACAAACAAATGAATCAGAAGTATCATCTACATCAACAACGGAAATGGTAACAGAGCAAACATCAACAACACTTACCACTGACGCAAGTACAATGGAAACAACAATGGGAACCACCTCGTCCCTAGAGACTCTACAGCGCCGAAAGAAATCAGTAGATTTTTTATTTACAAGCCCTCCATACGCCGATGATTATTTGGTATACAGGTCATTCGATATCGGTTATGAAGTACCTGAACAACACGTAGATGACGACACGATGTTTTTGGTGAACGGATTAAGAAATATACAGGTAAAATATTATGATTTACAATCAAAAAAATTTCACAAAGTTTACAATAGTAGGAAATTTTATTGAAATTTATAGGTATATATAAAAGAAAGTCGTGTTAGTTACATCATTTATAACTCAATAACGGCTGGACCAATTTTTATGATACATATTTGATTTTTTGGATTTCTCTTAGTCCGGAATAGGATATAAAGTATTAAAACATCAGAAAAATTAACGAAAAAAAATTATATGGCTAACGCTGGCTAATAACTATTTATATCTATTTAAAGCGTAGTTACGAGTACCTAGTACCTAAAGTGCTTTTATAAATTAAAAATAACAATAAAACTTTTTATTTTGTGTGCAAATTCAGGTAACATACATGCAGTACGACTCTATGCTAGATTACGCGTACCTTCCCCACTTGGAGGCTTCTGCACTCCGACTGCCTTTGGATAGTGAGCGCTACTACTTGCTTGTGGTTCTGCCTTTAAGAAGAGGATCTGGAGAGCTATCAAGGCTGTTAGGCCGAATGGCACGAGAATCCGACCTGTCCGATGTGTATGCAGCTTTACACCCCCGCCGGGTAAAGGCAGTTGTGCCGAGTTTTACAGTCAAAGGTCATATTAGCCTCACAACGGATTTGCAAAAGGTTTTTTTTTATTATATTTAATATTAAAATAATCATCAATGCGAACTAAATATACTTAATGAATTTTACCAAATAAAAGCTTTATCTCGTTTTTTTAGATTAATATCTGTGCTATAGATTAAAAGTCATCCTAAATTATAACGCCGCTAATTGCAATAACTATAAGACTAGTACAACTGGTTTTGAACGCAAATAAACTTTTTGGTATTTCTTTTTTGAATAAGGTAAGAATGCCAATTAAGGACATTAAATTTCATATATGTAGGTATTAAAAATGATTTTATCATGTATGACGTAGCGTTGAAACTATAGTTAGGTATATCAAAATGTAGTTTACAATATAAAAACTTGTTAGATCTTTCTATGAAATTAAAACGTAATGGAGCTGTGATATAAGTTTTAAAATTAACATCGAACCTAAATAAACTATCTATGGTGGGTGGATGCTTTTTCTATTTAATTATTTAAGAAATGTAATTCAAAACAGCAAAAACATTAATACCTACATGCGTATTACTATGGAAGTTTTAAGAGTAGGTAGGTACTCGTACGTAATGGGTGGGTCATCATCATTAACTGTCAAATGTTTATACTGCATCCCGTATTGCTTAAGATCTCTTTGTAAGAATAAAAGTTTTAACCTTCATTACTCAGGAGTCAGGACCTCTAGTTAGCATTATGCACTCTAAAAATAAACCTAATAATTAGATGGCTGATTTTAGAATTATATTGGCAGCGGTTACCTCCATCAAAACCCATAAAAAATACAAAAACAGTAGACTTTAATCCTGCTCCAGCTACTTTTAACCGACTTCTAAAAAGAAGGTTATATTTTAGTCTATATAGGTACCTATATTTATTACGTATGTTCATCGATTGCTCAGAAACGGCTTCAGTGAATTGCCTTTGCTTTGTATCGGCTGGCACCGACTTATATCCAATTAGGTATTTATAGTAAAAGAAAACACTTATTCCGCTATTTTTTACTTTTTAATTATGTTGAATTTTGTCAAGATCTGTTTAGAATTTTGACTGAAAATGTAATACTTAATCCTACGCTAAGTTTGTTTGTTTTATTAAATTAATTTGTTATAAAATTATTTTTAATAGTAATTGTTTATCGTATAGCTTGGTATCCGAGATGTATTCGAGCCCCGACAGCACGACTTCACCACTATGACGCCGCAGCCAGGAGTGTATGTGCGCAGCATAGAACAAGCAGTCTCCGTAGCCATCCGAAAATATCAGCCCGATGACGTCAAAAATAGTATGTAACCAATATTTACTATCCCTATAGTGTCACTTATATCTTTTGTATTTCTTTTCTTGTTCCTTAAATTTTTTTGCAATAAATTTAATTAAGCGGGCGTAGCTTGAAATATCGTGCGTGTGTACGAATTGGACGCACGATAATATAAATTGTTTATGTAAAAAACTTCAGTATGATATATCCTTCCGTAGTCGTGTGTAAAAAGGATCCCGACCAACAGACACACTTATGTATTCATAATAATATAAGATAAAGTATAAAATATTTTGTAATAATTATAATGTATATTGATTACAAATCAGTAATTTATATTCAACGTAATATATTGATGGTACGTGAAAAAACTCACATTTGCGTAGCATTATATTTTTTTCTTTAGTATTGGCTTCTCGATCGCATGACTTTTGATATACTTAATATTATATTTCAATTCAAATGAAATGAACAAAACCTCAAAATAAATATAATGGAACTGTATAAATTAAAACTATATTTGTAAACTAGCATTGCCCACGGCTCCGCCCGCGTTCAGATGACCAAAAACCAAATTCTTAGGTTTTACATAATATTATAGTGCAGTTATTGTATTTTTTCTCAGAAATTAGATATTTTTCCGTAGTAAAAAGTATTCTATATATTGACCCAGATAGCCAGCTATTATCATTTTAAATTTCATCAAAATCTGTCCAGTGTTTTTCCCGTGATACGATAAGAGACAGACTGACAAAAATTCCAAAAATCATAAATTCTGTATCGATAATAATGTAATATTTAATGTATAGATTCGGCTTAGTTACAATTCTATTAAATGTTTAGATAATATTAAATGTATATCGTATTTATTTATATTATTACATTATTTACCGTATTAAGCGCTTAAGTTACACTTGTCTTAATAAACAGTAGGTAATCGTCAATAAGAAAATTAAATGGAATCAATTCACTTGTGACAAAGGCCATGCATGAGTGTCATTCACATTAGTTTGAACAATGAAAATGGGTGTAAGGTTACGGTGTGATCCACATAATTAGCAGACGAGGTGCGTGGGACATAAGACTGGGGTCGCCACTCGCGCCGTCACGCCTCGCTCGTCGCCGGAACATCCTTGAACGATACGAATGCGCTCCAAATGTTTGCAAAATTGATTTCCTATTACTAATTAAACAAAAAAGCCGTGTGTCCCCAAATACTAAATAATTGTACATAACATTTACCTCTTTACAAGTTTTTATTTCAAAACATCTTTTTAAATACAAAATTCCGGCAAAATCGTAATTATTCTCCTCGGTTTGGCCAATCATTGTTGATAAATTTTTTGTATACTTATTAATCATTTAGATACTTCTTAGCTATCGGTAAATGGCTTTTGCGTTTGTTTTTTTTTTTACTTTCTGCTCAAATGTGACAGGATGACTTCTGCTTACCGACCCGATAGGCAGAAGTTATCACATCACTAGATAATATGTAGGTATAATAAGATTTTTCGATCTATCATCCATCGGCTAAAATTAATGTCTGCTTACTGTTGCTGTACTTTGCTTAAACTTTTTTGAGTGTCGTAATTGGTACAGCGGACTTTAGTTTTGTTAAAAACAAAACTAAAGTCCTGGGATCTCTAAATCTATCCTGTCTACTATTACTACTGTGTAATATTGCTGGTCATCATTGCTCTTCATAGATGTCAGGAAACGATATTTACATCTTAATGATAGACAAATCAATGCCATAAGATAAACAATTAATCGAAGCAGTTTAACATTCCCTAAATATTACTTTCTTACTCGGTAGGGCAGTGGCTAACATGTATGGCTGAACATCCGGAGATCCTGGGTTCGAGTCTTCCGTCAGGCTAATTTTAGATATTGGACCTTTTTGTTAAAGAAAGTCCAGTAACAGTCAGGAGTTGGGAAGTTGGGTGCACCCTCGAGCCTCGGAGAGCACGTAAAGCAGTCGGTTGTTTCTGTGCCTGATCTCTTATAAGTCGTGTCGAATTATCGTCCTATCGGAATTTCAGTGACGGTACTAGAGAGTGCAATTGTGTGTGCGCGCACACTTGTGCACTATAATATATCCTGCGCAGTTGGCTAGTATCTGTGAGATTAGCCGCCGCACCGTGACCGAAATCGGTCGGAGGACACTATTATCATCATTACTTTCTTACACTTAAGCCAAAGGTAGATGTGATTGATATGACAAATAATATACATACATGTCAAGAAAACGTAATTTACATATTTAGGATTTCCCTAACCAACTTAGTTAAAAGTTACAGCGCTAATAAATGTATTATAACAGCACAATGTGAATTTTCTTTTAAACAATGTAATTCTTACTGAATCGCTAAAGATTGCGCGTACAGATTTACCCTCGTTTTACGGTATAGGACTAAGATAATTACTGCCAAAAGAATGCTAAAACCTTATTGCCAAGTGGTGAGTGGGCACAGGCCACTTCTATTGTTTCTCACCGCGGTGGCGCAACGCGGCGACACGCGCGTTTGAGTCCATTGATGCTGAGCCACCTGCATTATAGAAATCGCTCATACCATCGACATTACGACCTAAATGCCTAATCAAGATACAAATTATGATCAGATATTCAAGCTTTTCAATTACATCAATCAGAAAAACTAGAAAAATTACGAGTTGATCGTTTCCTGTGCGTCATTAGTGATTTTGCTTTTTTTTTCAACGGTCCGTCGCGTTTACATGACAAGGACGATTTGTCTATTATTGTATGAAACTCTGTCGAACTAAATCTCTTTGATATCATTTTCGATTTTATAAAAAATGATAATGATTTTAGTGAAAGTTCTGTCCGTAAACAACAAAACAAATTAGCTAGCTTAGTTTCTAACCATCTCCCGACATAGTAGGTAAATACAATTATTTTGTAAAACAAGAAAAATAATTTTAATTCTAATTTCTTTTTTATAACTACCCTAGTCTGAACAGTTGCACTTTTTGTGACGTCATGTATATTATTTTAATAATATCAAAATTTCTTAACTCAAATTTATGTAATTAATAGAAATTAAAAAAGCAGAGCTACCTGGGAGACAGAACTTCGCTCGGAGTTTTTGTCCAAAAGTACGATTTTCTTTTTAAAACTAAAAACTTGAATAAATACAAAAAAACTAACAAAAGTAAAACTTGGTACCCGACCGGGATTCGAACCCGGACACCTGTGATTATCAATCTTGCGCCTTCGCCGCTTGACCACAAAGCTTATGCCCGAACATGCAAAATTAGAGACTATATTTTGCGTGGAATAATGCGAAATCGTTAGCCATTTCCGAGATCGTCGGTATAAATAAACAAAAATTGCTCGTTTAAAGGTTTTAGATAAACTGTTGACGAACCTTTACTCAAACCGTCCTTATCCATAAACACCACAAATATAACTGATTATTCGTTTTTGGTAGGTATATCAACAATACTCTCTTCCTAGACCAAGCAGACCTCCTCTAAAATCTTTCTACGATCAGCATTGAGATGTTATTTATTTTTAATTTATTATGATTGAAACATATATATATATAGCTCGCGTATAGGATGTCACATAGGCGGATGTTGTGTAAATAGCCTTAGCTATGCTGATGATATGGTGCTGCTCAGTCCATCAATCAGAGGCTTACAAAGGCTCCTTGCCATTTGTGAAAAATATGCTAAAAGTCATGGGTTAGTTTATAATAGTAAAAAATCTGTTACTATGGTATTCAAATATAAAAATGGACCTGACTATATACCTGACGTTACTCTAAATAATGTCAAGCTTGACCGTGTTGCTAAATTTAAATACCTTGGACATATTCTAAATGAAATGTTAACAGATAAGGACGATATAGAGAGGGAACGTAGAGCATTGGCGATGCGTGGAAACATGTTGGCCCGGAGATTTGCTATGTGTACTGATCAAGTAAAAATTACTCTCTTTAAGGCCTATTGTCAAACGCTGTACACGTGTGGTCTCTGGACAAACTATGCGAAACGCTCTTTCAATGCTCTACGAATTCAGTATAATGATGTTTTTAGAGCAATGTTTAGACTACCTAGATACTGTAGTGCGTCTTGGATGTTTTGCGAGGCACGTACTGATGGATTTGTTGCTGTCATAAGAAAGAGAATCGCATCTCTGAGACAGAGGATAAATGACAGCACAAATCCTATCATGCAAGCTGTAGCAGGCAGCTACGACTCTCAAATGTTAAGATTTTAGGCCAAATTTCTGCACACATAGTATTGTTGTATTATTATTATTATTTTCTTAAATGTTTCATTTTATTTATTGTTCTATGTATAAAACTGTTGTATTTATTTTATATGTATTTTGTTTGTAATCTAATTTTATGGAAAAGTATTCCGAATTAAAGATTTATTATTATTATATATTTATTTTTGCAGGATACCTGAATAGCCAAAATCCAGTTGTATTTTCTGCGACACATCCCTTCTTATACTTTGTAATGGACTCAAATATTCATGTTGCACTAATGGCTGGTAAAATGGTGGATCCACTAAACACAAGAGTTCTATAACAAAATCATCGCCAAGAAATCCAGCTAGTATTGTATATTAACTTAGTTTAATATTAAATATCAATCTCATGTTTGCTATAATAGAATTAAGATATCAACAATGATCGATTTTGAAACCTTGACATACTATAAATATTCATTACAAAAAAAACAATATTTATTTAGTTCTTGTAATTATTATAATAATATGTACTTTAATTGCCTACAAGGCTGCTATGTAATAATTTATGATTTTTGTTAGGATAAACAGTTTTTATATATGTCAGTAATAATTTGAATTAACATTGTAAATTTACATATCTAAAATTATTAACAATGATTTTCTAATAGAATAGCACTTATACCACATTATAATAAATTATGTTGAATTAAAACAAGAAACTTATACATATCAGTAATGAAAAGGAAAAATAAAAAAAGTTAAATTTGATTTTTACTTTTAATTATACATTATACTCTTACTTCGCCCTCTTGGATTTGATCTTTCTTAGGTAGAATTCCAATTCCTTTCCTTCTAGCACGTAGCCATCAGCACGGCCACACTGACCGGGCCGACTCGCTACACAAGCTGTGAAGATAATAAATCTTTCAGCATTTGGAAGAACATTTTGTTGAATTTTAAAATATTATTAAAATTCAGAGTAACTATGACAGGGATCATGCAACTGCTAAGTAGTTCCCAAAACGGTTCCTACTTATGAGTGCAGTCTCAAAACTTCTCGATATCATCATTTTATATAAAGCTCATAAAAAGTTTACTTTTATCAAAACAGGCAAATCACAAAATACATTAAGAATTAAAATAGACTTATGGTTGGACATATTTTTCGAAACCATACTGTTTGCCTTTTAACTCATTAAACAGATTTTAATGAAATTTGCCAAGAATACAGTTCACATCCTAGGGATAGATATAGGCAACCTTTAATCTTCTTGCCTTTTATCATGCCAGTCTAAGAGGAAAAAGCAAGTTATTTTATAACGCTGGAAGCTACTCCAATGCCCAATATAAATATTTTCAATGAGACCATACACTGAATATTTCAAAATAACAGTGAAAATGAATTAAGGTACTGCTAGATTATATTCACCTAACAAACGACCGGTATGGAATTGTTCCTCAAGAGCAGCTTCAACCTTTGACAGACGCTGCCTTGACAAATATTTCTTAGCTGTTTTCTTACTACGTTTCTTGTTGATAATTGCTTCCTCAGCCTCAGTCTGGAAAGCATTAACAATTAGAAGATTTATGTGAAATTAACTTTTTGATTAAATGGTGACAAGTATCAGATAGGGCATATAATCATGAAATTCATATGACACGCAAAATTAAATATCATCACTAAGGTATATTTACCTTAATTTATAAAATAAAATAATATGCCATGACATGTAACCAACATCCAAACAAAAATAATAGAAAATGATGTGAAAATATACTAAAATAAATTGAACAAATCTATTTTAAATTTTGGAATCAAAAATATAATAGTTTCTTAAATTACAATGTAGAAACAGAAAATATTATGTATAAACTATAATATTTTACTCACCAACTTGGCTCCCTTCTTTCTACCAAGTGGCAGTAAGTAATGAGACTCATACCACTGTCTGAATGGTGTGGCGTCAACCACCACGATAGCATTCTTCACGAGGGTTTTAGTACGCACCAGTTCATTGTTAGATGCATTGTACACAACATCAATGATGCGAGTCTTACGAGTAGCACCTATAAATAAATAGTAATAGACAACAAGGCTTTATGAAAAGCCAAAACCAAATATTCAACTATTTGTTATTACTTTTACTATTTTAATTAATCAGATTAACAAGTTTACAATAGTTTGGACACTTACACTCGGAGCCCCATGCGAAGTTTCCAGTGTCAAGACGAAGAGCACGGTACTTGATGTTACCTCCACGAGCTCGCACTAAGTGAATGCGTTGTGAGCCAAGCTGCAAAAAGTTATGAGTTAAATATTATTGATACTTTGTTAAATAAACGAGATCGTTAACTCTGCTTATAAGAGTGAGGTTATAATGTACACATTTACCTTAGTGTTGGCAGCTGGGCGACCTAACTCATACTTCCTCTTCTTACGGATGGGCGCACGTTTACCACCCGTGGCCCTCCTTTTATGCCAGTGATCACGGCTAATACCTGTACAACAAGGTACAACATTATCATTCACAATGTTGATATTCAATGTCTTGAACCAACACAATCACTTTTCACTTTCAAAATCACACAAATAAATAAAATATATACATAATTGACACTCAATAATGGTTCACTTAATAATTAATGTAAAATTAAAGCATTTTTAAAGAGAACTTTGAAGATTAAAATGGATAAATTCCCAAATAAACACAGTGCACTCACCCATATTGGCTGGGTCAGAAAGAAAAGATTAATTTGACATATGAAATTTATCAAACCTCTATTACTCTATTGTCTATGATTATAGTTTATGTGTCTATGTCCTATGGCTTAAGCTTAATTAATATTCGATTTAAAAAAATAATTAAAAAAGAAGAGTTTAAAATTAATGTATAAATATCCAAATTAAAAATGAAGCTCTAATAATAATTTAAACATGTTCCATTTTTACGATTTACTAAAATTCAAAGTTTGGCTTTTGAACATTATTAAATTGTATCAATCATTCAATGCAGTTTTCAGAGGTTGAATAAAATCACATACTTTTTTTTTAAATACGTTTATTTACGCTTCTTTCAAAACAATTGAGACTGTAACCGTGTAATGTATAGTGTTCAGAATATAGAACCCAAAACAACATTTGTGTCTGTAAGTCTGTTTGTCTGTTTATGCTTTGTGCGGTTTCACGCAAAAAGTACTAAACCAATTTTATCCAAATTTTGTGTAGTGATAACTTATTACTCGGGTCAACATTAAGGATGCCTTTTACTACAGGAAAGTCTTTATTCCTACGGGAAAACATAGTAACGGGTTCTACCGAGATATCCTTAAAAATTTACATGGCAAACGCTGACTAAACGTTAAGAGATACATCGAAAGAATGTATTAGAAAATTGTAGGTAAAAAGACTTAAAGAAAATACTCCAATACAATAAGTTCTTCTTCTCGCAATAACTATTTATATCTATACATATGTTCAAAACGTAGGTACCTACTACCTAGAGGGACGAGGGTAAGCCGCTAGTTATAAATGATAATGATGAGGACAAATATTTTTGTGCTTTTAGACCGTTCAAAATCCGTTTATTTTTAAAGAAAAAAATATATATTTAAAATCTGAAGTTTTAAAGCTTTAAAACGATAGCAGGTTTATAAGGAACAAAAATCCGTATAATGGCCCCGCTGTCCATCTACCCCCGAGAAATGGGGTGATGCAAAACTTTAAAAATTAGTTTTATTTCAATTTCCGGCTTACTGTGACATGCTATCGAAAAAGATTGATTGAAGATAACTGGCAGCAAAACTTACTGACGGTTAAAAAAAGTGACAGTTAAACTAACTGACAGTTAAATGAAATCGATAGTACGAAACTTATATACTAATTTTATAAACATGGATGAAACGTGAAAGTTTGTTAGTATGTGTTAAACGCCTTCTTCGAAGAAACCTGTAGTCTCAGACTGCACAATATTTATTTTTCAGCTCTACTCTTTGCCTTATTAATTTTATAAATTAGAATTGTAATTTAAAGACTTTTTATATTGTAACTATTAATTTTATTTGTTAACACACATTGTTATTTCTTATCTAAGCAACGGATGGCAATTGTTTTCCGACGCTTATTATCCTCAATTTCGAGTCAAAATAATATCTATATTCTTAATAAAATAACTATTTAATTCTGAGCGGAAAGTGTCATTTGAGATACCAAAATATTCATTCAATTCTTTAGGTTTGTGGCTTCTAGGAGTGCCTTTGGGCACAATTTACTTCGCCAATGTCGCGTAGAATGGAGAATGCACGTTATATATAGAATGACCGGTAGAAAAAAAAGAAAAAAATCACTAATCTGATTACATGTAGAAACAGAGCGATTCGTTGTAAAATCAGGACCTACAACAGACAACACAATATATACAAAAATAATGAGATAAACTTGTTAGTATACACACATATTTATACATATAATTACAATTTGATTTTATTACTTTTAATATATTTACACAAAAATCTACATAATGGACTAAACACAAACATTAACAAACAATTAACATTAATGGGACGGGGGACTTGAGAAGGAAGGATGTCATAGATAGGATACTGAAGTTTAGGACAGCTAAAAAGGATATGAGAAGAGGAGCCCTCGTCAAGGCCACATTCACACAGGGAGTGGTCCCTGACTCTGATCTTTGCCAAGTGAACAGGAGTACTTGCGTGTCCAAGCCGTAGACGACATATAGTAGTTAATACCCAACGTTCCACCTGTTTGCAACGAGAAAACCAGGGACGTCTTGGAATCTCTGACTGAATTGCAGCGTAATTTTTACCTTTAAAAGATTTTGATGAGTTCCAGTTATCTTTCCATGATTTATCTAAGCGGGATTTTGCAATAGATAAAAGGTCTTGTGATGAATTTGAAAAATGCTCTAATGAGCCACACTGTACCGCAGCTTTGGCACAGGAGTCAGCCGTTTCATTTCCAGGAATACCAGAGTGTCCTGGAATCCAAACTAGAGATACTGCCAATCCCTTTTGATTGCATGAGTACAAGGCTTCACGAATCCTCAAAGTTATGGAACATCTTAATCTACTACGAAAGGGGTTCTCCTTGATAGCCATTAAGCAGCTTAGAGAGTCAGTAAAAATAACTGTCTGTTTAAAATTATGGGATAGAGTAAACAGGATTGCTTCTAACAAAGCAACAGCCTCGCCTGTAAACACCGATGATTGGGGAGGGCACTTAAATTGTAAAATAATTTTGAATTTTGGAATCCAGCAAACTGCACCAACATAACCATCCTGGGATAGCTTTGAAGCATCAGTAAATATAAGAAGGTGATCCAACCAATTTTGACGAACCAGAGCTTCAAATGATGTGTTGGTGTCAGGTGCTCCCTTAGTCAAACCAATATCTGTAATTATGGAAGGGGACATAGCTAGAGCATTGAAAGGAGTGCAGAAGATAGGGTTAGAAGGGAAACAAGAGATGGGATGTGGTAAGTTAGTAAATTTAAGGAAACTGTCTAGTAAAAAGGAAAATGGCTTATTCGCAGGGCTAATCTCAGCCAATTGTCGAAGCCTTGGCCACAAGGGATGGGAAGATAATTGTAATGCCTTACCAACAAAGCGATCGGATAGATACTGGCGACGAATAGGTAAAGGAGGATCAACACATTCAACCTGCAGGGCATTGGTAGGAGAAGATCTCATTGCCCCTAATATTAGTCTTAGGCATTTATATTGAACTTTATTCAGCTTCTCAGAAGCTGCTTTGTTAAAAGGGTCCAAAACAAACAGGCCGTAGTCTATATGACTACGTATAATAGAATTGTACAGTAGTTTAAGAGTATATGGGTGTGCACCCCACCACACTCCAGACACCGCTCGAAGAGCATTGATGCCTTTTTCGCACTTTCTGCTGATATACTCCGCATGGGCAATTCCGTTCAATCGTTTATCAAGTATTACGCCTAAAAATTTTGTATGTTCAGCCAGATTAATACTTTGACCCTCATAACGAAGATCAAAATTTGGAATAGATCTTTTTTTTGTAAACACCACAGCCTGACATTTAGACACCGATAATGACAGGCCATGCTCAGAGAGCCACTGGCCTAAATAATGCAAAGCAGAGTTCAAACGCAAACTAATGTCCTCCACAGATTTTGAACTACAGTAGAGAACGATATCATCAGCATATTGAAGGATGTTACAGAAACTATTAACAGACAATTCGAGGTCATGTGTATAAATGCTATAAAGCATAGGACTGAGGACCGAACCTTGAGGCAATCCTTTCCAGACAAGTCTGGGAGGTAGCGTAAGTAGCCGGTGTTTCACAGATATGGTTCTACCGGTCAGCAGATTACATATGAAATGCACCAACCTCGGCGGTATACTCAGCTGTTGCATTTTCTGCCTGAGCAACGGAAGAAGAACATTGTCATATGCAGAAGCTATATCCAGAAAGACGCCAACTAAGTACTCTCCTTTTGCATAGGCCAGTCGAATGTCTGTCGTTAAGATGCTGAGACTATCTATAGGACTTAGACCCTTTCTAAAACCAAACTGAGAGGGTGCTAAGATATTTCTGCTTTCCACTATCCATTCCAGTCGGTTTTTTAAAATCCGTTCAGTTATTTTCGCTAATGTTGATGATAATGCAATGGGTCTGTAGGAGTTCGGATCAGAAGGATTTTTACCGGGTTTTAGAATTGGGATGATTATCTGGGATTTCCAAGCTTCCGGTATAATGCCAGATTTAAATATTACATTAATAAGAATGAGAAAATATCTTTTAGCTTTCTCATTCAATTTACCAATAAAAGAGTATGGTATACCGTCCTCACCTGGACTGGTGTCCTTCAAATCCGTTAAGGAGTTTTCAAGTTCTACCAAAGTGAAAGGAGCATCCATATCATCTGATGAGCAGGGCGGAACTGGACTAGGAAATAAGTTGTGCGAGGGGACAAATGGAGGAGATAATTTGTCAGCAAAGTCATTAAGCCATTCTGATGGATTGTTGGAGCCTTGATGAGGAACAACATCAAGAGCCCGGCGAAACCTTTTAACCTGTCTCCAAACAGTAGAAGACGGGGATCGAGGTTCAAGGGACTCACAGAAATTGATCCAACCAAGTTTTTTCTTTTTATAAGCCAATCTTCGAAACTTTGCATCACTGCGTTGATACTCTAGAAAGTTCTCCATTGTCATACAGGCTGCGTATGTTAATTCGGCAAGTGTTCGCCGGTTAACAAAATCACTGCATTCCTGATCCCACCAGGGATTGAAAGGCAACTGATTCTGTGTGGAGAATTTCTTAGGAATAAAGAGGTCAGCGCTTGAAAAAATAGCTAAAAGGAATCGATCATAGCAATCAATGATATTCGCATCACTTACAGACTCAGGAAGGGAGTCCAACATGTTATCAACAGAGCAAGCATAATCTAACCAATTAGCTTTTTTTTAAATTATATAAAAGCAAGGGTTTGGAAGGAGGGGGAGGAGGATTTCCATTATTAAAAGAGAGTAGAATAGGAAAGTGGTCACTACCATGGGAAGAAGATAGAATATTCCACGATAGTAATGAAGAAATAGATGGAGAAGATAGTGATAGATCTACTGCAGTCTTAGGATTTTGGTTAGGATATACTCTACGGGTTGGTGAACCATCATTCAGAATACAAAGATTGAGATCATCAATCATATCCACCAACAAAGGAGAGAATCCATCACAGAAATAACACCCCCACAAAGTGTGGTGAGTATTAAAATCACCCATGACTAGAACAGGACTGGGAAGAGAAGAGATGATAGACTGTAGCTCAAGAAAAAGAGAAGAAGAAGGATAAGGGATATAGAGGGACAGAAAGGAAATATCAAAAGCTCTTACAGCCACAGCGTTAATCTGTGGACTAAAAGAAGGGAGAGCGATTAAAGAATAAGGAGTGGAGTGCCGAATAAGAATGGCACTGCCCCCATACCCGTCACTTCTGTCATCTCTCAAACAGGCAAAACCCGAGATCCTGAAACGGGAACCAGGAATCAACCATGTTTCAGAGAGGGCAATAATGACAGGCTCATAAAGGGCAATAATAGAAAGTAGTTCATGTTTTTTAGAGCGAATACTTTTACTATTCCACTGAAGGAAGTTGAGTGGGGCCATTTTTAAGAATGTTAAATATACGAAGTAAGTTTTGGGCAACGTTGGACGGTAAGGGAATTTCATCACCAGCGGATATAATTGAAACAAGAGTTTCAGTCAAACTGAATAAAAGGTTTGATTTAGAAAAATCATAGGCGGCCTCGCCTTTATTGCTGAGAGCACAGCCATTTGGTAAGGTAGAAGGACAATTGCTAGTGATGGCTTGATGAGCTTGTCTATCAAACCCTTTGGAAAGAGGAGCATGGGGACGAGGGGCACGGAAAACGGTTTTTGAATAAGATTTCCTGACAGGAGTCAGGGGATTATTAGAGCTGGATGGTGAGACAGATAAAGCAGGGGAGGAAAACATTTCCTTGGCCATATCTGCATATGATCGCCTTACAGGGGGGAATCGAGAGGAAGCTTCCATATATGATATATTGTCTTGCGACATTAAACTTTTAATATTTTGTTGCCTAGCAAACTCAGGACATTCCTTATCAACCGCAAAATGCTTTGCAGAACAATATAAGCATGTGGAGTTTTCTTTAGAAATATCACACGCATCCCCAGTATGTGGTTGGGAGCACCTGTAACATCTCGGCTTAGACCTACACTGTGCTTTGATGTGGCCAAAACGACAACAATTCATACACTGAATAGTAGGGAGATTATAGGTTTCGACAGGTAAAGAGGTATGGTAAGAGTATACTTTTGGAGGCAATACTTGACCACGAAAAGTTAAAACAACCGATTGTGTTGGAATCCAAGTAACAATACCATCATTCACTGTCTTACGGTTCAATCTTCTGGCTTTCAGAACTTGCCCGCAACCAGAAGGGAATTCCAAAGAGGACACAAATTCCTCCATTGCCCAGTCTACGGGAACTCCTTTGACCAAACCCATTCTAGTTACATTGAATGTTGGAATTACAGCAACGTATTTGGATAAATTTAAAATAGGATTGGCTATAAAACTATTTGCTGCTAATGCTGAAGAGAACTGAATTACAATTTTATTACGGCCTAAATTTTTAACGCCATCATTTACAATATTTTGTACTTTATTGTGATATAAAAACTGGCCGAATTTAATTGCACGCATAGTAGTACCAGCTGCAGGGTCTGGAGTCTCTCGAGAAACATAAACAATAAAGGGACCCTTGTCGTCTTCAGAATAGGATTTAGGGCCTAATAGGGAAGGGTGCACATACACATGTTGGATAGATGGAGTAGCTGTCTCTGGATCAACTATAGTTTTTTTAGATGAGTCGATTGTGACTTCATCACTTTGACGTTTACGGGACTGGGGAACGACAGGTACTAATAAGCCACCAGGATCCGGAGGATCCGGCGGGGGATCAGGTTCCATTTTTATCAATAATTATATACAAAAACACAGCACACAAAACTTACCAATACCCAACACCGAGTTAGTAAAAACCTAATTTACAGATATTACAACTATAATCACAAACACTTTAACAATCACGAACGAATGTAACAAACACGTGTGTTAACCAAAGCTAACGCAGGCGAAGTGCCAAAATATTCATAATATATATAGTTTCGTGGTCTATTATATATAATATTTACACATATCCGCTCTATTGAATACTAAAAATATCTAAAGTCGGTAACAACTCGGCCATCCGAAAGCTTTACGAGTCCCTCGTAATAAATAAAGATAACACAAAAAAAAAACATAAGAAAAGCAAAAATAAACAAATTCAATAACCGATAATTACTCTTAACTATACTTAATTCAACAAAGCTAACCTTTCATTTTAACCAGCTTAATTCTAATTTAATTTTAATTCCTCACATTATAATACATAAATATTATATTCTTAGTATATCTTTTATAAATTAACAAATATCTATCCAATCATCATGACTTTAATCAATATAATTCCAAACTATTTCATTCGAAAGATCCATGATATTGATCTTACCTACTTAACTAAAAAAAAACAATTATATTTTGCTGATCCATGACATTGATCAACCTCTATAGAAAAGACGGAACAATAACACATTAGTTGATCCATGACATTAATCAACCAATATGCCTCTGATACGACCCATGACATTGGCCATCTCAGAGATGCACAAATCCATGACATTGACTTGTACATATTACGCCGTTACTTTCCATCGTTACATTATAACATTACATAATACTCATAACAACAGTTCATAAGAAAAGACGGAACAATAACACATTAGTTGATCCATGACATTAATCAACCAATATGCCTCTGATACGACCCATGACATTGGCCATCTCAGAGATGCACAAATCCATGACATTGACTTGTACATATTACGCCGTTACTTTCCATCGTTACATTATAACATTACATAATACTCATAACAACAGTTCATAAGAAAAGACGGAACAATAACACATTAGTTGATCCATGACATTAATCAACCAATATGCCTCTGATACGACCCATGACATTGGCCATCTCAGAGATGCACAAATCCATGACATTGATTTGTACATATTACGCCGTTGCTTTTCATCTTTACATTATAACATTACATAATAATCATAACAATAGTTCATGACATCGAGCGAAGTTATTATTTGTTGAATTAACATTATTATTAAACTTATATAGACTTATTTACTTGATGACTTTTATCATGACATGACATTCATCATTTATAAAATAATGCAACTTTGTAATTATGTTAATAAGGTAAAGTCATTTAACATCATTATAATTTATTATTTATTTTTCTTTTACATTGCTAGCAACATTAGGTACATCTACCTCATTATTCATGGATTCACTATCAGAAGAGCTCTCATTATCAGAGGATATTTGATGAGTAAAATTTAACCAAGGGAATATTTTATCAATTGCCACTATCGATTCATAGCGTCTACCCTTTCTTGTGATTGGAGTATCTTCGATCACAAATCTATCATTTGGAAGAAGTTTCTTAATACGATAGGGACCCTGACATTTTGGCTCTAATTTTTTTGATTGTCCTTCTATACCAGTAGGTGCCCTTACGACTTTGATTAAATCTCCCTCATTAAATACTACATTCTTTCTTCGGTGTTTATCAAAATTATCCTTAGCCTTTTCTGCCTGCGTCTGTATATTTTGGGAAGCGTCAGATCTTAGTTGCGTCAAGTCATTTTCAGTCAGATCTGGAGTCACAACCGAAATTACTTCATTTAATATTCCCTGGGAAGGGTTTGTCACGTTATATCCGAACAAAAGTTCCGTCGGGGTCTTTTTAGTAGTAGCATTAAAAGTAGTATTAATGCCTAGCTGTATATCCGGTAAATGCTCATCCCATTTTCCGTTCGGCTTATCATGATTCATGGCCCCAAGTGCGGCCAAGATTGTGCGATTATATCGCTCAACCTGGCCGTTTGCACGTGGTGTGGCTACTGCATTACATATATGCTTAATTCCCGTAGATTTCATGAATGCCTTAAATGCATGACTAGTAAAACTTGTTCCCTGATCAGTAATTAAACGAGTTGGTGTTCCAAAATAACTAAAATGTTCTCTAAAAACTTTGATACTTGTTGAAGATTTCGTATTGCGAACAGCTGTAAGGTCTATAAATTTCGTAAAAGCGTCAATAATTACTAAGATATAAGTATTACCACGCTGAGTCCGTATGAAAGGACCGAGATGATCTGCATGGATCGTGTGGAAAGGCTTTTCAACTTTGGGAATGGGATGCATCTCCCCTGCTTTAAGCCCACTTGGTGTTTTATGGTGGGCATATTCCAGACATGCTGCAACATACTTTTTAACGAATCGCCTCATTTTAGGGAACCAATACAATGCCTGAATGCGAGCAAGCGTCTTTTCAAATCCAAAATGTCCAATGTCATCATGGTTACTTTTTAATATCTGCCATCTTGCACCCTTTGGAACCACCCAACGCTCGGCGTTGTCGTTGACAATACGGAAAACTCGGCCATTTTTCAATTTATAACTATTAAAAATTTCTACTATATCTCTAGTTTTTGGATCGTTTAAAATGGTTGCAATATTTTTGACTTCATCATCGGCTTGTTGTACAGTAGTAAGCCAGTCATCCTTATTAACAGCGAGAACATCAATTACGTGACAATCACTTGTTATTGTACCTACAGGACTCCTACTTAAGGCATCTACGTGTGCCATCCTATCCCCGGCTCTATACTCAATCTCGCAATCAAATTCTAAAAATTGTACCCACCAGCGAGCAATCCTTAGAATTAAATCCCGTTTGACAAGTGTGCTACGTAGCGCATTACAATCCGTGATTATTTTAAATCTGATACCTAACAAATAGACTCTGAATTTAGATAAAGAAGCAATGACTGCGAGTGTCTCTAACTCGAATGAATGTAGTTTTTGCTCGTCAACGCTAGTCTGCCTACTGTAATAAGCAACTACTTTAAATATATAGCATTCATCCTTTTGCATAAGTATACCGGCTATTCCAAACTTACTTGCATCGGTGTGAAGTTCAGTTTCCGCGCTTGGGTTGTATATAGTCAAAATTGGTCGTTCTATAAGACGCAATTTTAATGTTTCAAATGATTACCTTTCGTTTTCACCCCACTTCCATGGAATATCTTTCTTAAATAAAGCTGTGAGTGGACGAGCTATTAAAGCGAAGTTTTTAACAAACCGTCTGAAAAAACTTGCGAGTCCTAAGAATCTTCGAACCTCGTGAATATTACGCGGAGTAGGGAACTTTTCTACGGCTTCAGTCTTGAGAGTACCTGGTCGTATACCAGAAGAACTAACCTCATACCCAAGGTAATCAATTTTATCGTAGAAAAAGTGGCATTTACTTAGCTTCAAAGTTAAACCATTTTCCTTTAATAGGTTAAGAACTTCCCTTAGTCTAACTAAGCCTTGATCAAATGAGCTAGACGGAATTAATATATCATCCATGTAAACAAGAACATATGAACGAACGGGGGATTTTTGTATAATTCTGTTCATGGTACGTTGGAATACTGAGGGCGCGTTGACTAACCCAAATGGCATGCGATTGTATTCATATTGGCCATCGGGTGTCACGAAGACAGTCTTTTCACGCGATCCTCCAGCAATTGGGATCTGATAATAGTCCGACGCAAGATCTAAAGTTATATAAAGAGAGCTACCAGCTAAAAGATTGAGTTGGTCTTCTATCCTAGGTAGGGGATAATGTTCCCGCTTAGTCTTTTTGTTTAATGCGCGATAGTCTACGCAAAGCCTTTTCTCGCCCGACTTTTTGTTAACTAACACGATAGGACTAGCATATGGAGAACTAGACTCACGAATTATTCCATTATCTAACATTTCTTGTACCATACCTCTAACGCGCTCTCTTTCGGAAAAAGAGAGTCTATATGGACGATAAACAACTGGTTCGGAGTCTACCAGATGAATCACCATTTCGGTTTCTGTTGTAAACCCAAGTTCACTTAGATTATTTGAGAAACAACTTTTATATTCTTGTAGCAAACACTCAAGTTTATTTTTTTCTTCAACAGTAATAGTATTACTAATGTTAATTAATGGTATATCTGAGAGAGATTCAGTTACTTCAATTTGGTTAATCTGCAATATATCATCAATTTTGAAAGCTCGAGTAATTAAGTCGCCATATTTAAATGTAATATATTGTTCCCCAATATTTTGTACTAGAACACTTCCTAATCCTTCACTAATACAGTATTCACCTGGTAAAAGATAATGCTCTTTACTTTTATATGCTCTAACAGACCCATTTACATAAACCTTTCCCGAGTAGCTTTCGTTACTAGAAACAGGTATGGCTTTGATGTTTCCAGTTGGAATAGTAACGTCTTTGATACATTTTAGTACACATTTACATGTTTTATTGTTGTTCACTTTTCGAAAAATTACATCAGTCTCAGTTTTAATTATTTGAATGGTTGGTCTTTCTGTAAATGTGTGTCCTAGGAGAATTGGGCTGTTAATGTGCATGTCATCGACTATAAGTATTTCAACATTTTCCTCAGTGACTCCCTGAATCTCAATATTTGCGAAAGCTAAACCTATGGGACGGAAACGCGTGTTGCCAAATCCAGAAAGTATAGGCCCTTCTACCGGCTCCCATTTAACTTGCAACCGTTGTGCATCACTAAGTCGTATGAGCGTAGTTTCACAACCCAAATCTACTAAGCAATCCGAAATTTTGTCGTTAATTTTTAAGGGAATTTTGTATTTTAAACTAGAATTCTGGTAACTTTCAATTCTTAAAATTTTCTTAGTTTCATCACTGCTATTTTGATTTTTCTTTGGGTAATGAATACGCATATTCATTACCATTGATATTTATTGATTGATAAGCTGTGGTGAAAGTGTAGAGTAGCCATAAGCGTTAAATTTATTGTCTGTGTTTGTCAATGTCATTTGCTTTGCATTGTGAACTCGGCGTCTGAACCTCTGAAATTTGTAGCGTGAAGCGTCTTGAAATTTTAATGTTGATTGTGATGTGGATTTTGGAGTAACTGAACTGAATCGTATTATTTATAAAGTAAAACATTTGAAAGTGTCTGTGGTGAAATAATATTAAAAATTGCTAAAGTAGCATTATCTGACACAAATATGTCTTCAGATTTTTATATACGTTATTATGTAGGCCATAAAGGAAAATTTGGCCACGAATTTCTCGAATTTGAGTTCCGGCCCGATGGTAAATTAAGATATGCTAACAATTCAAACTATAAAAACGATACAATGATTCGAAAAGAAGCATATGTACACCCATGTGTGATGGATGAGTTAAAGAGGATTATTGTAGATTCTGAAATAATGCATGAAGATGACCGCTTATGGCCTCAACCAGATCGTGTTGGTAGACAGGTAGATTTTTTAATATGTTTTCTTATATTATCTTTACCTTTATGTAAATTTTTAATATTGTTATTTTTTTAGAATAAAGCAAAATGGCACCAATTACTGTTATTAGTAGTATTTGTCAATGTAGAGTATAAATTTGATACATTTTTATATTTTCAGGAGCTAGAAATTGTAATTGGTGATGAGCATATTTCATTTACCACTTCAAAAACTGGATCTTTGGTTGATGTCAACCAGTCCAGAGATCCAGAAGGTTTACGCTGTTTCTACTACTTGGTGCAAGATTTAAAATGCCTTGTATTTTCTCTAATTGGTTTACATTTCAAGATTAAACCGATATAGTTTAAACTTTAAAGTTACAATTATTATATAAATAAAACAATTTTTCCTATATTTGTAATTTTATTACTTCCCCTAAACTTTCATAAAATTTTTTTACAATTATTATAGAAAAATGAATTTATATATACTGAGAAAATATATATTTAAATATATAAATAGGGAAAGTTTTCTATAGGTGAGAAGAGTTAAAATCAATACATATAATAAAATTCTAACCAAGCCGAATCTGTACATTGAATATTATTTGGAAAATCTTATTAAAATAGACATTATTATCGATACAGAGGCCGAATATACAGTTTTTAGAATTTTTGTTTATCTGGCTGTTACCGCATCATGGGAAAACCACTTGATAGGTTTTGATGAAATTTTGTATGGTGATAGGTGGTTATCCGGGTCAACATATAGGATACTTTTTACCGTGGGAAAATATATAATTTCTGAGAAAAAATACAAAAATTGCAATGTAAGAATACTAATATGTAAAGCCTAAGTATTTGATTTTTGGTCATCCGAACGCGGGCGGAGCCGCGGGCAATGCTAGTATTCTATAAATATAATCTAGATAATCAATTTGATGTAAATTTTTTGTTACAAACAACAAAAATTACACTATTTTTTTCACTCTATAACAAATTTTATTTATCAGCTAAAGTAAAGTGGCGATACTATACGTCAAAAAAAAAAATCGTGCTGCCGATTCCCATACATTTGTCTAGTTTACTACACGTTAACTACTCGATAACTATACGAAAGCTAACTTTTATATATGTAGCAATATACTCTATGAGCTAACGCTAGATGTTCGTGTTGCCGAATTTTAGTTCCAAATACGCTCACGGAGCGCTGTTCATATTTCCATACAAAATTTACCTACCCTACCCCAGCCTGCAAATTTATGATATTCGCAATGAAAAAAATACTAATCGATAGATTTTTAATAGCTCAATTCAACTACGTAGCCCTTCCAAATTGCTCAAATTAAAAATCAATAAAGTCCTTGAAAAAAAATTAATTTATCCATATATTCAAATTTCTATATCTTTTGATATATACAATATTTTAAATTGCTCAAAGTTCTAAAATACTGCTCAAGTTGCATTTGTAATTGCTCAAGTAGAGTTCTCACCAGCTCCACTTTCCTTAATTATTAAATAAATATAAATAGTTTGAATAAATTTAACGTAAAGATAGGTGAGTGCTGCGCATGCGCGCAAACAGTAACGCGAGTCGCAAGGCATCAGCTCAGCATCAAGAGATGGAATGTTTGTGGCGCTTCCAGGAGCTAAAAAGGATCGTAGCAGTATTATTAAATTATTGATTGCTGATCAGAGTTCAAAATTCCTTTATATTAAAGGATTATATTCATGCAGTTTGTTTCTTTGAAATAAAAATGTCATTAAACTATATGTATATTTAAAAATAAAAAAAGTTCCGTCTTGTATTGATGTTAATAACATTTTACTAATGATCCCTGTCATGGCTATTACCTTAATAGAATAAGCATTTGAACATAAGATTTTGTCTTAATTTATCTGTTGGTATTAATTTTCATTTATTGGTAGATTCCAGATCTGTTCTTTATGTTATAATATCTGAAGTGGAATCACGTAATGTTAACAATTCATAAATTCAATAAATTTAAAGAAATCCACCGAGAAACAGAATTAAGACGTTGAATTGGAACGATTGTCCAAGCCCGCCGAGGCCGACCGACAATGCGCGGTGCGCATGCGCACGCTCACTTAACCTACGTTACATTTATTACAACTATACTTTTAATTATTTAATAATCAGCGAAAGTGGAGCTGGTAAAAACTCTACTTGAGCAATTACAAATGCAACTTGAGCAGTGTTTTAGAACTTTGAGCAATTTGAAATATTGTATACATCAAAAGATATAGGAGTTTGAATATACAGATAAATTAATTTTTTTTCAAAGACTTTATTGATTTTTAATTAAATAATTAAAGGTGAGCAACTTGAAAGGGCTACGTAGTTAAATTGAGCTATTGAAAATCTATCGATTAGTATTTTTTTCATTGCAAATATCATAAATTTGCAGGCTGGGGTAGGGTAGGTACAAAATTTTACTATAACTATACTATCACGTTAACTATACTATAGAGCAAAAATGTTCGTGCTACTGGTTGTTATATCTTTTTAATCTGTGTTTATTTGTTTTAATTTGTCAAACCAGACCACCTATTCCATTTCACGTTGATAACTTTAAACAGTAACTAAATTATTATATAATAAATAATATGTTGTGTAAATACGATTGCAATATAAAACTATTTCCTTATATATTTTATTAGGGTTCATAATTTTTGCCAAATTACTTTTTTTGTAAACAATAATATATACTCGCTTTTTAGAAGATTATTATATTTTACCTAAATGAGTGTTTTTGCAAATATTTCTTAAGTTATTTATTTATGAAGAAATTATTTTTTTATAATAAATGTTTGATTTATTTATAAAAAGGAACGTTGACGGTATTTATTTATGTTTATAGTATAGCTTTGCGCGTTGCGCGCGCATCGCATCTGCCCGACCGACTATGGCGGATAGGCAGTGAAGGATGTTTGTAGTCTATTCTAAATCAAAAAGTATCGACGGTAGCCAATGGCTTAATCAGAGTTTTTTGTAAAAATTGTACATTGTAAATAGTTCTGTGTACATATAGTAATTATATTTGTGGTCGTTTTGTTTAGAAATTGTGTGAATAGTGTTATATTTTGAGTGTTTATTCGATTCAGTTTTCGACGCCGACAAATCTCTTAATCCAGAAGTTAGTACATTGGTACATAATTCGTAACATCCAAATTCAAAATTTATGTGTATAAAATCGTCTAAATATAGTCGGTATAACTTTTTGCCTTTGTGTTTATATTGAGAGAACGGACCGTTGCAGTTTCCTGCAATATTTTGATTTTCTTAGCGGCTGTCATCGTGCTTCGATAAAACTAGTAGCTGTCATTACAAAGACAAAAAGACTATTATAGTCTTTAAATGGCTTCAATACTCAATTCTACTTGCCTTGAATAGTATTTTTGATGATGCTAAACGGCCGAATTACTATTTAACTCGAATAATCTAAGTGTTAAAGCCATATCTTGTGTATAAACAGAAGATCAAAGGATTTATAGTGTTTACGATTGCGAAGGTTTGAAGAATAGTCGAACTGAATGCTCGAACCCCACGGTAGCCCAATGAAGTGGCCGGGCACGGGTGGAGAGGAAGAGGCGGGCGAAGCAGGATTGCAAAACGCGCGAGTGGCACAGACTCGCGCCCAAGACGACGCTGCAGTGCATTATGTGTTTCAACGCGATAATCAAGAGGGCGAAATACCATCATTAGCTTCCAAACAACGCTGGGCTGTTGGTGAAGATTCTATTGCAGAGGTTTGTTTACCAATTCAATCAGCTGTATGCAATAATATAAGTACATTATTATATAGTAACCTACTATGCAGCATAACCTATAAGAACTTTAATTTAAATTGATATAAATTATCATTGCAATTGTAAAAATTATAGTGTATAGGAAAATTTACTATTTTTGGGGTATTTTTAAATAATAAACTATATCAATCTATGAAGACTAATTTTCTCAATTGTTAGGTTACAACTTATATAAAAGTATTATTGGAATTCCCATTACATCTTACGTGATGATGGTGTATCAAGTTATATATTTGTAACCTTATATTATTTTCTTTCAGAATCAAGATAAATGGAAAAACACACCCATAACAATGAATAATATTCAACACGGCACTGTACAGCTAAAGAATTCTCAGACAAACCAGCAACAATTTATTAATCAGGCAATAGCTTCATCTGTTGGCACTCTTGCTATGAATCCTTCAGTTATTGGAAGTCATCCAGCACATTTGACCACAAACATGGTCCATACACAATTGGCACCATTACAGAACCATACATTGGGCAATAATTTAACTATACAGAATAGTGCAATGATGTTGCCTCCTCTTCAAGGCATGCAAAATGCCCCACAACTAGGACAACAAGGCTTGTATGATATTCATCAACATCATGGAAATCCTATGCAGGCTATGAATGGCATTGGCAAGAGTGCTGAGCATCTCATGTATTTAAGCCAGGCTGGTATGCTTGGACCTGGAACTAACCAATTTTTACAACAAGGACAAAACCAACTTGGGCTCACACCTGTTGCTGCTATTAGAAATCAGGTAAGCACAATTTTTCTTTCCTGTAATATCTGCCAGCTTGAGAAACTTATTAGGTCATAAATTGTTTTGATTTAAATGAAATTGACAAATACTAACTGGAAACATGATAAATAAAGAAGTATAAAGTATGAGTTGATCTAGGTTTAAATGTATGTTTGTTGCGGTGGGGGGCTCATTAGTGTCCGGCAATCCATCCAAGCTTGAAGCCAAGACACTGGGAGGTGGCCGACTTCAGTTGGTGGTGTACCATGCCATGCAGGTTGCTCCTGAAACTTCTCTGACAGTAGAGTAGACCGTGGGAGCAATCCCTTGGTTGTGTGGTCTGCTTCTTCAGAGCTGCTGTTGGGGCGTCATGGTTGAATGCATAAGCGATCCCCCATTAAGACAGGAGGTTTTGTTGGGTTCTAGTGGGTAGTACTGGCTTCCCTTAGCTGGTGAGTCCCACACAATCACCTGTACGTATGTAGGTGGTATGAGTAAATTTATTTCCCAACATTAAAAAAAACTATTTAAATGTATGTTAAAATTAAAGGTGTGCTCTTATAATTAGTCCTTTATTATAAATAACTAGCATTGCCCGCGGCTCCGCACGCGTTCAGATGACGAATAACTAATTCTTAGGTTTTACATATTAGTATACTCTTACAATGCAGGTTTTGTATTTTTTCTCAGAAATGAGACAATTTCCCGCGGTAAAAAGTATCCTATATGTTGATCCGGATAACCGACTATCACCATACCAAATTTCATCAAAATCCTCCAGTGGTTTTTCTGTGATGTGGTAACAGACAGACAGACAAAAATTCTAAAAACTATAGATTCGGCCTCTGTATCGATTATAATGTTTATTTCAATAAGATTTTCCAAAAAAAATTTAATGTACAGATTCGGCTTAGTTATAATTTTATTATATGTATAGATTATCCTTTTGTCCTGAAAAACCTCATGTTTTACTAGAAATAAAAAAAACTATAAATGCGCCTTTTTTTTAATGTTGGGAAATGCATTTACGCATAACACCTGTAGATATACAGGTGGTTATGTGGGACTCACCAGCTAGGAAAACCAGTAGTACCTACTTAAACCTCCCCCGTCTTAGAAGCGAGTCGTAGGATCACTTAAGCACTCAACTACGACGGTACCCCGACGGCAAGTCTGCCGAGGCAGATCACAAAATCTATGGGATTGCTCTACAGTCCACTCTGCTATCAGAGTATTACCAGGAGCAACTCACATGGTAAACCGCCCACCGAAGTGGGCCACCTCATTGGCATCTGTGCCTACAGGCACATTTTGAAGCCATTAATAATCTAGTCAACAATTGCTTTTTGTGTCAACCTTTTTTCTCTGTCTCTGAATAATATGAAAGAGGTGTCATTTCGATTGGGAATAGGGTGTAGATGATTTTTGAAAAAATTCAAGAGCCGCTTGCGAAAATTGCAAAAGGTATTTATTTATATAGATTAACTGAATAAAAATAGGGTTTGGTCGTTTTACAAATATCTTAAAAACTATTTGACATTTTTCAAATTTGAAAAAAGATTCAAAAAGTGGAGGAATTATCCCAAAAAAAAATTACCTTCCGGAACTGTAGGACAATATTTATAATTTTCCCAGAGGGTTAAATATACGCCCGAAGACAGACACTCTGGCTTGCGTAAGCCCCGCCCACTTTGGACCTTTAATGTATAAATATTATTTAAATTTATTAAATATGAAAATTAAGAATTGAAAAAATGCAGACATCTACTGGATGGATGAATGAACAATAATCTGCGGTCAAAAAAATTTTTTCAAGATTTTTCTATTCATTATGCATTAGTTAATTGACAATTTTTTCCTACTTAAACATGAATATAACATCTGCAATAATTGTTAAATAACAAATCTGAGATATTTTTCCTGTTTTGGGGCTATTTTTGAAACGTCTCAGAAGAGATTTCCGTTGGAAAAATAAAATAAACTGTCATTTTTCACTTTGTTATCAACATTTTACCTAGTTAAATAAAACTATCTTTTCGGATTATTTCGCGGATTTATTTTGATTTTTGGTTCCCGACGTTTCGAATGCTTTACAGCATCCATGGTCACGGGAGAGACTGAGGTGTTACATGTCTTAAAGATATAGTTGTTACAGACAGCCTACCCACAATTAACAAAATGAAAATTGCACCAATTACATTACAATATTTTTAACTTTAAACATTTTTTATAATTTTAATTATAATTGAATATGGAAAATTATTTATTTAATTTTTGCTATTATTTTTATAATTACTACAATTTTAAAAATATTAATTAGTAATCTATATTTAGTGTTGCCATTATTATATTTATAACCATAAATAAAAATATAAAAATATAGTATTAATTATTAAAGCCATATAATTGTTCTATGTGTAATTTAAAAAAGTTAAAATTAATTACGGATAATCATTTTAATTTAGTTTGCTATTATTTAAAAACAACTTACTAAGCAACACTATTAAAATATACTTTTACAAATGAAAAATATTAATCTGATAAGCTGTCATTTTGATCTACACAGTATGAACTTACTACATCTGCCTGTCTGTTATGTTTATATTTATTATTTGATTTTATTATATTAATAACAGGATCCCATGACGATGGTACCCAGCCATCTTCCCTATTGAAATTTGGATGTTTTTTAATTTCTATGGCTTCTCGAATCATTCTAGGGCGATATCGGTTTTCTTTCGCCAGGATTTGAGGTCTATCGAAACGAATATAATGGCTTGGGCGGTCCTGGCTATGTTTGCAGACAGCAGATGTTGTATTGCGACGGTGCTTCACATCAGCTATGTGTTCTTTGACCCGGGTTCTAATGGATCGCTTTGTTTGTCCAATGTAAGAGAGCCCACAATCACAATCAAGCTTGTAGACTCCTGCATCTTGTAGAAAAGATAGTTTTATTTAATAATGTCAAACATTCGCGTAAATCTAAGAAAGTATTAACATTTTACCTAGGTTAAAAATTATAAAGCTTGATTAAGCATTAATGAAACTATAGTTACTAATATGTATTGTTTGTTTAATTGTTCTCTATCTATACAATGTACCAGTTACATAAAAAATAAAATGGCATTGGGCTGCTCATACAAACTTGCATAAAAAATACTTGATGCCTATTATAATCTTACACATACATATGCACATAGTTTAAATAGTTAAAGCTACACTTTAACAGTTGTGGTGAAATAAGTGTTTTGGTTAAAAAAATAGTTGGATTATAATTAAAATATTACAAAAACTGTGGGGTCTCATTAGCTAGATAAAAAAGAATAGAGATTTTTTTTAATTAGATTTACTATCTATGCTTATGATGAAATTAAATTATAATGTGTGAAATTAAACTAATTTAAAATAAAATATTGAAAAATCAGGTGTTAGTTAATAAGGTAAGGCATTGCATAGTGAACATAGATGGCGCTGTATGTATTTTGAAATGTTTATTGCAAATCCAAAATATGGATACATGATTAATAAAGTTTATATTATTTTTGCTGTATTACACACATGTTGGTGCACACATTGTTATAAAATATTCTAGAGTTGAAAAAATTTCACCTGCTTCTGCCATCTATCATCTAATATGCTCTAAAGAATATTTTTTGTCGGACAATAAAGTATTCAAAAAAATTTGTCTACTCGTTCTTGGATAATAATTTTGTTTATTTATCTATACATATAATAAAATTCTAACTGAGCCTAATCTGTGCATTAAATATTTTCTGGAAAATCTTATTGAAATAGCCATTATTATCGGTATAGAGGTCGAATATATAGTTTTTCGAATTTTTGTCTATCTGTCTGTAAACGCATCACGAGAAAACCACAGATCAGATGTGAATGAAATTTGGTATGATGATAGCTGGTTATCCGGGTCAACATATATGCTACTTTTAACTGCGGAAAAATATCTCATCTCCGAGAAATCTATTCTAAACGGTAAAACGTAACGTCCCTAGGACGCACCCGAGCGGAGCAATGGTTAGTCGCTGGTGTTTAAATATAAAGGAAGGGTATCGATAAGGCCTCATTTTCGTTCCAGAATGACGAAAAAAATTATGTACATAAGAAGCACTTTCTTTTTAATTTTATTTTAATCATCTTATGTTATAACACAATATATTTAAATACATTGCTTACAAATTGTAATAAATTACATTGCTTCAATCCTGCGTTATATTTAAAAAAAATGTGTGTGTGTACTTATGTACGCACGTAAGAAGTTATACTTCTTTGGCGTAACAGAACAAAAATAGCTAAAGATTTTATCCTGTATGTCACAACTCTCTGTTCATAAAAGGAATGCAGCTAACTCCATTATGTCGCTTTATGGCTATCGCATCGTAAAAATTTTACTCATATTTTTTTCTAAACGTCCCAAAAGAAGTATAACTTCAAAAAAGTTTAAATGTTACTGAAAATATCTAATTTTGAACGAAAACTCCAGTTAGATAAGACCAGAGAGTTGTGATACATGGGATGAAATCTTTAGCTATTTTAGTTCTGTTACGCCAAAGAAGTATAACTTCTTACGTGCGTACATAAGTACACACACACGTTTTTTTTGTTTTCTAGAACAAAAGAGTCATTAATAAAAACGTCACTTACAATGCTGGATAACTCCCTTCCTCTTCTACACGATGCGTTATATTTTCCGAAACCTCACTAACAAAAAAAAACGTCTCAAAGATAATTCTAAATGCATTGTTTTTGCAGTGTAATAAAATTTTATGAGGATTATCTGTCACTCGTTTAATTATCACAGAAATACTTAGTTTATGTTGAACATAAACTTGGTAATTCTATTCCAAAAATCACGACGGTGCGTTACTGCGTAATACGGACAGATTGTAGCATTTATTATATTTATAGTTGTGTTTGCATCTAATATATTTTTAATATAATATTTGAACATTCTAAAGAATTCTTAAAAAAAAATGAATTCAGGAAATTAGCATCCCAGTCTA